AGAGGTCAGAGCAGTTGAGTCCTAGTTATATTACTCTCTGTATAAATTTATTCAACACCCTCTACAGTACAGTCAATAAAGCAGTCACCTGATTAATCAGAAAGCCTAGTTGACAATGTTGTTAGTCTTATGAGCACTTTCCATATTTGCAAGAAAATAAAATGGCCATCAAAAATGACAAAGTGAGTATGAGCACGCAAACAACTTTATCGCCACCTCAGACATCAATAGATTTTGATAACGCAGTATAATGGGTATGCTACAAATTGGAATACTTTGCTAAGTGTAACCCAACTAAAAGGTCAACATGCATTTTGGGATAATTAAACTATAATTTATCAGGAGTAAGGTATGGAATGTCTGTCACTCTATATATGGTGGGAAACATCTCAAATGATGGTTTGCTAGAAGTCTAGAAACTTTGAGAAAATGCCATATTTTCATCTTAGAATGCTAACTTGCAGCCTCTTCCTTTAACCCCTTAAGGACCAAACTTCTGGAATAAAAGCGAATCATGACATGTCACACATGTCATGTGTCCTTAAGGGGTTAAGACCCCAGTGGGTCTTCACAGAATCCTTACCTCAAATTGTCCTTTGTTCATTAGAAATGTGCCAGTTTTTCAGAAAGATGTCTCCCAGGTTTCCAGTGCAGTAAATTAATTTATTTAAAGGGACTCTGTGCACCATAAGAACTTTATAGGAATAACTTGTTATGGTGCCAGGAAGTCCCTGGCACTAGCCTCCCTTTAGGAGTTAAATTGCTCTTCCCCCACTGCTCACCTCTTCCCCCCTCACCCCATTCTGCCACCTGTTCTTCCACTGCTCACTTTGGTGAAAGATGAACCTTTAGGCAGGGGTGCCGATGATTGACTGAGAGCATAGGCTGACGCTCTAATCAAATCAGTATCCCCATTTACAAAACGGCTTGAGAAACAGATGTATTTTTCTCACATTGAATAAAATTGAAATGTAGCAAATTTAGTAAGCTTCTCCCCAGGAACCCTGCTAGTGAAATAGGATGCACACTCTATGGCTGCAAATTTACACTTCACTGGAGGTAATTCACATTAAACAGACCCTGAAATATTTTGGTTTTATTTTCCTTTCAGTTTTCCATTATATACTGACTTATTATATATAATTGAACCTCGTCACATGTAATTGGAGGGGCCTGTTGGCCAGCCTCTCACCTCAGGACTATGGCCCATGTGTTAGACTTTAGTTTAGGACTGTGAAAAGGCTTTGTTCGTGCCTTTTCCCTTGTCTGATTTGGTATATCCTTAACAGATCAGGAGTATTCTGTTCGTATACCGAACCAACACCCGAACTCTTGGACCACCCGTGGGAGACGTGTGCTGCCTATTAACCTTATTGACCTCGTTAACTGCAACACTCTACGGCTGGGTGTCCGCCATTCGTATGGACGAACATGAGGTGGCGGCCATCTTGTTCCCGCAAACGCGTGTAGCGGTTTTTGGTCATCGAGTGTATGGAACCCAAATCGGACATTCCACGGCGCGAACACCGCTTGGACTTCCATCTGAAAGTATGTTCAGTGGCGTTTGTATGAGAAGTGTGGTATTCAGTGGGAGCAAACTCCCGAACTAGGGACACAAGGCAAGCACACGTACGATCAGTTCTGTTCGATATATTAATGTAATTTGTACTCCCGAAAGAGACCGGCCACACAGCCTGTTTCATGGAACTCTTTTGGGCAGGAGCCTTGTGTGCAGTCGGTCAAATTATGACCTTCATGGATATCCCGAACCCCTTAACCGATCTGGGTGATTTTTGGATATGTTGGTCCCCCAGATCGGGGCTATCAAGGGATATGACTTTTGTGGGGTTTCCATGTGTTTTATGGGTACTTTTGGGAGGTTGTAAAATATGTGCTTTTGTACCTGGAGATAATTGAGTTTAGTACAGTTCCTGACTCAATTATCTCCCAGGCACAGAGGAGGGATTATCTTGTTTTATGTGAGTGTCCTGGACCTGAGAGCCAATGTAATCATGTGTATGTTTTTGCTGTAGTCTACTCTCAGGTCCAGTGGGGAATGCCCCTGGAATATGTAACCGGAAACCCCTTGCATGGGGACCTGCATTAAACAGAACACTTTACTCCTTCATAATGTCTAAGCTCATGTTTTGGGGGATTGGAGAGCTATCTTCACTCTGGGGATTGCTATAAACACTAAACTCCCATGGATTACAACACTTGCTCTTGTAAGAGCAGTCTCTGCTCTAAAAGCTGGGTCCTGGTCTTAGGTCCAGTGTGGGTGGAGAACAGCGAGACCACAACCAAGCTGCGGCGTTTTGTGGGGTTTGCGGTGGTTATGATGTCCGGTGCGGTGCTTATGGTACTCAAGGATTGCTAGAAAGCAGCGATTGACGGAGGTACCAGGTCGGGGTGCCAGGCGGTCCATCACATATACCTTTTATATTTTAAAGCAGATTACTTTGGTTTATGAGCAAGACTGAAGCTGGCAAAACTTAATGAAAGATGAAGGTTCAAGTTTTTTCAATCCCCTCGGGATTCAGGCCTCATCTCATAGATCACAAGATTTAGTGTATGGAGGATCCCAGGGAAACGAACAGCTGAAATCTGACCATGGACTAGGGTGAGAGAAAATCTTTGAGAATGGTTTTGCAATCTAGTCAACAAACACATGAAAAAGGCATCTGAGGAATGTATCATTCATTATATTAATACGTAAAAAAACAAACACTAAGGAGTTCGGATCTGTCCACTATAAAATAAAGCATACACATGTATACCTCCCAAGTGCCCCTATTTAGGAGGGACAGTCCCTACTTTGTGCCTAAATCCCTGTCCTTTTTCTCTTCTAATATCCCACTTTTCTAGGAGCTCCATAGTATTGGTGTGTCTATGTGTATAACAGAGCTCCACAGCAATATTACATTAAAGGACCACTATAGTCACCCAGACCACTTCAGCTCAATGAGCTACTGAAGGGGTTGTAAACCCTTCAGCGCCACGGGAGGGGGACCCTGAGGGTGGGGGCACCCTCAGGGTACTATAGTGTCAGGAAAACCGATTTGTTTTCCTGACACTATAGTGTCCCTTTAATGTGTCTTTTAACTATGATAAATTTATTTTGAAATAATTCTGTGCAAATAAGATACATTGTTCTTGTTCTAAATTACTTTTAAATTGTATAAATTGTTATTTGTAAGTCATCTAAAATGTCTTCGAGCTGCCCTGCCCCTGGTCACAACCCCACTCACACCCCTAAAATTAAAGTGTCTCCCTTTGTCCATTTGAAGTGTTGGGAGATATGAACATGTGCAGTGAGTTCTAGCCATTGTTGTATACTTGAAGAGGCAGTTATCTATTAGAGAAACAAATTAATGGTTTGAAATAATTCAAATGTAATGTGGCTTTTGAAATGTAAAAAAAAACCTTAAAGGAACACTATAGTGACAGGAATATAAACATGTGAAAACACCCCCCACCCCCCCATCCCCGTCAGCAATGTAAAAGGTGAGATGACTCCAGTGTTGTGCGAGTTTCCCTGCAGCTGTCCCCGCCCCTGCTCTGCCTCCTTGGCTGAGGTCATCAAACTTGGCTAATCCAATGCACTCCCATCGTAAAGCTTTGGGAGGCTATAGCACATGTGCAGCAAAAGTGCTGCGCTAATCACCATCTCCTACTCTACCTTCTGGAAGTTTTAAGAGATGAAAAGAAATTACTGTCTCAGGCCTTCAGAATTATAGAGTGCATCATATTATAGCTGTGTTCAGGGTATTATACACATATGAGAATATTTTAATAATGTTGTGCATTGTATACCCTGAGCTGGTTTGGCCAGCATGTATGACTTGTATTTCAGTGCTGGAGTAAAGGGGATCTGTCACAGTTTGGGGTCTTTGCATAATATGCGGTGGCCAGGGTAGGGCATTGGAAGGTAAGATTTACTTACCTGAACCTGTCCCTCGCAGGCACCACCATCACCATCTTGATTCACTGCATCCACTTTAGCTGCAAGGAGCTGATGTCAGTGCTATACTCTCGGCCATGCGCATTAGTACAGCACTGAGTCCTATGGATGAGCTTTGCCCAACCCCCGCCATCACTGATGACAGCTTGGGGAAATGACAACTTTGACAAAGTACTAACTCCTTTTACTCCCAACTTTGTCTTAGTATATCTTTTGAGTGGGTTGGAATTTCAGTGAAATTCAAACACCGCCAATGTGAGTATTTCATGACGATTTTATCTTTATTAATTACTCATTCTTGAGGGGGTGACAGAGCCACTGTTAGAGCTTAGTGGGAATGGTGCTGTTAATTGTAATGTGCCTAATTACAGAATCCTATTGGCAGAAAACACAAAAAAAATGAAAACTGACACTTGCAGGATGAGTTATTAAAGGGTTACTTTAATCACCACAACCACTTCTGCTTTTTTGAAACACTGCACATCCAAAGATATTTTTAATTGTGTTACACACTACGTAATGTAAATTCTGTGCATAAAATAAGTCTGTTGTCAGTGCGCACTGTCGACAGACATAACTGCTTCTTCCGCCTCCCAATTCCCTTTATTATTTTTTTAATTACCCTCCCACCTCCTCCTTTTCCTCCCTCCATCCCACTCCCCTTGCCTGCTCAGAATAAAAAGCCTTAGATTGGACCTCGGTGCGGCTCCCGTGACGTCACACAGGGGTGCACTGAGCAGCTTTGCCCTACACCAAATGAAGGTGAGTTAAACTTTAGTTTAAGACACTCCTTGGGCGGTTTTTCTAGTTAGAGGGCATAATAGAATAGTGCCAATATTATTAATTATTTAGGGTTGGGAAAAAAACCTTTAAGAATACATATAACCCTATGTCAGTTTCTGTCTTTCATCTCAACCTGGTCTACCTGTCCATCTTACAAGCCCTGGAGATCTCAGCTCCTTTCTATTCAGGACTTGTTTATCCACGCATTTCCTTTCCTTCTTACTAGCGAGTAGAAGCTGACTCCTGGAATGCAGCCGGGAGAACGAAAGAGGTGGATGTAGTGGGTGTAGCAGAAAGGAGGAATGCCACACAACCACGTGATGACAGGAAGATGTTGGACTGTTGGAGAAATAGAAGAAGCAGGAGCATTGGCGCAGTGCGTAAAGTCAGCTTTACGTTAATTATTTTATAGACAGCAAGTCCACACATGTTTGTTTTATGGCATCCATCTGATCATCCCATACTCCACTCCCTTTACACAATCCAATAGAGCAAGATCATATGAGGAGTGGTGAATGCAATGCCACATGCAGCACTATTATTACCGTCACTAGTAAATTAAATTCAGAACATTGCTTGGTCGTCTTACAAGTCTCTTAAATCACATGGTTAAACTAATTATTATTTAGGGTTTTTTTTTTGTTTTTTTCCATTCTAAGTTTTTCTCAAAATAAAAAAGATCACACAACATGAAGTTGACATATCATATTTCCATGATCCAAGAATATATATATATAAGATTACATTTTTATTGATCTTCCAATCTTTACCATCCTGTATTTTGTGTCATCTCTCCTCTTAAAAAATTCACAAATGTGAGAATCAGTTGCAAATTATGTCCCATTTTGTTCTCATGTATAAAACCCATATAGATATATATTTTTTCAAACTCTGTTTAGGTACAAAAGGTAAAAATATGGACACATAGCTTAAGTTAAAGAATATACTGGAGTTCAACAAATCCCAGGCCCCAGGTCACCATGGCGACTAAGAATTGTTTTCGTACGCTTGGGTGTTTGTCAGTGTCTGGAAATTTTACCTGAGATGGAAGTCTGTAGCGCAGATATGTTTGCTCAGCCTTGCAGATAGACACCGCCCACGGTGACCAGGTAAGAAGCCACCTGGACTGTGAATCTGTGCACGGGGGCTGTGCAGGAAAGGTGTTCCAAAGCAGTACCGACAAGGTCACAAACAGCAGGATAGTCGAGGGATTGCCGAAGTCAAAGGATGCCAGAGGTCAGGATAAACGACGTGTAGCCAAAGTCAAGGGATGCCAGATATCAGGATAAACTAAGGGTAGCCGAAGTCAAAGGATGCCAGAGGTCAGGATAAACGACGTGTAGCCAAAGTCAAGGGATGCCAGATATCAGGATAAACTAAGGGTAGCCAAAGTCAAGGGATGCCAGAGGTCAGGATAAACGAAGTGTAGCCAAGGTCAAGGGATGCCAGAGATCAGGATAAACTAAGTGTAGCCGAGGTCAAGGGATTCCAGATGTCAGGATAAATGATGTGTAGTCAAAGTCAAGGAATGCCAGATGTCAGGATAAAAGTCGTGTAGCCAGGGTCAATATGGAATACAAATTCAGGAGACTAGAAAACAGAAACTGAACACATGCACCAGGATCAAAGACTTGATCATGTCCTCAGGAAGGGGCAGTTTATATACCCAGCAGATAAGTCCAGCCCCCAGTGCTGCGGACATAGCCATGAATAATATGGCTAGAACAATTTGAAAGGATTGGACCCAGAGACAGCAAAGGGCCCAGGTTCAAACCCCACTTGTAGGGAGACCACGTCTGGATGGCACGGGGTTTACCTTAACAGTCATTCCGTTCTGTACTGGACACCTTAGGGCATCCCCGAGGTGGACGGCTGTGCAGAATCAGGGCCGGTGAAAGGATTTGTAGCTGCATAGGATAAGCGGATTTTGCCCCCTTTCCTCCCCCGGTCGACTAAAACTACACAAAAACTAAAACAAATCAGACAATAGACATGTGCAATTCATTTTGATCTTCCAAATTGCCGAATTTTGGAAGTGCCGAACCGAATTTTGGAAGAGCCGAAGTGCTTCGGATTTCAGAAAAGTGGGGGGAGGAAGACACGTGGAGGAGATGAGATGCATGGAGGGGTTAGGGGATAAAGATACAGGGTGCTGGGGGGAAGAGACCGAAAAATGGGGCTATTGAGAGAAAGAGAGAGAGAGGGGCTGGGAGAGTGGGGGAAAAAGCCACAGAGGGGCTGGGGAAGGAGCAAAAGAGAGACACAGGGGCTTGGGGGGGAGGAGATTTAGAGGAGCTGGTGGGACACAGAGGATTTGTGGAAGGGGCAAAAGAGACAGATCGGAGCTTGTAAGAGAGTCACCAAGAGGGGCAGGGGGGACACGAAGAGACACAGAGGGACTGAGGAAGGGACAAAAGAGACATAGGTTTTAACTAAACCCATTAGATTTTAGTTGACTAAAAATAAAACAATTCAGATGACTAAAACTAAATTGAAATGTGACGCCAAAATTAACAGTGCTCTTAACCAATGAGCGAGGTCCTCATATGGCAGGGCTTAGGAGTTTCTGTTGGCAGCCTCCTGAAAACTAATACATCTATTCACTCACAGATATACACCAATAGCCAGTCATAGATGCACAAAATCACCTTAACACACTCATACAGACTTTCTATTATGCATGCAGGGCATGCACACTCATTCACACACCCAGATACCAACTCACATTCAGTTATACAGACACAACATAGATGGTCCGCTACTATTGCTTAATGCTACTAATTCCACTTAATTGCTGTCCTATAGCACTCCTCACTGTAACCTAGAAGTATATGTGGTGTGACTATTAGGGGGGCTGCATCCTTCTTTCCCACTCCCTCGCGGTCTGATGACACATGGTATAGTGTATCATTGTGTAATGAGAGGGCTGATTGATAGAAAGGGGGCGTGGCTTTCCAGGCAGCAGCCAATTAAACTTCTTCAGGGATTACAATGTCTTAGGGCATCCATAGTGTGCCATAGCAGCGGCTCTGCTGTTCAAAACACCGGCTGTGCAAGAGTTGTGAGGGGCGGCTGCTGTGGGCTTAGGGCAGCTGCCCCTTGTATCCTTCATTAAAGTTCTCCTATCGGTGCCCAAAGGACTCCAATAACCGTGTAGTGCCAGAAATATTAAAAAATACAAGTCTCTGGCCAGGGGCCAGGGAGTTGGATTTTTTTGCGCCCCGCTGCTGTGCCGCCTTATTGCCCTCGGCTTAATGCAGGCGGGCAGTGAGGGAGCTGTAATCTTCCTGCTCTTCTTGCTCTGCACTCTCGTGCACCCTTTTGTGATGCCGGGATATAATGTAATTTCGGGGCCTTTGCACTAAACAGTGCGCAAGGAAGAACAGTAAGAAGTGCATGAAGATTGCAGGCAACGGCTTAACTACCAAGGTCGTAGGGGTCGCAGCCGATGTCCTTCCAGAGGGCCCGACCACTACTGAGATACCTGCTACCGTGGGCCGCCGCCATCACTTCAGGATTGGTGCGAGGCCTGCGGTTGCCAGGTTATAAGCAGGAGGGAAGAGCTGTGCTGCTCCCTTTCTGCTGCTGTGTGTAGTGTGGCTGAGCGGTCTGACAGAAAGTGCTATCCTGTCAGTCCTAGTACCATGCTACGGGTGAACAGGGACAGGAGGGGAGGGGGGAGAGAATGAGCCAGATGGAGGAGCTGGGGGATGGAGGGAATGACATGGAAGGTCTGGGGGGAGGGAATAAGACACTTGAAATATCTAGTGGGAGGGAATGAGACACATGGAGTGGTTAGGGGGGGAAATGAGACACATGGAGGGGAGGATATGAGACACATATAGAGGCTGGGGGGAAGGAATGAGACACAAGGGTGGACATAGGGGGAAATGAGAAACTTGGAGGAGGGAGAGAATGAGACACATGGAGGGTCTGTGAGGTATGGAATGTGGCAATTCCTGCACCGGGGCCCAGTGATTTTTGGTTACGCCTCTGATTACAGGATAACAGCAGTCACACTGGACCTCATGGAAAGGATCCACTCCAGGTGTCTGTCAGTGAGTCTGTGACTGTTTCTGTCTGTGAGTGTGTGTCAAATCAGTGAGTGTCTGTTTAGGTGACCAGCCACCTCAATTTGCAAGGGACAGTGCTTTTATTCACCTTTTTCCCCATGACGTGCCGGTCTCGCTGCGTCTGGCCCTGCCTTTATGGCTGAGATAATCATTCTTAATGATTTCAGCCAATCCAATACTTTCCCAAAGGGCAAAATGTTGCGCTGTGCCAGTCAGCATCTCATCATAGAAAAGCACTGTATTAATGCATTTCTATGGGGAAGAAAACAAAAGGTGCAAAAGGGTCAGCGCTAATAATTGATAGATAAGACCGGCAGAGGCCCAACAAACCCTCTAACCCTTTAGATAAGGAACATGCAATACAAAAGAGAGAAAGGGCTGCGCTAGATATGATAAAAACAATTAAAAAAAAACAATAACTTATATCAATAGGTAAACAACAGCAGAGGAGTAAAGGCTGTACACATGTACAGTAAAAGGAGATATAACACTCTCCAGAGTATAGACAAATTAGTCAAAAAAGGTCCAAATAAGAGGATCTCACTTTAGTAAATGTCTTTATGGGAGCTTGTTGGGATGTTATGTCCTCAATAAATTAGTAGTCCAAACGTTCCACTTATATGAAAGATAAAAGACAGGCACAACCAATGGTGCAATATGTACAATCTGAAGGAGTCACTAAAAGAAGATACTTAAAGGGACACTCCAGGCACCCAGACCACTCCTGCCCATTGGAGTGGTCTGGGTGCCAACTCCCCCTACCCTTAACCCTGCAAGTGTAACTAGTGCAGTTTTTCATAAACTGCACAAATTGCCTAACAGGGTTAAGTCCTCCTCTTGTGGCTGGTTATGAGACAGCCACTAGAGGCGCGTCCGGGTTCTTAAAACACTCTTAGTGTTTTAAGAGATGCTGGACGTCCTCACGCAATGCATGAGGACCTCCAGCGTTGCCGGAATCCCCATAGGAAAGCTTTCCTATGGGGCGGTGTAATGCGTGCGCATTAGGTCTTCCCAGCCGGCTGACGTCGGCGGGGGAGGAGAGTTGGCAGAGCCTGCCCAGTGCCGAGGGACATCGGCGCTGGAGACAGGTAAGTCACTGAAGGGGTTTTAACCCCCTCAGCAACCTGGGATGGGGGGTGGGAGGGAGAAGGGACCTGCAGTGCCAGGAAAACGGTTTGTTTTCCTGGCACTGGAGAGTCCCTTTAATAAACTCACATTTCAAAGAGTTATAACCAGCTTCACGGATCTGTGACTTTTGGGGGTCTTTGCACATTTTGCTGCCGCTCACGGCAATCTTCTTCTTGGAGGTCTTTTTCGGCTCCTGGCACTTCATTTGTCAAGAAACGAGTCAGTGGTGACAGTACAACACCGAGGTCTATGGATATCTTGCGATGATCAAGACCACACCTGAAACCCACAGCCATCAATTTTGAGGGCTCCTGGAACTGGACAGAAATTGACGGCAGAGCAGGCATTACTTTGTCTTATGGAATCTTTGGATAGCATTGAAATTCAGACATTTTCAGCATTAGTATTTCTTTTTTTTTGTCAATCTCTTTTTATAGAAAGTTTTCGTTTTTTATTGCACCCGTGCGGGTTATGTAACACAAAGAAAGTACAGTATAAGTATACATATGCTGGAAAACAAGGTGTACATTAGTCTAAGAACAGGTATGTATCACAGAAATTGTGGACCAACATTGGTACGTTATCAGGAGTGTGTGAATTGCTTCGGGAGAATGGCTGTGTGGTATAGGTGGGCTTAATGCAACCCGATCAGGTTGTGGAGTTATGGCCTTCTTCTAAACGTACCCTAAGCCCAAGAGGCCCTCGAGGGTGGGGACTGGAAATGGAACGGCAGATCACTCCTTCTTAGAGGGGAACAAGTGGACTGGGTATGGCTCAAAGCAAACAAGTTAAATACATCACATCTTTAGCTCTCGGGGAGGTCAGGCATCCGGTGCATGGTATCCTGCATGGATGTGGGGAGCCCCATGGCCTTACAGAATGTCGGGGACTCAGCTAGTGTGGAGAGTTTATGTACAGTTCCCTTATGTGTGACCACCAGGAATCTGGGAGATCTCCAGTGATATTCTATTCCCGTATCTCTGAGGATGCTGGTGACGGGTTCAGCGATTTGCACCATTGTAGCGTGGATCTGGTGAGGTCTTGATAGATGGTGAGTTGTGCTCCTTAAAATGTTAGTGGCGTCTTGCCCCGGAGTGCCGTCATCAGGATTCTATTGTCTTGGGAAGTGGCACAGCGTACAATCACATCTCGGTCCATGGTTGGGGCTTTTCTGCCCGAGGATGGTAGGCGGTATATCCCGTCTGTCTTTTTGATTTCCCCAACTAGGTTGTGAAAATCTGCTTGGCTGCCTCCTATTGTACTATTATAGTCTTACGGACTATGAGCCATTCCCCCATCCCGGACCCCATGTATTTTATCTAGTCTCTACACGGTTTCCAATAAAGTATTTTTTATTTTATTTTATTCATCTTTTTTCAACCAGGGGATTCTATACCCCCCTAGTGGGCATACCCTTAGTTGAGTGTATTGTGAGAGATAGACGTTTGTTCTCCTCTCCATACACCCTTACCTTTGGGAATTTCTCTATTATAGGTTGTGAAAGTCCTGCTGGGTGACTGGGGCAGACACTTCTGGATTCCTCTTGGGTGCTTGTGCCCTTTCTGGAGGTAAGTCAAGTGGTATGGGGTCTATTGGTACCTTGATGGTTTAGTGTTCCATTTTGGGCGGCGGTTATTGTTGTTGCAGCATGGCACCTGGACCCTGAGGGCGACTCCGGTGGAGGTTTTTGGGACTGGGGTCTCATCGTTGCCAGGGTAGGTAAGTATTCTGTGGGGAGGTCTTCCTCCTCTGGGTCCTCCGGCGGTTCAAATCTGCCCAGGAGTGTCGACCAGTCGAGGGCCGCTGTGGGTTTGTAGGCCTCAGGTCTGCATTTCCGTCGGTTCACCCGTGCCGGGTACACAAACGGCATGGGGGGCCAGCTTGGTTGTGCTCAGCTGGTGCCCCCGGTCAGGAGTGGGTTATTTGAGGGTTTTAAGCCTCAAATATCAGGCTTTGATGCAGGTTTTGGTCAGGAGTGATGCTGGGTTGCGTCCGCTCCAGCTTGTGGTCAGGCTCTGCCCCAGCATTAGTATTTAATAAAGATTTATAAAATACTGAGAAATGACAGAGATGCTTTAAGATTAATCTGATCACAAATTTCTAACTTAGATTTCTAATTTTTTCCCTGCAAGATTTTTACACTTAATAATTAACAGACAGCTTCAATATAAAGAATGCAAGCTCATTTGAGTAGGCTCTCAACACCCTCTGTTCCTGTGCGTCCAATTCGTCTTGTTACAAATACTAATCTGTTAGTCCACCTATCGTACAGCGCTACAGGATTTGTTGTCTCTTTATAAATAATAATAATAATACTATTGTACTGCGCTGCGGAATATGTTGGCGCTTTATAAATGCTAGTAATAAATAAATAAATAGTGATGTGCCGAACGGTTCGCCGCGGACTCATCATTGAGTAAACTTTGACCCTGTACCTCACAGTCAACAGACACATTCCAGCCAATCAGCAGCAGACCCTTCCTCCCAGACCCTCCCACCTCCTGGACAGCTCACTAAGAATGCAGCTTCACAATGAATGTAAAATGGATGCTGTCCAGGAGGTGGGACGGTCTGGGAGGGAGGGTCTGCTGCTGATTGGCTGGAATGTGTCTGCTGACTGTGAGGTACAGGGTCAAAGTTTACTCAATGATGAGTCCGCGGCGAACCGTTCGTGGCGAACCGTTCGGGACATCACTATAAATAAAATTTGCCATATTTTCTTAAGATTCTACGCTATGCTTCAATAATACTTTTTTTTCCCGTTTAGTTTAGGATTATTAATGTAATACAATAAAATATATATCTATATATTTATTTTTTGTTAATTTTTTTTTCTGTCCCTTTAAAAACATTAGCATGTAACTATGTCCCTTTAAACGTTGATTCACAACGTGCATGCCATACTTCCGGGTGTGGGTTTCCTGACGTCATAGCAGAGGTATTTCCCCCCCCCTCCTCCCTTGCACATGCCCGCTTCCTGTGTGGCCGCGCATGCGCAGCTTGGCCCTTTAAACGTGCAATTGGACGGGAAAATGAAGTCCGGCTCTTTACCCGTGCAGGTTCTGGTGGGTGTTTATAGATCCTTCCGCCGATAGGTACTCTTTGGCGTAATGGGTCATCCAAGCTCTCTCTTCCGTCTCTATCCATCCTCGCTTCTCCATTAACCGCCCCGGCCGGACACCTTCTCTCCTCCGGAGTCACTGAGGGAGCAGGACGGGCCGCGGGGGGTCCGGGAAAGGGCGGGGTCACCGGTGGGGGCGCGGAGGGAGCCTGGTAACAGGAAAGCAAGATGGCGGCTGCGTAGACTCTGGGAAGAACCGACTCTGAAGGAGGAAAACAACAATAATAAGAGGGCTGGCTGGGGTGGTTTACCTGCCCGTGCTCGGGGACATGGTGGAGTTGGAGGTGTGTGGAGATTTGGGGGGCCCTGTCCCTCACTATTAACCAGTCACAAACCAGTGTGAACACCAGTCAATATGGGGTTAATACAGGGTTAATGGGGAATATGGGGTTAATACAGGGTTAATGGGGAATATGGGGCTAATACAGGGTTAATGGGGCTAATACAGGGTTTATGGGGCTAATACAGGGTTAGTAGGGTATATGGGGTTAATACAGGGTTAATAGGGAATATGGGGTTAATACAGGGTTAATGGGTATATGGGGTTAATACAGGGTTAATAGGGAATATGGGGTTAATACAGGGTTAATAGGGAATATGGGGTTAATACAGGGTTAATGGGAATATGGGGTTAATACAGGGTTAATGGGAATATGGGGTTAATACAGGGTTAATAGGGTGGGTGAGGGTGTCTGTTAACCTGTGATTATGAGGAACCTCCAAATATTGCCTTAAATATAGCCTGGCCATGTGGGGGGAGGTAAATATTCATGTTTTGGTATAATGGAGGTCAGTACACCAGTAGTGACAGCATGGCTGCTGTAAATTATCTTGGATTGATATCATCATCATCAAAAAAAAACAAAACCCTGTAATCAGCATAGGACAGACACACACGGTCTGCGTCCGGTATTTATATTTACGGCCACACGTAAACATCCAGCAATATTAGAGCATGGAAGGATTAAAACAACAAATTTATTGTGCGATCAGAACCGCATTTTCGGGGGAAAAAAATTGCTTTGTGTTTGGTTCCATAGAATAAATATATATTTTTTAATACAGGTGAGGGTAGTGAGTTTTTAAAACGCTTTGTGCTTGACCGTATGGTACTCGGAGGAGCGATATATTTTCCATCGGTTCCGGCTGACCTATGTAGGTATTGGTTTCTTCCAACAGCTACGTAATGATAAACCAGTTCTGGTTCTACATGGAGCGTTATGCTTGGTGATGTCCGTGGGTTAATCTAAATTTAGCCAAGGGCCAGATGTCTGTTTAAGGCCTCCTGGCAACGAACAGGTTAAGAGTTAGTGGCCGTTCTTTCAGGATATTGTCGAACATTAGGCTACGTCACAGTGTATGAGACTGACTAGATAGATAAAATTAATATAGAGCTTATAATAGCACGTAGGCAGCAGGAGGTAGTCTATTCAATAGGAGGAAATGTTTTTTTGTTTTGTGTTTTGTTTCCTCTCTCTTTCTACACAATCTGAACTCAGCCCTACTCTTATTTATTACGCAGGTTTGAACATCCAGGAAGCTGCTGACCTCTTGACATCTGTGGGATTCTGGGTTAATATCGTAGAAACCAGTATTTGCCAGGTTTGGCTATTGGTGTCAGGGCCATTGCCATATTAAAGATCCCTCTCTACCCACACTCTGCAGATATTGGCTTGAAGGATGGTGCTGTGACCAAAGTCTTTACCCCTCCCATTGGATTTACAATACATGTTTGTGTAAACGGTGACTCAGTTTAGGACATGGAGTCTGAAGATTTCATTCCTCCCCCAGAATGTCCTGTTTTTGAACCAACCTGGGAAGAATTTGCAGATCCATTGGGATATATTGCTAGGATTAGGCCTATCGCTGAGAAATCTGGGATATGTAAAATCCGCCCTCCAGTGGTGAGTATAATCTCTATCTGAAACCTACATTTGCCATTGGGATGGTAGAAGCCACCATCACCCTTTAAAATAACAGTTCATTATATGAAAATTTCCATATGTTAAGTCATATAACCTGTTTTCCACGGAAACTGGCCTAGCTAAATAAACCAAATGTTGCATTTCTTTTTGTGTCCATGACATCATTTCTAGTTACTCCTTGCCAAATGTGTTGTATGTCCCTTCCATTTTTTTTTTGTATTTTAAACCAAGCCTTGAATGGAGAAATAATTATTAGCAACATGGCTCCCAGGAAGTGCTTTTGTTCCCTGCCCCCACCCATCTTCCCTTTAGTTTTCTAAGAATCTTCCATTGCTCTGCTGTAAAGAATGTAAAACTCCCACATATATGGTTACACTTCGTGATATACGGACTTTTATAAGTGACTTATTTTTCTACATTTACATTTTTGATTCTTTTGAGAGCCTTTGTGTCTAATTTGTCTTTGGTTTGGATTAAATATTTTTTTTTTTTTGGAATAGTTCTTGACTCACTCCACAAAATATCCACCTTCTTTACTTGATGGTGCCATAAATAGTGTGTGTAAATAGGAAATTTGGGCAGGAAGCAAGTAGCCATTTAATTTTTAGGCTACTTATTTGTTGGATTACACGTGAGATGACAAGGCTTCTGTTGACCGTAGGAAAAAAACTGGTTGAACGAGGAGGAGCTGGACGTAACCAAACACAACTCTACCATCCCCCCCTGTTGCCACCAAGCACTCACTCAGTGTGCAACATGACTGCTGAGTGAGAATCTTTTGTCTATGCAACAGCAGGAGGGGCAGACCGAGAACTGTACTTTGGACTTTGACATCCAGAGAGGCACAAATAGTCCTGTCTCATGGGTTTACTGTAGGGCTATCTAACTACAACAAACCCAATGGGTCTATGAAACATGTCTTTATAGAGCTAGAACTGAATGGAAATTCAATAAGAATTAAACTATCCGCAGACCAGCACATGAACAATAATTTAGCCCTCCTACGATAATCGACTGGCATAGAACTTTTGTACACACTCTGAATAAAACAAACATTATATGACCCACTGAGCATTGTGCTATGTGTTATCGTCAGAACATGGCATGTTTTTGACCATTAAAGGCCACGTTTTAAATATGGCCATTTTTTTTTCTTTTTTTTTTTTGAACACTTTCCAAGCTTAATCTGTACATACATGTAAATAAAGTTGCTTTGATTTCATGCCTTCCACTGCTTCTACTGACTTTTTTTTATTTTTATTTATTTACCCTTTTTTTTAGATTTTTATTTTTCTCGTTCACAATTCTTCTTATAAGCCCCCCCCCCCCTGTTAGTAACTAGGCAACATTTGGTTTTGTTTTTCTTCAGTCATTTTGTTCCCAGGAGTATAAAATAGAATAGGATGTGATCCTGCATTCCTCTATGGAGTTTTATTAATGTATGTTGGTATACAGGTTTTAACAGGCCAAGGCTGCGTTAAGCCACATAAGAACTAAAGCCCCTCCCTCTGATGAGACAGCAGTGATGAACTGTCCATTATCCAGTTTATCATCTCACACGTAAGCAGTGAAATTTGAAGAGCTGCTCTTTGTTTTTCACTGTAGCTCAGGGCTGTGGGCCTAGTGCAACATACAGGCTGTATATATAGGTTGCATTGTTCTCTACACAGAAAGGGGGTCCTGCTGCACAGTTAATCTAGTTTGATCTTTTATAAGAATATTTTATACACGAAGATAGTAAATTTCCAGATTTCATAAAAATGTTATCTTACATATGTTCTGTTTAATGTATTGGGGGGGGGGGAACAGCTTAAACGTTTTCATTTGTGGAGAGGGTAAACTGAGTAATTGCGAGTTTTAGCTGTTTATCGAACAGCATTACAAATACGTATACTTTATGTTGGCTCTCATCAATATCTTCTGAATTGGCATTTGTTGTAACCCCTTACTGTAGGAATCTTCATTTCACTGTCAAAATCCTCATTTTTATCACTGATACCTTATGGAAGACAAGAGTTACACGGTTGTGGGATTTTTAGTTCTACTCAGATTAGTTGGTGTGGGTAGTCTGGCACAAATGTATCTGCCAGTGCATCTTGTTAAAGGAACACTTCAAGCACCATCACTACTACAGCCTGCTGAGGTGGTTAAGGTGCCATGGCAATGTCCAAGTGTAACTCCTAAAACGGTTTTGGAACAGGTTTCACTGGTCGTCTGTGTGCTAGCCTGCTTCTGTATCCTCCTGAAGAAGAATGCGGTTAACTTTGAGCTAAGCAGGGCCACACTCATTGGCTGAGAGCATCAGCAAACCGCACTCTGCTAATGAACACATTCCGGTATGGGCGGTGTTTAGCTGCAGAGAGGCATTTGGCTTCACCTACAGGAGAAGAATAGATGTATTGTGAACACCATGGAGACCAATGTAAGTTGTCAAACTATTCTAAAACTGCTTGACAGATCACACTGTAATGGCACCATGGTACTCTTAGAACCATAACCACTATAGCGGGCTGTAGTGTCTATGGTTCTTGGAGTCTTTCTTTTAATGTTAAATGGGCACCATAATCACTACTGCTTATTGTAGTATTTTTGGTGCAATTACCTCGATTTAGTGTCAAGCAGATTGAAGAAAATATAGGCTATCCTTCAGGTCAAACCCTCTGCTGTTGAATGGCTAATGCCGAAGTGGACTTCCTCCTTAGCCAGTCCAACCTAGTTGATAACCTGAGAACTAGTGGCAGCTTAGTTCAGAGAGTATAATTGCTGCCTAAATTTTAAATATGAAGATGAGAACTAGTCCTTTTAGAAAATATGACTACTAAGAAAGTTGGAGATATCTACTACAAAAGCACAGTATTCTTTCCAATGTAATTTATGAAGTGCAACGGCCTGTGAAACAGCATTGTAGCCTTAAAGGTGAAAACTCCTTCAGTGACTCACCTGAGACCCGCCGATGTCCATCGGCGGGGCTTTCTTCTTGCTGCCGCTCCTCCCAGTCATCACGTCAGTGGGCGAGACTGATCCCGCCCACCAGCCGGGGAGACCTGATGCCATTGCCGCGCATTCCCCTATGGGGAATTGAGCGACGCTGGAGGTCCTCACACAGCGTGAGGACGTCCAGCGACGCTCTAGCACAGGTTTTCTGTGCTATAGAGCAGGAAGCGCTCTCTAGTGGCTATCTAGTAGACAGTCACTGGAGGTGGAGTTAACATTGCAAGGTAATTATTACAGTTTATAAACTGCAATAATTACACTTGCAGGGTTAAGGGTAGTGGAGTTGGCACCCAGACCACTCCAATGGGCAGAAGTGGTCTGGTTGCTTGGAGTGTCCCTTTAATAATAAAAGTTTCTGTTTAGATTGTAAAAGCTTGAGCCAGGTCATCAGGCCCCCATTTAAATTCGTCCCATAATATTTGTTTAAAAATTGAGAAGCAAGAGAGCTTTACTGTAGAGGCGAGTCCAGTGTAAGCTCTTCAAATGTATAGAAGTCTGTGTTGAGACTATGCGGGATAAAACATTAGGAGAGCCAGTAAACCTGTGTATGGAGTAGAGAATATTTACAATTTTTCTTTTGTCATTGTCTAATGAATGGGAACCAAGCTGGAAGAGAGGATTGCCCAGCAATGGATGGCATAAAAACTGAATACCCATTGCTAAATTCTGGGCTGGTGTAGGTTTGCCTATTAAGAAGTCAAGCACAAAACCGTATAGCGATGGGAGTTTTTAGTCCTAGATTTTGGACTGATTAAATTCCCCCACAAAAGTTGGCTGCTGGCATTTTTTAAAGAAAAGGCTTTTATTTATTCATATTTTAAATCAAATATTGCTTTCTTGTACATCCGTAAAAGATTGGATTAACTTGTTTGAATGTTTTCTTTGTGGAAGAGGAGCACTGTAAGACTGGAGAAGATGCAGTAATTTTGGAGATATGATAGTTGTTGATTACACCTGTTCAAGTAAGAAAGCTGGGTAAACCAACCCAATTCAGTAGTTTAAAAATTCTTTAACCCGTAGATGTAGCAGATTATTTAAACACTCAATTATTTAAGATCTCAATTGGACCAGAAGAAAAGGAAGGTGATATACCAGTCTCACTGAGCAAGCTAGAGAGATGCTTTGTCTTACTGTGACTTATCCTAAAAAATGACACCAACTAGAATTGACTATATAGAAAACAATTGAGGTATGACTTGATCTGGATTGGAGTAGAAAATAAATCGTGGTATGGCACCTATTTATCTTTGGAATAATCTCCAGGATTATAATCAGCAATGCTTGATGTCAAGGATGTTATTGTATAGGGTAGTTTTAATTGGAGTGATATTTTAATAATCTGACTGAACCCACCAAGGCTTGGAATTTCAACATATTTATTGAAACACCATTCTAGATGAACATTATATGTGTCGGGAAACTCCAGTTTCCTAAATAAAATATGTAGTAGGAGACCTTTTGCAGGTCTAATATTTACGGGACAATGGTCCGATATGGCTTTTAAGTTTTATTCTTCTCACTATATGTAATGGGGAGTTTGAAAGTAACGTGGTCAGTTTGGCAGAATGTGTATGTGTCAGAGAAAAAGATGACATGCTGTCAAATGGATGTATCTCCAAGAGTCTATCAAATATTGGACCACAAATGAGAAGTCCTGGTGGCATGAGTCCCAAGAATGTGACCTGTCCACTACTGGATTGCGAATCATGTAGAAATCCTCTTGTAATATCTCATTATGTTCATTTTCTACTGAGAGAATTTATTTCTTTAACGATCTGAAATGAAAGAAAAGTTAGAATATGCTGCATATACACAAAGTATCTACCCCTTCAAGGTTTGTGTAACGGAAATATATCTGTGTATTAAAAATGTTGATTTGACTCCTTACCATGGTACAATTTTTTTGGAACTGTAACCAATACAGGGTACTGTTGTGCCCCCTTTTAACCAAAATAAGTAAAAAAACAAACCCAAATCTGCATTATTTTAGTGGGCCAATAAAAGAAGTCATCTGAAAGTATGGAACATAGGATAAGGAGAGGAATGTGGTTGGTGGATTCAGTTAAAGATCTCAGGACTGTGACTGGTTTATTTTATTTTTAGATCCACATTGACCTTCTTTTGGGTATTGCAACAGTGAGTGGTGTCAGTTAAGTGTATCCTTATCCTGGTTGGATAGAGAACATTTTCTTAGGACATCTGTATAAAGCAGATTTTAGGGAAAGGTTGCCCTTCTCTTTCATTTTATTTTTTTTGTAAACGAGTTGAGTGAAAAATAGTTGTGGAACATTTAGAGTCCTGATAATTGAACTCTGTTAAAACATCTGTGAGGCTGTAGTGTTTCAGATTTACCTGCAAAGTTTGGAGTCTTCATTATCTTGATGGTTGTGTGTTCAGTCTGTGCTTCTCTATGCGTATTTTTGAAAAACTAAACATTTTGGGAGTCTTCAGAGAAAAGTGTGAAACTTGGTCCCTGGTGTTGCTTATTACTGTTGAAACATTGAGCTCCCCTACATACTCAGATTAAGTTTAGAGGGATTTGCACAGATAATGTGGAGGTGAAAAACAGACTTCGTGCTGATAGAACCTCATTAAGCTGTAATGCTTACGATACTAGTATCTCTTTAACTTAGTCAATTCGCTCAAGGATAAGGAAAAATATTATGTTCTTACCATCTGTTGGTTTGCTATATGACTTTTACATGCATCGCTATGGCTGCCTATAAATTCAATTACCCTTCCTATGTGTTTAAGATGAACTCCTAATTGGGTATTAAAGCAAATTTAGAAACCTTTATGGTGTTTATCATATAAATATTTCCAGAGAATGTGCTTCCTTTGACTGTCTGGATCATTGCATTTTCAAATGCGACATCAGCGTGTTCGCAGTGTATTTTCTATGACTCAGTTTATCATTCTATTTAACCCCACCTGACGCCTGAGCTGAGAGGAAAACGCCTGATGTCTTTTTCTTTTTCTCCTTCTTTTTTTGGTCTCAGAAGTGTGATACCAAATATGTGAAGTGTGTCAGAATATATCTTGCATCTCTGGAGATATTCAATATTATTTATCTGCAATTTACATTTGCACAACCTCTCTTTTATTATGTATTCTTCACCATTCAGTGTGGTTACTGAAGATTTTTGTTTCTTAAAGTGGTGTTGAAATTTAATCTTAATTATCACAGTATTACTTAGAAGATCATGAACTGTACTATATCCTACCTGCTATAAAAATGGAGAGCAAATGTACAATTTTAATTTGCAGATGTCACTGTCAACACTTGGGTAAAAAAATACTGCATTTTACCTCCCACAATCCTCAGTGGGGCATCTACCAATGCCTCTCATACACCTCCATACTAGGTCTTGTGGGATTCTGAAATTTGCGTTTGGAGGGGCGTAGATGTACTTGCATCCTCTGAGACCACATGACACACACCTGGGTTCTGTTAAGCAAAGTGTGGATTTATTTTTCTGTTTTGCCACTGGGGTCTGGTGGTTTTTTTTTTTTCAAGAGAAAAAAGTATTTGAACTCCGATGTCTCTGGACACTTCATCAGAGATCCTATCAAGGGTAAACATATATGTGAAGTGGTCGGAGTGCATTTCCCCTGTCATTTTATCCCTGCGGTGCAAATAATTACCCTTTTTATTCAAGTCTGCAACTGCTATCTCTGCCCCTGTCTGCTGACATCAGAAGTTATTCTGTGAGCCAATCACCATGCTTCCCCACTGAGACTGAAGGAGGCAGATCAGGGGCAGAGCTAGCACAAGTAGAACACAGCCCTGGCCAATCAGCATCTCCTCATAGAGATGAATTGAATCAATTAATCTCTATGAGGAACGTTCAGTGTCTGCATGCAGAGGGAGGAGACTCTGAATGTTTGGATGCATTTTAGGCAGCCATGACCCAGGAAGGATCTCTAACAGCCATCTGAGGAGTGGCCAGTGAAGTTATCACTAGGCTGTAATGTAAACACTGCATTTCTTCTGAAAAGACAGTGTTTATAGCAAAAAGCCTGAAGGTAATGATTCTACTCACCAGAACAAATTCAATAAGCTGTAGTTGTTCTGGTGACTATAGTGTCCCTTTAAGTAATGTTAATGGAGTAGGACTGGGCTGTGGGGAGAGCTTTGTATCTGTGCTGGAACAGTGGGGAGCATTAGTTCAGGTTTTTGTGGTGTGGCCTGGCCAAAATTCTGTATTTTCAGCAGTATCGGCCAATAAGATACTGATAATGCAGACCAGGGCTGCCATCAGGGTCCGGGGGGAGGAGGGGGAAGAGAGGGTCCAGCACACTCTTCCTTACCTTCCCAGCAGCTCCCCTGTCTAACTCTCGCGTGTCCTGCAGCCGTCAGAGCGTTGCCACGGGTTACCATGGCAATGCGCTGCACACAGGCCGTGAGAGTTAGACAGGGGAGCTGAAGGGAGCTGCTGGGAAGGTAAGTAAGTGTTGCTCGGCCCCCTCTGCACCATCCACACCACCAGGGAATGCCATATCCCCCTCGCTGGCCAGGTAAGAAGCAAGGAGGGGGAGACTAAAACAATTTTAAAAAATTTAAATATGGAAAAAAAGTAAAATCATTTACACACTTAACATACCCTCTGCATTCAATATATATATAATATAATCACACACTGCATTCACTAATAAAATACTCACTGCATCCACTACACACACATTTTTAAAAACAAACAATTCTGACTGGCATGTATATTTCATGCATTTACCTTAATGAATAGGATTCGCAAAAAAATAAACATGTTCAGTTAACGGTAGATTTGTGTAGAAATAGTGTGTTTTTTTTTTTTTTTTTTTTAAATGATGTACAAAGTATCGGTAAGTTATCGGCCTGAAAGTTCGGAGTATCGGCTCTAAACAAAAAAAAAATCAATATTGGTCGATCCCTAAAAAGAAGTTTGTGTCTTGACAAATGAGGTTGATCCCATTGGGAGTAAGCTATGTGCATATTACAGGACATGTTTACAATAGCAAATGGTATGTCTTGTACTGAGCGGCCAGCATGTTCATATGGAGGAAAAAGTGAATTTTTATCAGTGATATGTGGTGATTGGCCCATTTGGTAATGAATTTTAATGTTAATATTTCGGGTAGTAATTCTCCTTCGGTGCTAATCGTGTAATGTTACGTGACATTGTATCCTAACGGAGTTGTGCTGATTAGACCTAGCAGAGGCACAGCTCTGTGTGGCGGTTTCAGAGCACTGAACACGAGGGATGAGACCTTCCCATGGGCAAAATGGTGAACATGCATTATTTAAAAAACAAAAGAAATCTGGTTCTGGATTGTACTGTCTTGCTCTGCAGGATCAGATAGTGAGATAATGTAACCCAAGAGGTCCATCAACCTGTATTCTAATTCTCTGTAATATTCCTTTCAGATTTCTACCAAGGCATGCTTGTATGTATATTTTTAACCTTCAGCAGCAGCTTATAAATATTTGGTGATATGCGTACCTCTAGCCAAACTGACTAGTTTTACTTCCTAGATGGGAATCCCAATTTTAACGCTGACCGTAATTTAAAATACATTGTTAGGGGTTGCATTCAACCAATTGAAGTTTTGTAAATGCATTTTTGGCTTTAAGATTGTTGCTGTAAATGTTGCCAGAGCAAGCACATCTAATTCTAGTTCCAGTTGATATAATGTTGGCATTATAACTGATGGAACAGATCAAAACAACAAATCTACAGTCAGTGATTATTAACACTTTGATTAGGGCCCACACCTTGGTACTCAAAACTTTATTTTTTAATTTTTTTTTATTTCTTTCAGTGGCTGTTGTTTGGAACAGGCACATCACATTTATTGTGGACTGTCACTTGAGCATTTCCTTCTACTGGAAGCATCTAATGAACGCCATTTTGTTAAATGTTAACATAAATAGTCTAGAGCTGAAGAATGTATCACTGCTTTGAGTTTATAATTGAGGAATTGCAGCCTGCGAGGAGAATCCGGTTAGCGACACTGAGCTGTGAAGGGCCCCTTTACCAAAGTATTATTTCGTTTTGCGTAATAATGCCCCTTGTAACCAATATTGTGATCACTTCATCAATTACACCTGTTTGACATTGAACCTCTAACAAATAAAATAAGAAATGACAATACCATTCTAGTCACTGGCACATTGCGAGATTGTGCTGTCATTAAATAAGACTCTTAAACTAGATGTGCTGATCGATTTGTAAGCTATGTCTATGCTTCAGTGTTTTCCCATTTCTACCTCCATTTAGGCGGCTACTAGATTTGTATAAAAGTTACCTCTGAATCACTGATTTCCACCCAGTGAAGATATTATTGGGGTATATTAGGGCAAAGGCATTGCTATTAAAAGGACACTATAGTCTCTAGAACAACTACAGCTTATTTTAGTTCTGGTGAGTATAATCAGTCCCCGCAGGCTTTTTTGCAGTAAAAAGAGGCAGTGTTTACATTACAGCATATGGACACCTCCAGTGGCCACTCCTCGAATATCTACTAGAGTTGCTTCCTGGAGCTGTCACTGACATTCAGTGTCTCCACCGTCTGCATGGAGACACTAAAATTTCTTAACAGATGCATTGATTCAATACATATCTATGAGGCGATGCTGATAGGCCATGGTGGTGTTTGGCTCCGCACCCGACCTGCCTCCTTGCCGGAGATAATCAGAATTGATCATTTCTGCCAATCCAATGCTTTCCTATGGAAAGCATTGTGATTGGCTTAGATCAGTGTGTGTGTATACACACACACGTGCCAGGGGGCTGGATAGTGTTTTTAATACTATAGGGTCATGAATACATGTTCTTTAAGAAAATGGTTTGCAAGGATCTGCAGATAACCATAATGCATTTAGGTCTGCTTTTATTACTGGCACACAACATATTTACCACCACAAAATAGGGTTGTCTCAGCCTTGTTTTTAGACTTCTTGCTAACTTCTTTATCTCTTTTAGGACTGGCAGCCCCCATTTGCTGTAGAAGTAGACAATTTTCGTTTCACACCACGTATTCAGAGGCTCAATGAGTTGGAGGTAAGTAAACTCTTGGATGAACTTAATGTCTTATTTGCCTGCCCCATTGACCTCCACACTGGAACCAATTATTGCTGAAGAACTCTGAATAGTATGTTCAAGTTGGCCATGATTTCCTAGCAACTCAAATTGCATTTTGAGGATCCCAGAATCTTTTCTCAGTTCAGGCTTGTTTAATGAGGACTATGCAAGCCAAGCTCTATAATGCGCTTCATTTATGTCTGAATCTGCCAGGTTCTGCCCTGCTGATGAGCCTGGAAAGCTGCATATACGTTTAGAACTGTGGGATCAAGTTTCTGTATTTTCTACTATATATTATACTATAGTTTCTTGTTTGCTTTGTGGTGAACCAGCATTTCAAGCCTCTATTTTGCCAGATCAGTCTCAAATGTCTGCAAATGTTATCACTGAACATCTGATCTAAAGTTACCCCTTTGCTGTTTAAGGTGATGAGTGAACTGGAGCAGAGTCTGACACAGTATATCAATTTAGAATATGTTGGCCTAAATGACAGGGTGCTGTTTCACATAATTTTCTTCCTACTGGTAGTAAATAGTGTACAGGACTGTTACATAGGTACATATCAAAATAGTCCTCAAGTTCAGCCTTCCTCACATATGTTTTTGCTGTTGGTTTTGTTTTGTCGTACGGTTACAGGTTTTGATAAGCTATACTTTCCCACAGCTATATTGTACACCCTTAGCCATTTGTCTGTTTAATGATCAGCCCTCTCCTTACCCCAGCTACACTTTTTTTTTTTTTTGGTGGTGAGATGGGGTAGGAAATTAACATTTTAGCTGACAAGACAGTCTGTGTACTGCAGTACCAGAGACTGCTTTCCCCGCTTCTCTTGCACTCCAGAACACTGTATTAATGCAGACAATGAGTGAATGAATGTTCTATCACTAGCTTTCAATGTGGTCAGTCAGGATGCTGCGTGGAAATGCATAGACTGCCTCCTCCTTACTAATAACACAGATAATGGTGCAGGCTCCTCACTGCTAAATGTGGAACTGGCAAGGGGGGTTAGTCTGTCAAAGGGAGGTATTTTGGTCCTTATGAAAAAATGAATCAAAATGTGTGTGCTTTAACTCCCAGTGTTCTCACCATGCTGATTGGACTCTTTGGGTTTAGCAATCCCCACCTTAACTTGTTTGTTTTCTATACCCACTGTAAAGTGCTGTCTCTATAGATCTGCACTCCAAATTACAGGGAGGAACTCTATTGGCCACTGTTAGGACAATAACCAAAATAAGGGAACAAAGCTGATCAAAATGAGATCTCCCTGTTTTTGTTTGTTTTTGTTTGTGTAACATGTAGACCTGGCTAGTAGCACATTATGAGCCATGATGGCTCAGAACATGCTACTAGCCAGGTCTACAAGTTACTCACCACTACAAAGTACACAATGAAATGGACAAGGCAAGCGCATGCACAAACTCCATAACTCTCAAACTCCATTTGCAGTCTTTAAAGACTTGGAAAGTTAGAATGTAGAAGATGCTGATAATTCATAGCTATATAAGCAGTGAGGCTCCATACAGACAGTGGGAATCTCTAATTCACATGCCAGGATTTTATTTTCATTGCCAATACCTTGTGGGTGGGGATTTTGATCCATGCTTACATTTTGCTACATGATCCTCTTAACCTCTACTGTTGTATTTCAAATACCAGGCAGAAACCAGAGTCAAGTTAAATTACTTGGACCAAATTGCCAAATTTTGGGAGATCCAGGGATCCTCTCTGAAAATCCCAAATGTGGAGCGCAGAATCCTTGACTTGTACGCCCTAAATAAGGTAAGTTATGTTATAGAAGCCAGATCTCAGAATTGCCTTGTGTAGATGTGCAAGGAAAGAACAGCTGATGGATCGGAATTACACAGAAATTACTGAAGGATGACAAAGATGTGTGTGGAATGCAGAATTGGGTGGAAACTCAAGTCTTCAAGGGAATACATGGTCAACAAATGGGGGGAAAATGTACACCTACCTATTACTAGCAAATACGTTTGAATTTTAGAATTCTGGCTTTGGCTCTAAATCCCTAGACATTGTAATTTCTCCAGTTGACTCTTACCCGGAAAGGACTTAGTCCGGTCCAATCCTCCTTCTCATTTTACCTTCTCTAACAGTTCTTAGCATATCCTATACATTTCTGCACCTCACTTCTTCATCGGCACAACATGTTTTTCTGTCAGAAATTCAGCTCCCAGAAATATCTGTGATGACATCTGTACAGCTGTATTATTAAAGCAAACAGGGAAAACCTGCATGTTGGGAGGGAGGGGAGAAGATGGTGGGCTTAGTGTACTATAGTTGCAAAAACACATTTTAAATGGACACTAATCACCATTACTACAGTGTATTCTGGTGAGTAGAATCGTTCCCTTCAGGCTTTTTTGTTAAAAAACACTTTTCAGAGAAAATGCAATGTTTACATTACAGCCTAGGGATACCTCCACTCCTCAGATGGCTGCTAGAGGTGCTTCCTGGGGCAGTGCTGCACAGTGTGACTGACATTCAATATCTCCACCTTCTGCATGGAGACATTGAACTTTCCTCATAGAGATGCAGTGATTCAATTCATGTGTCTGAGGAGATGCTGATTGGCCGGGGCTGTGTTTGATTTGTGCTGGCTCTGTCCCTGATCTGCATCCTTGACCGTATCAGCCAATTCTATGGGAAATCATTGTGATTGGCTCAGAGAATCACTTCTGATGATGTCAGCCAAGCAGGAAGATCAGAAGCAGAGCCAGCAGCAGAAAATTGCAATAAAGGTAAGATTTTGCTATATTTAGGGGGAATAGGGGAGAGGACGGGGGGGCTAGATGGTGGTTTTAACACTCGGGTCAGGAATACATGTTTGTGTTCCTGACCCTATAGTGTTCCTTTAACTGTAAACATACAGTACACACTGAGGATCATATGGTCATCTGGAGGGCCCTTTAAGATTATTCTAATCTATTTATTTCTCATTCAGATTGTACAGGATGAAGGTGGTTATGAGCTAATTAGCAGAGAGCGGAGGTGGGCCCGTGTGGCACAACGTATGGGATACCCCTCAGGGAAAAACCTTGGCTCACTGTTGCGTTCACACTATGAGCGTATCATATACCCATTCTACATGTACCAATCCGGAGCTAATATGGTGGTAAGGAACTTTAAAACGTGAGAGATTTAAGAAAAGCACTTCCTAAACTGGAATTGGTAAGGGATGCAGTTAGAAATCTCACCTATCAGTGGTTTTTTTTTTTTGTCACTACAGGACTATGCGAAAAAACCTCGTTTTGACAATGAGGAGAAGGATAAGGAGTATAAGCCACACAGTATCCCACTAAGGCAGTCTGTGCAGCCTTCAAAAATTACCAGTTATGGGCGACGAGCCAAACGCCTTACCCAAGAGGTGAACCTTTTTTAATTCTCTTTATATTATATTATATATTTTATTTCTTTCCATATTGAGATTTTAATTTTTTTTTTTTTGAGTGAATCACATGACACTTTTCGTGTACTTTCTTTTCTTTCAAGTGCATCTTCATACTAGTTTAATGTTTGTTTGTGTGCCAAGCGCGTGCCGTAGGTGTGCTGATGAGGACTGTTTGTTTTTCATGCCATGTAACAGCATTTCTTCAGGATGGTGTGTTAAGGAGGCTGCAGGGCATTCTGTACAATAAGCCTGTTTTCCAGGCACTGCCAACTCACTTGTTTGATTTTTTTTTTTTTTTTTTTTTCATGTTCTTGTCATCTCATGCAGGATCCTGACAGCTCAGATCCTGCCTCTCACAGCTCTCCTCTACCCCCTGAAACATCACCACCCTGGGTATACAGGACTGTGTGTTTTTTCTACTTGTGCCCTTTCGCAGACTCAACTTTGTACCTGTTCCTCTGTTTTCTTTCTGTTCTCATTTCATATTTCGTTGTAGGAAGTTTAGGACAGTAGGGGTTTGTGTGTGTTTATGTTGTCCTTGAATTATGCATGTTACATTGACCACACTAATTCATAAAACATAAGCCAGTCAGTGTTTGTGTTCTTCCTGCCTCTTTACATAGTTCTGTTTCTTCTCTACCAATTTCCAATGCTTTTCCATATTCTTTTGTCCTATATGGATACATTTTAAAAACGTTTTGAGTGATATTTTCAAAACCTAGCCTTTTCTCATCATTCTCTTCTGATTCCATTAGCCGGAACCCACAGAAGAAGACATCGAGAAGAACCCAGAGTTGAAGAAACTTCAGATCTATGGTGCTGGTCCCAAAATGATGGGGTTAGGGCTGATGGCAAAAGACAAGAATCTGCGCAAGAAAGGTAATCAGCACTTATCACAAATTTGTGAGCAAGGGCTGGAATGATTTAAAGTGTGACACAATTTACAGATTAAATATAAGCTGTGTAGTTTAGGACTGAGACATTTCTGGATGCAAAGACTTAAAGGGACACTATAGTCACCTGAACAACTTTAGCTTAATGAAGCAGTTTTGGTGTATAGAACATGCCCCTGCAGCCTCACTTTTCAATCCTCTGCCATTTAGGAGTTAAATCCCTTTGTTTATGAACCCTAGTAACACCTCCCTGCATGTGACTTGCACAGCATTCCATAAACACTTCCTGTAAAGAGAGCCCTATTTAGGCTTTCTTTATTGCAAGTTCTGTTTAATTAAGATTTTCTTATCCCCTGCTATGTTAATAGTTTGCTAGACCCTGCAAGCCTCCTGTATGTGATTAAAGTTCAATTTAAAGATTGAGATACAATTATTTAAGGTAAATTACATCTGTTTGAAAGTGAAACCATTTTATTTATTTATTTATTTAAATGCAGGCTCCATCAATCATAGCCAGGGGAGGTGTGGCTAGGGCTGCATAAACAGAAACAAAGTGATTTAACGCCTAAATGACATTGAATTGAGCAGTGAAATTGCAGGGGAATGATCTATACACTAAAACTGCTTTATTTAGCTAAAGTAATTTAGGTGACTATAGTGTTCCTTTAAGGTCACAAGATAGAGGTTTAAAACCGAATACTTGGTGAGGGTGTCAGCACTTGGCAGTTCTTTGGCACACTTTGAGATACTAAGCATGCATATTTCCCATACTTTCTTTAGAGAGTGACATCCCAGAGTGTCCACCAACTCTTGTGGTTAAAGAGGAGGTTGGGGTGGACATACGCGGAGAACCTGGGGAAATTTATACACCTATAAAGAGAGAGCGACCCCTCAGCCCTGAGCCTTGCACGAAGATGACCATGAGACTGCGGAGATATAACAGCAGTACCCAGTTTGTAAGTTAGTCATGTTTCACACCATCCTAATTCTATTTTGCGGTTTAACTTCTTGTTTGATTTACCTCTCTCATGGTGCCCATGCTGTTTCAGGTGGAGTCCTATGTTTGTCGTATCTGTTCCCGTGGGGATGACGATGACCGATTGCTGCTGTGTGATGGCTGCGATGATAACTACCATACATTCTGCCTCCTTCCCCCTCTTGCTGAACCACCAAAGGGAATCTGGCACTGCCCCAAATGCGTCATGGCGGTATGTTGCAGAACCCAACTTTGAGAAACTGTGCTTGCAAACCACCATCACTGATCATTTTACTCACTGTTATCGTCTGATAACTTTTCTCTTTCAACAGGAGTGTAAGCGTCCTCCTGAAGCATTTGGATTTGAACAAGCTACTCGGGAGTACACTTTGCAAAGCTTCGGCGAGATGGCAGACTCTTTTAAGGCAGACTACTTTAACATGCCAGTTCATGTGAGTGTCATATCACAACCTACTCCTCAGGAACATACGTAATACTTAATAATTATTCAGGGTTCTTTATCTGATGCTAGAGGGAATGATTTGTCTTCTCCAGTTTGCTCTATTATTGCTCTTACCAGGTCATTGCAATGCTTTCTGCTCTTTTTGTAGATGGTCCCTACAGAGCTTGTAGAGAAGGAGTTCTGGAGGTTAGTGAATAGTATAGAAGAAGATGTCACGGTGCAGTATGGTGCCGACATCCACTCAAAAGAGTTTGGAAGTGGCTTCCCGATGATGGATGGCAAAAATGAACTTACTCCAGAGGAACAGGTTGGTTCTCCTTTATCACATCTCTTCCTGTGTCCTTTTATTGGTTTTATATCCGCTTCCAACTCATTGCGTGTCTGCTTCCTTTATCTCTCAGGCGTACGCAACAAGTGGCTGGAATCTGAACGTAATGCCAGTACTAGAGCAGTCAGTGCTATGCCACATAAATGCTGACATATCTGGCATGAAGGTACCCTGGCTATACGTGGGCATGGTATTCTCTGCCTTTTGTTGGCACATTGAGGATCACTGGAGCTATTCTATTAACTACCTCCACTGGTTAGTGTCAATGTTATTCTCTCTGCACGTGATATATCATCTTATCAATGTATGTTTATAGTCTGTGATTGAGAATTTACCAGTGCATGCTGCTGTATGGACGTTTACAGCACACAATGCACTTTCTGTAAGATATAACCGAGTTGGTAAATCGTTTGTTTGCTGTGACTATATCTATAAAGGCTGTCATATCATATTTATTCAGATAATAGAAACACAGTAAATGGCTACTCACATGTGTAGGTGCTATTTAAATTAAAAAAAACAAACAACAAAAAACCCTTACAAAATTCCTTGATGTACGAAACACTGTGGTGTTGGAGGGGCAACTAGGGGCCAGGAACTGCTCAAGAGAGTAAGACAAGAAAAATCAACACAACCACCAGTAAGAAAATTAGCAGTGTGTTATCTCCATTGTCCTATACGCAGCTTTCACCTATGTTTTTGAGTAACCATTTACTGTTTGAGTTTATATTGTATTGCTTGCTTTATAGGTATGTAGATTTTTTTATACAAGTGCTGGTGAGAGATGAATTGATCATAGCCGCTTTTGAAGCCCCAGAGGTTGCGGCATAGAACTACTTTTTGGATTCTAATTAAAAGTAGAACTAATAGTCCAAATTATTGGTAATTTTTATAAAGGGAGCACCCACCTATATGTCCAGGACCCAGTGCACATGGTGTAAATGTTTATGGTTATCATTCAGTTTTTTTATTGCACTTGCAGTGCCTCTTTGAATATGTCTCTAATTTGCAAATTTCATGGAAAATCACTAGCCCAGGTAGTTTTTTTTTACTTTTGTTAGGATACTGTTTTGTTTTTTGCATTGAGACATCATTTGAAATATGGCAGCTTTTGAGCTGCATCTTTGTTCCCTCTGTGGCTACTAGACATTGTTCATTGATGCACATTGTCTGTTGTAGCCCATTATAGGTGCACATGCCAGGTGTGATGGTGTGTTTTTTTTTTGTTTTTTTTTTTGTTTTTTTTTTGTAGATCCCTTGTGTCATGTTGGTGTATATCTTTGCATGTGTTCCATAAAATGGAATTCCATTCTCCTTTTTTCATCTCCTTACAATGTACAGGGGGGAGCCCAAGACGTGGTATGGTGTTCCTTCTTCAGCAGCAGAACAACTTGAAGGTGTAATGAAGAGGTTAACCCCAGAGCTGTTTGAGAGCCAGCCAGACCTCTTGCATCAGTTGGTGACCCTCATGAACCCCAATACTCTCATGTCACATGGAGTTCCTGTAAGTACACTTATTCTGTAGTTTAATTGGTTTAAGTCTACTTGCTACTTTTTTGTTGCACTCTCTATTTGCTACACTGGCTGCATTTTTGGGTGATTTCTGGTTTTCCTGTTTTCTTGCTATTCCATAGTTTTATTCCTGTTTCTCTTGCAGGTTGTGCGGACCAATCAATGTGCAGGAGAGTTTGTCATCACGTTTCCAAGAGCATACCACAGTGGTTTTAACCAGGGCTACAACTTTGCTGAAGCAGTCAACTTCTGCACAGCCGATTGGGTGAGTCTACTTCAAGTATCTCAGAAAGTGATTATCAAGCAGAACGTTTTAATCATTGGGTGGAGCGCTAGAATAATCAAATGTTTGCTTACCCCTTACTAAGAAGTTTTATATATTCTTGATGTGGGGTAATATGAAAAAAAACTAAAAAAGAACAGAACAAATCTAGTGCAGATGGTTCTTAAAAGGAACTAAGTGTAAAATAGATATAAGTAGACACACTCACAATCACAAGCCTGAGGATAAGGCTCTATAATAATGCAGATGTGCTTTTTAGGCAGCACCCCACTTTCTTGGATAGGTGAGGATCTCAAAATAAACAAGACAAAAGATTATGGTGCAGTATGTCTGGATGTATCATGGATCTAAAATCACTTTAAGATGGGGACTCTTACCTTATTGAGAGCCCATATGTGCCTTGGCTCTCGGGTATAAATGCCTGGTGTCAAATTGCAAGGTGACACTCTCCTAACTGGAACCTGGAATAGGATTTACTGCCAGATACTACTGAAATTCCACTATTTATCTTCACTTTGTCTGTAGTCCGTCGCCCTGACCCTCACTCGGAGGGTGGGGGACCGGACTTAGTATGGTACCGCCTACAGCACATTTCGATCAGGAGATGAAGCGTCCCATATTCCTGCGGGATGCAAACTAGAGGGATAGGGTACCTGGGCCAGGGATGTGGAGCTAACCCTGGTTTACCACATAGCATCCACGTGCACACGTATTCAGCTTTGACGGGAATGTCTTTGACCCGTCATCCAGACAAGAAATTATTTGGTTTCTACATTCTTGTTTTTGATGTTGTAAAAGCCATAAAGTTGCTAAGCTCATGATCTTTTTCGATATTATGTACACCAAATGTGCTGTCTTGACTGCCATATCAGAGTCTGTGATGGTACGCCTGTATTTAATGTTATGGCGATGCAAACGGATGTATTCATGTGCGCACAAATAAAATAAAGAATTAAAAAAAAAAAAAGAGAAATTCCACTATTTATTCAACATTTAAAAACAAAAACTATATTTTGTATACATATAAAAACAAAAGAACTTATCAGTGCAGAGTCCATTTAAACAGCCATATTGGTTATATATCGATATCTGGAACTTAGAAGATATCACAGCCAACTGAAGCTCATACAGCGAAACGCGTTTTGGCACTTAAGGACTCCATGACAGACTGATAAATTCTCTTTTATTTGTTTTGAACCCAAGTGCTTTCTATTTGTTTACATCATTTGGATGGTTTGTCAGACAAAAGCTTGGTAAATTAAAAAGTACCCAGATTTGTGGATCCGTAAGAAGAATAAATTTTTTTTAAACCAATTCATGTCTATTGACTTTAAATTACTGTGCGTCAACTGATAACACTTTTTAGCAAACTTTGTTGTTTTTGTTTGTATGGCAGAGATCTTTGTTCAGTCATAACCTTTGATTGGATGTGTCGTTAGGAGTGCCTTGGTCCACTGAGATCTAACCTATGTGGTTTAGAGATGCAAGGATGATATCCCATCTGATATGCCATCTCAGGAATTGCCATTACTGTGTCAAACTAATGCATATATTGATGCCAAGCTGTCTCTCTCACCCCTCTAGCTAATGGCAGGCAGAAAATGCATTGAGCATTATCGACGGCTGAGGCGGTACTGTGTTTTCTCACACGAGGAACTGATGTGCAAAATGGCTGCCTGTCCCGAGAGACTGGACTTGAGCTTGGCTGCCGCTGTCCATAAAGAGATGTTTCTGCTGGTACAGGAGGAGCGCAGACTTCGCAAAGCGCTGCTTGAGAGAGGCATTACAGAGGCAGAGAGAGAAGCCTTTGAGCTGCTCCCTGATGACGAAAGACAATGCCAGATATGCAAAACCACATGCTTCCTTTCTGCATTGGCATGCTATGACTGTCCGCAGGGCCTTGTGTGTTTATACCACATAGAGGACTTATGCCAGTGCCCACCAGCTCGTCAGTTTCTCAGGTTAGTTGTGCCTCCATGGCTGGAAACTTGGAGTTGCTGAGTAACTTTGCAAACATACAACATAATGGTAGGTCCGAAAGAATTGCCAATTTTTTCCTTTAGATTTCTATATCTGGATGACACCTCTCATGCTCTCTGCAGGTACCGTTACACTCTTGATGAGCTGCCAGCCATGTTACACAGACTAAAAGGGCGAGCAGAATCTTTTGACTCTTGGGCTAGTAAAGTACGGAAGGCATTAGATGTAGAGGATGGTGGAAAGATAGGTAAGCACTCTACATTTACTTACAAAGGCATGTGCACACATCCATCTGCTGCAACTGTCCTGTGTAAAAGCAAAGCCACCTATGGAGAGGTGGTGTTATCCATCATAAGAGTTGTTCTGTAACTGTTTGGGGTCTTCCTGCTTTAATTCACTAGAATCAGTTGGAGTCATCTTCTTTGCTGTTCATTATGTTTCTCTTTTTTTTTTTTTTTTTCTCTCACATGTTTCCTGCTTCTCACTCAGTCGTTTTTTTTTTTTGTTTTTGTTTTTTTTGTTCTTAGACCTGAAGGAGTTAGAAGTTCTTGAGGCAGAAGCCTCTGAGAAAAAATTCATAGGGAATGAAATGCTTCAAAAATTAAAAGGTGTAATCAAAGAAGCCAAGCTCTGCGTAGAGGAGGCACAGATTCTGCTGAGTGACTCAAAGCCTGCAAGGTCTGTATTGTATGTCTGAACAAGCTGTTGTAGGCTTTCAGGGCTGCTCTCTGTATATCCAGTTATGTGTCTGCATGCTTTCAGCCCTGCAGATTGTTTACGTGGTGGTTTACAAATATTGGGCAAACTCCTTTGGGAATCTGTAAGACACTGAGCGTGTTTGCAAGCCTCCCAATGTACTAGATCAGGGGGTAGACAGCCATCGGCACTCCAGATATTGAGGACTACATCTCCAATAATGCTGACGACAAAGTATTAGTGGAGATGCACTCAACAACATTTGAAGTGCAGAAGATTGTCTACTCCTGCACTAGATTTTCATTGTTGTGTTTTTTTTTTTGTTTTTTTTTTCAGCCAGTCCTCTAGATTGTAAGCTCATTTTAGCAGGGTCCTCATCAAGCTATTGCTCCAGTAACCTGCTGTAATCCCCCTCTCTAATATTGCAAAGCGCGTTGGAATACGTTAGTGCTATATAAATGCCAGTACTAATAAAGCGTGTTGGGGGTGCCATAGCCTCACTCCCAGTGCAGTTCTCATCTGCACTATATGTCTGGGAGGTCATACTTTAAGGATATTTTGTTGTTTTGCCTCTTTCTCGTGTTGGAATGGTATTCTGCCATGGTAACGATTTACAATAGTTTTACTCCAGAATAAGTTTATGGTCAAAACAATTTATGCAACTATCAAGATAAACACACAACAACTATAACTTCTACAGCTTGCTGTTGTGGTTATGGTGACCTCCCAGATAGAACCCTTTTTTTTTTTTTTTTGCCTTGTTTAACATTTATCTATGTCTGACTGGGGGCTACTGACACATCACTTCTTCTCAAAACAGGAGAAGCTAGCTGTCCGTTTGGGCAATGCAAGAGCATCCAGTGTCAAATCATGCTAAAACAGTTTAGACCGAGATCTCCTGAAGGGTGCCGGGGCACTCCTGTCACCATAGGCACTTTTATGCTTATCATGCACTTAAATAGACTCTGAGAATAATCAATTATTTGGCCACTGATTCATATTTTTTTTTATTAAATGGGTAATTTTGATCTTGATGTCATTGTGAAAGACATTCTGTTTGTTTGAATTTGGACAGTTTTAACCAAATCAGTAAAACCTTCCAAACTGTATTCCCTTGTTATGTTTTGTATTTATTTTTCCACTTATATTCTCTTTGACTACTTATGATGCACCTTCATGCCTTGCCATCTTGCAATCTGCTTTTCATTTATGCCTTTATTTTTTCCCTTTACTAGTAGCGGTACAGCAGTAACCTCTTTGGATAGTTTAAACAAGCTTGTACAGCGTATTCAAGCCCTACCATGTCCACTAGAACAGCTCCCTCGGCTCCAGGTAATCTACATTTCAAATCTACCATACCATTTATTTATTTTTTGTAGATCTATTTCAGATGATTTATATGATTTTGCTTATCCTCTATTCCTTTGCTCAGGACCTGCAGGAACAGGCACTATCCTTGCAGGAGGAAGCACAAAAGTGTTTGCAGTCCCTTCCAGACAGCGCCTCTCAACTTCAGGATATGTTGGAACAGTGCCGAGCATTCCCAGTAGAACTTCCTGAAACCGGACAATTAGAAAAGCAACTGCGTCAGGGTGACTGGCTGACAAGTGTACGGGCAGCGCTTGGTGCAGGGAGGTCAAGTACACTTCAGGAGATGCTTTCACTGCTTCAAGAAGCAATAGATGTGGCAGAGAGTCCTGCGGTGGAGAAGGCACGCAGCGAACTGCAAGAGCTCATCTCGATAGCACTGAGGTGGGAAGAGAAGGCGAAGATGTGCCTAGAGGCCAGGTGAGTTTGGATTTATTTTTTAAATTTTTATTTTTTTAATTTTTACACTTTTTAATGCTTTTACAACTCCCTATTCTACTTGCGACCTTTCGTTTTAGTTTTTTTTTTTTTTAAATCGGTTTGCAGGCAGAAACATCCTCCTGCCACTCTAGAGGCCATTATAAAAGAATCAGAGAACATCCCTGTTCAGCTTCCGAATACTCTGAGCTTGAAGGAAGCGCTCTGCAAAGCCAGGGCGTGGAGCGCTGATGTGGAGGAAATACAGGTAAGCAGTCCTTTCTTGGTGGTGGAAGTAGGAAGCGTAGATACTTTGTTCTTGATATGCCGACTACTTGTGAATTATCTTTTTATTTGTAAAACTCTACCCAACCTCTCAGTTCGAGTTAGCTGGACTTTTTAATGTCTTGTTAGGACGTGCTTTTCTCCTCTCTACTTTGAGCTAGCTATGGTAACTATTTGTACCAGCATGTATCATATATTGCCAAGGACATCCAAGTTCAAACCTTACGCTGGTGGTTCATGGCCTTCTTGCTCTGCGCTGGGAGAGAAGTCCTGTATAAAAGTTAATTGGTGTGTTTCTATAAATGATCACTCTTTGATATATTGAGGAAGGTGGCAATTCCTACCCAGCCTGTTTGGTATATTTACACAATTTATAGCTTGTACAGCACCAGTAAATATTTTGATCCTTTCTGAGTAGACCGGCATAACAGCATGTGCTGGTGAATTGTATTAATTTGTACATGCATGGTGTACGTACAGAGTGGAGATCACTACCCTTGCTTGGATGACTTGGAAGGGCTGGTCGCTGTAGGCAGGGATCTCCCAGTGAAGATGGATGAACTGCATCAACTAGAAGTCCAAGTGACTACTGCTCATTCCTGGCGGGACAAAGCAACAAAAACTTTCCTGAAGAAAAATTCTGGCTACTCCCTACTTGAGGTAAGAGGCTTGACCACAAGTAGCAATTTAGTCCTCACCACTAACTCTCTTTATAGTGGACTTGTCAAAGTTCTAGTCTCGTTTTCTAGATAACTTCGAACAAAATCGGTTTTTATTTTATAGATTTTTTTTTTTTTTTGTAATCTGTAGCAGTGGAAACTTCTGCAGGGTGTGTTTATTTCATTATATCCTGTAGGCTCTGTGTATATATTGAGAGATCGCTCCTTTGCTTCGTGTTTGGTTGTGATGCTCTTACAATAATGAACTCTGTAACCTTGCATTCGATACAAATTTATTTGAGGGCATTGGCATTTGCCTTGATTGGACAGAGAGACCGCAAAAGTCAAAATAAGCCTAAAATGTTGAACTAGTACAGGGGTCGGCAACCTACGGCACTTGGGACTGCTAGAGCCAAACAAGCTCTGGAGTATCAGGAGTCCCAGTGAAACTTCAGATATCTGCTAATACAAAAGGTGGTGAGGGACAATCCTCAATTTATGCATTGCAGCACATAGAGGAAGTTATCTCAGATCACTTCCTCCCAGCACTTGTGAATGGGAATCCACACTGGAGTAGCGAAGCCCACTGCAGCTATCGAAGCTCCTGTACCTGGCCAGCCTGGTCACCACTGGAACCCAGGGAAGCCACACACACTGCTAGATATACACAGAATAACCCTCCCCTCATACAAATAATACGAAAAACCCACACACAATCCGCACAAACTCAACACCACCACAATCCACATACCTGCACACAACCCCACACGCAGCCTCTCGTATGCAATATCCCATATAGCCCCACACATACACACACTACCAAACACACTAGGTGATATCCATCAAGACACACAATTCTACAAGCAGCCCACATTCATAGGTATCATACACGATCCCACCAACTACTCATCAACATATACAATATAATGGCTCATATACGCACAAGTGCAACGATGCAAAGCCACTAAATAAATAACACAAGGAGAATATGGCAACATACACACCTCTATTTAAAAGAAAGTGGACTGGCACGCTACATCGGGACAGTGCTGCTAAAAAGTTGCCTACCCCTGAACTAGTATATCTATTCAACACAGATTTTCTATTTAAGTATGTAGTGAATAGTTTGGTTCAGAACATGTGACCAAAATTGAAACTGTGACACACCACTCTCCCTGCAAGAGCAATGCATCAAGGTTCATGCCTAGTATTGAAGCATGTACAGCCATATGCGGTATATTAGATTGTCATGCAGGATAAAAAGGCTTTGCAAAGATCTATTCATGTACAAAGTAATTGTGATTTTGGAGGATAGTTGGACCAGTTTCCTTCAGCTATACAGCTTAATCAACATTATCTCTTGTTTTGCTGCAGTGCTTTTTGTTTTATACTCCTTCCCTACTTTTTGTTCATTTCAGGTCCTTTGCCCCAGTGCTGATGTTTCTTCTGAAACTGGTAAAAGGTCCCAGTGGAGGAAGGAGAAGACATTTGGCCTCTACCGATCAGATGTTGAGGGTCTGGGCTTGTCTGCACAGGATTTGCGGGACCCTGGTTCAATCGTGAGTAACTACATATTGTATCCTTTTGAAAAGAATAACATTAACTGTCATACGGGTACTGAGTGTCCTCTGTTTCCCTCAGGTGTTGGCGTTTAAAGAAGGCGAGCACAAAGAAAAGGCTGGCATTTTGAGACTGCGTGCAATGAATTCCTCCTTGGAGAGGAGTTGTGTGTGTGTTTGCGGGGAACCCCCAGGAGAGCTAATGTTGCGGTGTGAGCTTTGTCAGGACTTATTTCATGGACTTTGTGTGCCCGTCCCCCGACTCTCATCTCACCGTGGTGCTCACTCTTCTCCACCGTTGACCTGGTGGGAATGGGAAAGTCGCTTCCTTTGCCCACTCTGTGTCCGATCCCGTCGCCCTCGGCTACAGACGATCCTATCTCTATTGGTCGCTCTTCAGAAATTACCTGTGCGCCTACCAGAAGGGGAGGCTTTGCAATGCCTAACAGAACGTGCAATGAGCTGGCAGGACCGTGCTCGAAGAGTCTTGGCAACCCCAGAAATCTCATCCGCAATCACAACGCTGGCAGAACGTAGACAGAGGATGCAGCACTGTAAAGACCCGCAGGCACTGAGAGAGACTACCCGGAATGAGCAGAACCCTGTAAGTAATGCATAGTAGGCAGTCTTTTATTATTTTTTTTATTTCTTATTGTGGAATAACAGAAAAGAGCAGTACTCGCCTGCTTTGACAACAATATTGTTTTATGGAATCTCACATCTATATTATTTCTGATCTTTAGACTTTTTTACATTTATTAGTGATGAATAGCATCCCATTAGCTGCAACATACTTTTGGAATTGGTGAGCTCTTTCTTTCTCTTAAATAATAGCGGTTTTTCATACGTATGAAGTAGCTGGCTGAAAGCAGCATGGTCCTCCATCCACGGCAGAAATCTGTGTTTACTTCAACTAGGAAAGCTGATCTTCTGAGCAGATGGTTCATGCTGTGTTGGGATAGAGGGAATCAGAATACCCTGTCTAAAAAGAATATACTGAAAGCCTCTGCAAAGCTTCAAATTGGAAGTAATTTTCAGATTTGTATCAGATTACATGTTGCCTTTGCCGATTCAGTTTCCCATAGGCAGCAGCTATTTCAAGGGGAAATGGTCTGATTCTCATATCTCATGCTGTCTCTTTGGCGTTAGTGATCTCTCACTAAGTAGTCCCATAAAAGACTGTGTGCGCAAACTAATGAAGAGATTTTCCTAAAAACACACTTCAGCTTGCTTGGTAGACGCCTCAGAATCTCCTACTCAACTTTTTTTTTTTTTTTTTGTAATACCTGTGTACGATGACTGCAAGTTCAAATGGATTAAATTTGCTTGCTTGTGTGTGACAGCACGGCAAACAGTGTGTGTGTGTGTGTGTGTGTGTATATAATATTATATTATATTTTTTACTTTCCATTCTGCGTGGTGTTTAATTTAGCACTTCAAGTGAAGATTTGATTACTGTTGATTCCAGGTGCCATAGGGTATTGATAATAAAGGTGTTTGGGAAGCTGTTCATATTTGTTAGCATGCACGGCCAAAGATGGATTTTGATACTGTGAAAGCCTCATATCTATTAAAAGAACACGCCGAGCACGATAACCTTACTGCAACCAACTGTAGTGGATATGGTGCTTGGAGTGCCCTGGCGCCCTTTGCTTGTGAACTATTTGACATCTTCCCTGGGGTCCATTAGGCAATGGTCACCTCATCCTGGAAGCTTCCTGCAAGGCATGCGCTTGTTGGCTCAGTGGAGAGGACAGAAGCTCCTTGCTTTTACTTCTGGCTCTGGAGGAGAAAACCACTTGTATTTTTTGTATGTGTTTATCACATTACATGGCTTACCAATTACAAATCACAGGTCTTGGAGAATGTCTGTTTAGTACCTAGCCTCCTGCTTCCATCACTTTGCTACCTTTTAAAACATTTTTAAGCAGTTCGAGGAACCGAATTCCTTCTAGCAAGGATCCTGTGTCTATTCACTGCTTTCTAAAGGCTCAACTGTGATTCGGCCAAGTGTACCTCTACCTGTTCCCTGTTTCTCAAAGCATATCATGAGCCGAAGGAATTCCCTTATATCTTTTGCGTTGTAGGTTGCATAGTATTTTGTATGTCTGTAGCCGTAAACGCATAATGCACTTCTCCTTCTCTGGTTTGAAGTGCTGTTTCAGACTTGTGTTGTCATTATAAAGTGTGTGTGTATATATAGGTTTTAAATCTGTCTAGATTCCTTGCGTTGGCAGTGTTTGATCTCATTATATTGCTTGTGTGAAAGGCTAAATTATTTGTAAATGTATAGGGTTTTTGTGTGTGAAGTTCTGTTTGCCAGCGGTGGTGACCAAAAGTAATTTAATTTTTACTCCCATTCATTTTGTTCTCCCCAGCACTAAATACATATAAACACAGGATTTCATAAAAAAAAAAAAATGGGGAGGTGGACTTTCTTCCTTTTTTTTTTTTTTTTATCGCACAAATGGCACTCAAACATCCTTCAAGACTCGTTTCTAAATGTATGCAAACGTTTTAAATAAGAAATGTGCTTGCCTTTGAGAAATAAAACTGCATGTACTTTTGTAGAGTGCGAGCGGTTTTGTTTCTAGCCTGGGAGCCTCTGTGCTTTAATCTGAAGCATGCAGGCAGGCCACAGTAGCCATGTGATACAGCCTAGTGGCTTTGCTGGGCCCCTTTCTTATCAGCTGTGAGACCGCTAGGAGTGTGAACTTCTGATAACATGGCACCATCACCACTGCAGTAGCTCATAAGTAACTGTTGGAACAGTTTGACACTTCACTGTCTTGTCTGATGCCGTGTTGCTCTTGGTCTGAGCTGGTCTTTGTAAAGGTTATACTAATGTGTTATACTAATGTGTTACACCACTTCTTACCACGCTGAGAGCAGCCAGCAGAAGTTGACATATTAAATCCATTGTATAAAGAGACCGGTAAAGTCAGAGACCTGGGTTCAGTGCTGTACTTGGCAAATGGAGCATTGCTTGGGTTTTTTTTTTTTTTTTTTTTTAAAGGACCACTATAGTGCCAGGAAAACAAACTCGTTTTCCTGGCACTATAGGGTATTTAGGTCCACCTCCCACCGGGCTGAAGGGATTAAACTTGCCTTTCTCCAGCACTGGGCTGGGGAACTCTCCTCCCTCTTCCGACATCAGCACGGAATGAGCATGCACGGCAAGAGCCGAACACGCATTCACAGTCCATAGGAAAGCATTTCTCAATGCTTTCCTATGGACGTCAGCGTCACAGTGAGACTCACGGAAGCGGCTGTCAGTGAGACAGCCACAAGAGGCTGGATTAACCCATAGGTAAACATAGCAGTTTTTCTTTGAAACTACTATGTTTACAGATGCAGGGTTAACCCTCGATGGACCTGGCACCCAGGCCACTTCATTGAACTGAAGTGGTCTGGGTGCCTATAGTGGTCCTTTTAACTAAAGCTGCAAATTTCAACTGGAGAATTTCTCAATTCCGCAATATTGGCCTAATCTTTGCAGTACCCAGAATTCACAGTTCAGTGATAAACCCTTTGGTGTGGTCAGGAAATTTAACAAGTTTGCTAATCGCTGTCCTTGTTCGTACTGATCCTTACATGCAGTGGTTGATCTTGAACACAAGTGTTGTCTGTTTTGGGGCAAGGTGATGAAGTCTTTGGACCTGTATGCTGAGAGCGGAATCCATTGAGCCTGTGAGCCAAAATCACCTTTGTTGTAAGGAAATTTTAAACAGAAAAGGACTGGTCCTCAACTTCAGACCCAGACCTGTATAATTACATTGTCTGTCCTTTCCTTACTGGAACCAGTCCCCGCCATTATTCTTCATGGTAAAATCTTGCCCTCTACCCACTGAACAGACAGACACTACTTCATCTGACCAGCTCTCTATTGATTCAGCTCTTGGCACATGGGTCTGAATACCGTGCCCTTAACTTACAGATAACAATCATGGTCAGGGTGGCAAGCATACCCAATCCAATGGCATGATCCATTACTGCTTCAGGAAGAACATATTTTTATTGTAATGCAATAAAATAGGCTGCACTTGTTACAATGTGCTCTTTGCCATTCTAAAAAGCCTCAGATTCTACATTATCTAGTGATTTTCCATGATTTCAGCATTGCCATAGAATAGCAATAAACCTGCATCCTTTGTCTGCTTTAATGACCATGCCGTTCTATGACACAGAGATTGGATTGCTAAATTAAAATAAAGCTGTGGTTTGTCAACCATCTGTCATGCTGTAGCGGTTTGGGCATTTTAGATGCTGAATGTAAAACACACTTTTTTTTTTTTTTTTTCTCAACCAATATGCTAAAAGGGTGGTTGTTGATACCTGGTTCATGTATATATATTTATATCCCCAATACATGTTGGGAATGATGCACAAATCTCTTGGTGTGGAAAAACCATGGTTATGACACACTGGGATGCACTTTAGACTCCCTTTATGGGTTTCTAAATTTGCATCAATGTAGATTACATAATTGTCAAGATGACTCATTCCTTGCCATTCAGACATCTTTATAGTTTTCTCCTTGAAATCTAACTGGCGTGATATGTAATTCTGACAACATTTTAAAGAGACACTTTCTCTGTTGTCTATAGGTAAGAATTAATATAGACTGGTGCAATCACAATATTCTTGTCACTTACCATGCCATTAAATTAAAAGAATTGTAAATTAATTGTAATGAAGTTGGTATGCTGCCAATAGGTTGCCAGGTGCTTTCTTACCTGAAGTGGAAATTCACAAATGGTTTAACCACAAAGGTTCATACAAGAACACCGTATGGAGAGAATATAGAAAAATATATCACTAGGTGCTATTACTCACAGGTACTCCCTCAAGTACCAAAGAACCATATATCAAAAAGAGAATGCACACTAGAAACCACAAAGAAAGTTTATGCAGATACTTTAATAGACCAACAATTGGCATAATATGCATATAGCAACACCCTTGAAAAAGGCAGCCAGTTGGTGCCGAAACGTTGGGGATATTGGAGACTCGTGTTTCTGTCAGTTTAGGCTTGTGAGAATTTTGGTGGTAATTACAGTTTTATTTTGATGCCTTTTATATTGTCACTTTGTAATTTTGCTATATGCGTATTATGCCAATTGTTGGTCTATTAAAGTATCTGCATATCTTTGTTTCTAGTGTGCATTCTCTTTTTGATATTAACCACAAAGGTTTCCTCCAGCACCTGATCTCCAGTTCCTTCAGCGACATCCAACTTCTCAAATTGTCTTTCAGGAAGCGTGGAAGGCCACACCAGTAGCTGTGGCACCACTAATTGACTAGAGCGGTCACCTGATCACACGCCAAGCCAATCAGTATCTCCCTATTCTAAAATAAAAAGTACCTAAGTGCCTGATGATTTCCTGTCACCATAACAACCTCATAGTGCATACAGAAAGTTTGTTCACAGGATTCTCTCCAACCTCCCACCTGGAGTTTTATCCCAGTTCACTGACACTCGAACACTGAACTTCCATCTGCCTTTTTTCATGGAAGATGTTTATTCTTTCTTTGAAACATATTGGAAGGTGAAAATAAAAATAAAAACGAATTATACGGTATGAAAGTGTTCTTATTTAAGTAACAGATTGTGACACACAACCTTACGTAGTAGCAGTGCTGTAGGTTATTTAGGGAAAATAGGTTGCCCCTTCTGGACCTTTCTTTGTCACATTTGTTTTCAGGATGTTTTTGATTAACATGAAGTAAAAGCTTGTCTTGTCTATTCCTTGTTTTCAGGTTTCGCATGAAAATGGAGACTCTCACTTAGAGAATGGCACATGTGCAATGCCAGGTAGTGTAGTCACTCTTGATTTTTCTACATTGTGAGCGGTTGTTTTAAAAAAAATTTTATTTTATTTTTTTAAATTAATTTAATTTTCTTTTCCCTCCTCCAAAAATGTACTCTTAGACTTGGATGCATTGGCTGCTCTGCTTCCTCGTATTGAAAAGTCACCGGTCTTGGAGTTGTCTCTGGGTTCTCGAGCCTTGTTAGAAGATTTAATGTTAGAAGGTGATCTTCTGGAGGTGACTTTGGAAGAAGAGCTCAGCATATGGAGACTACTACAAGCATCACATATGCCATGTGTGGACAGACTCCGGACTCTCATAGAGGTAACACACACACAATCCTCACTGTACACGTTTACAAATGGGATAAAACTGCAAATAAGAGACAAACTATCAGAAATGTACAAAAGGAAGAGCAAGGTGTGGTAATGAGATCACTAGGTATAAAGCCAGAACAGGTGAATTCAGAATTACCAGTCTCTCAAAATTAATCTCTTCTGAATCTCTGACTGGAAACTAGAACAGAGTCTGAAAATACAAATGGAGCTGACAATGAAAAGTCCTGTAGATGGAAATGTATTTTTGAATCATAGAATAAATGTAGTAATTTGAGTTGTTACAAGCTTTGTGAGTGTTAAAGGAACACTATAGGGTCAGGAGCACAAACATGTATTCTTAAAGGACCACTCTAGGCACCCAGACCACTTCAGCTTAATGAAGTGGTCTGGGTGCCAGGTCCAGCTAGGGTTAACCCATTTTTTTATAAACATAGCAGTTTCAGAGAAACTGCTATGTTTATGAATGGGTTAAGCCTTCCCCCTAATCCTCTAGTGGCTGACTGTGATTTTCACAGTGAGAGCACGCAAGCGTCCATAGGAAAGCATTGTAAATAGGAGGAGGAGAGAAGGAGAGCTCTCTGCCCAGCGCTGGAAAAAGGTAAGTTTTTAACCCTTTCCCCTTTCCAGAGCCGGGCGGGAGGGGGTCCCTGAGGGTGGGGGCACCCTCAGGGCACTATAGTGCCAGGAAAATGAGTATGTTTTCCTGGCACTATAGTGGTCCTTTAACACTATAGTGTTTAAAAACCCTATACTGCCCTCATAAATATAGGGCAATCTGAAGGTGCTGGCTCTGCCCCTCGTCTGCCTCATTAGCTGATATCTCAGCCATTCACAAAGCTTTCCCATAGGAAAGCCTTGGATTGGCTGAGATTGTCAATTTTGATCTCAGCCAAGGAGGCGGGGCCAAACGCCACCCCTTGCCAATCAACATCTCCTCAGATGCATTGAATCAATGCTTCTCTACGGCAAAAGTTCAGGATCTCCATGCAGAGGGTGGTTACCATGAATGTAAACAACAAGAAGTGTAAAAAAAGCCCAAAAAAGCTTTTAACCTCAGAAAGTGGAGCATAAGAATAGTGGAAATGTGACCACCTACCCCAAGTGGGAATACAATAAAATTGTTACCAAACTTGGATGTTTTTCAGATCCAATGGATATCAAGGTACATGTAAAAGACAAAATAGGAAAAACACATAGCATAATACTGTATTGGACAAGTGAAATAAATGGAACTGTAGCTTACGAACTCACATGGAATAGAGCCTCACATAGGACAGGCTCCGACCTCTTTGGCAGTAGTGTCTTCTGGTGCCACTTTCCCCTTTAACTCTAAATGGTATTCCTCAGGACAAAAGGTGACAAAGCAGGAAATGCCTTATAATATATAACAGTAAACAGTATATATAGTAAATAGCAGGGTGCAGTATAGGAATAAAACATTGCAAATAATTGCTCACCTTGACCAGAGCCTGTAAACCTGGCTCTGGCTGGAATAGCTTAGGTGTCTCTAAGGGGGACACCACCCTTCTTTGAAGCAGCAAAGTTCAAGGACCCGGAGTAGACTTTAAAAAATTTATTACATAAAAATACTGCATAAGCAGATTTAAAAATAAACAATAAAAGTGGTAATTAAGAGTCTCTCTGTGACCAAGTCCTGAATTCCATCCAAAACGCGTTTCGCACTATAAAAGTGCTTTTTCAATCTGTGTATGCTGCTTTAGATCTTATTCCGTTTTTAAATATGATGCTGTTGCCGTTCATTGGTGGTTCTCTGTGGAGTTTGTCCAATGGGAGTCCGGTAATTCAGAGGTGTGTATACCTCACTTTTGTCCGTACCAGAAGTGACTCACTGCACGTCAGCAGCATCACTTCCGAGGTTGAAAGTTCCCTTCTTATATCTGGGCAGATAGCGGTACAATGCTTAGCCCACTGGTATTTATGAATAGTTAAGTTTTGCAGAATCAAACCTAATTTAATGTGATGCTTGGGAGATTTATGAAATTTCCTGTTTAATTTACACGGATACGGTCCTTCAACTTATATTCCTATTTGGAAGCCACAGTGGTTGGTACTCCCAGTAAACCTGATACACAGGCATACACTTAAGCTGAATGTATCAGTTTTTGCATCTTTATATTGCTTTAAATTTGGAGGCTTGACAAAGTAAGTGTAGTAGGGAGAAATGTTATATATATGTGTAACTTTAAATGTATCCAATATATTGCCACCTAAACCCTGACTGGCTCCCTTTTGTACACAGCCACATTTCTACTCTCATGGGGTATGTCTGACTGGCCCGTGAGGTACAGCTTTTTTTAGGTTTTTTTGAGTTAAAGGAAAGGTTATGAGATTAATATTATCGCTCATTTTACCTGTTTAGAAACATTGATTTCAGATAACACAAGTCAATAATATTTGAAGGATTGTTCCGAACAGATAAAAAAACAAAAAAAACTTACACAATTATTTCCTAAAGGAAAATATTTCAAGAAATTAAATGTTTGCTGGTATTTGGTATTGAGTGGTGGTACTTACTACTCACTACCACTGGAGGGGGGGGAACTTAAAAATAAGCAACCTTATGGATATTTTCAGGACTTTTTCGTTTCTATAATGATTTTTATTTCCTGGCAGATTGAAAGGTGTGAACGGAAAGCATCTCGCGTGAAGGGAAAAGACCCGGACAAAAGGAAGAAGAGGAGAAGTGAGCGCAGTGATGGATATCCCACACTGCTCCCCAAGGAGGAACTGGGACCAAAGAGAATCCGGGGTGATATCAGATTGCCAGATTCTTCTGCAGAAAAGGAGGTCGTAAGGAAAGGAGGAAGTGAAGCCAACCAGAATGGAGGAGAGGTGAGAAGAGCAAAGAGAGGGAAAACACCATGTGACGTGTCATCAAAACACTGATTTCTTATTAAATTGTGTTTAAAGTCGCACCTAGGGAAAAACTGTTATATTTTTTCCTCTCTCAAGACCATAACTTTTTTTTTTTTTATTATTATTTTGTCTGAAGAATGCATTTACCTTTTGTTAAAAACTTGTGATGCTTGTTGCATATTTACTTTCTTTAATAATGGTTTATCTTTAGATTAAATGCATGTGGAAATCAAAATTATATTGTTTAAGACATAAAATGTTAACTATTTTTACACGGCACAATTGTACATTCAACCACACTAGAATTATGCCTGAAGATGAGCTCTAGTGTCCCTTTATCACGTTGTTAAAAATAAATCCACATCCTTTCCAGTTAGCATTGCCCAATAACATAATCCCTTAGAGGAAAAATGTGTATTTGGATTAAATTCTCACCTGTGATACTAAACAGAGAGAGATAAAAGAAATGGTACGTGTTTTAATACACACACCCTGCCAGTTTAAAGTGCTAAACTTGACCTTGCTGGCTATTTTTTACACTTGAAATTGCTTTCTACTACTAAATTATGTATGATAAACTGTTGCTGTGCAGTGGTGTATCCGATCTGTACAATTCAGTTCTTAAAAATCAAGGGAACTTCAAGGTTCACTGAGATCTTTGCTGCAAATAGCTGCATTGTGCAGAGACTAGGAAGTGGCAGACGCGTGGAAATGGTCAAATATAGCAAAATACTTGTAACACTTCCAGGGTTATTCACTAAAGTGAGAATTCAAGGTCAAAAGAGCCAAACGGAAAAATTCTATAAGTTGGCTATGTCTTCCGTTCAGCTACTTTGGCCGTAAATTTGAAAATTCACTTTGAATTCTCACTAAATGACCCTGATAATGTGGTGAAATCTACAAAGTCGTGATCCTGGATCTGAGGTTTCCCATAATGAGGATCTTTGGTATCACTATTTGGCAGGCCTTATTTATTTTTGCCCCTATTACCATAAAGGACCAGCTGTCTCAGACCTGTACCCACCCTGTAAATTTGCACGTTTGTTGACACCTTCCACCCGCTGAAGTTTTAAAGGAACACTCCATTGTATTGGAGCCATGTGTGTATGTGTTCATGGCTTTCTTATGCTGTTACACGTTAGCTGTAATAGGACTTATTGAGCTCCATGGGGCTAACAGGAGCCAGAAAATCTCCGTGGCTATTTGAATTCCATCCAAGGAGATGTTTCTTCCCTTAAATAGAAAAGTGCAGATTTTTTTTTAAATTTTTTTTATGAAATCCGCACTTCTAGAAATTATCACAAATGGGACAGTCTTCCGATGAATAAAGCACTCCAGTAAGCTGTAGTTCTTTGTGTGTGGTGTGTTCCTTTAAACAAGGAGCCAGCTCATTTACGATAAAATGTCTCAAAGATTCTGCTGGCTCTCACGACATTAATAAAAACCGTGCAGGTGATCATACCCTGAGTCCACCTCTGTCTTAGACCTGTCTATTTCAATCTGGGTATAAATCCTCTATCTTATTCTTTAAAATCAAAATAGATGTGGTCTCCTGTCATGCTACGTGCAACCAGAACTACTTCTTTTTGCTTTCAAATAAAAGCAAACTTCTAAATGGGTTAATACTAGGATTACGCTCAATAACAGAGCCTAGACCACTGCTTTTAGAGTAATCATTAATATATTTATATGCACTAGTTTTCTATAGCAGAGAATTGAGTGACCTGTAAAGAGATCAAGAGAAGTTAACATACAAAGCTCTGGCTCTATCAATTTATTGCTTAAAGTTAGGTTACTGCAGTTCACACCACTAGTCTTATTTTTGACAACCCTTGTGGCTTCCCTGTGCAAAAAATCATTTGATGATAATAAGCCATTGAAGAGATAGTAAAAGGGCTGTTTTGGGAGATGTGTGACAAACTTGTAACCATCTTATTAATCCATGAATCATGTGCTGTTGTGTGTGTGACCAGTCAGTTGGTAGAGCACGCAAGAAGAAATACATGTTTGTGTCTTCTGACTACAGTGAGAGTGGCCCTGGAGTCTCCATAATTTCAGAACCAGGGGTAACCAGTAAATGGGTACAGGCAGTGCATTCACAAGCATGGATAGTTTTTATGTTGAGTGCAGTCTTTCATTTTTGATCAATTTAGAGTTTCCATTACTCTTGGCAACGTCTGTAAGTGTGCAGTTGTTGAGACCCTCTTAATCTTCAAATTCCATACAGACAACAATTTAGTAAAATATATACATTTTATTCTGGATGGAGGCCAGGAATTTGTAGGTCTATAATTTTACAACCTCGTTGTGGCTGTAATTTGAAGTCTGTCAGCATTAAATATTCCTTATTAAACAGCTGTGAACTTGACCAGAAAGACTTTATAATCGGTGGGTGGAGCGCTAATTGGTCAACAGGCACGTATTTGCTTACCCCTTACTGAGAAGTTCTGAGATCTCGATGTGTTGACATGAAAGACATCTGCGTTTTGCTATGCCATCAAAAACGTCTGCGTTTACTGCCAAAGTAAAAGGCCTACAGCATTTAGAATTTGAAGACTGCAGCCATATTTATTTACTCCACCATAATCAAATGAACGGTTCTAAACAAATATTCCATGTTGGAGAGGTGTAACCTTTTGTAGATTTAATAACGGACAGCATATGTCCTTAGACTAATGGTAGACATCAGTTGTATTACCCAGGGACGCCTTAGGAAGCGGATCTGGAAATATGTGTGTTTACATAGTGATTTGAGCGGATCTAGTCTCAAATTAAAAAGCTATTACCAGCCTTCACACTTGGCTGGGTTTGTGGTTCTTTTTAGTCATAGTTTAAGGTTGGCTAACACATACTGTGCATGGTTTGGTCTGGTTCAAAGTACATACCCCATAAAAACTCTGTACATACTTCCAGCTTCAAAGCAGTTTCCACTCACGTAACAAGTTTTTAGTTTTTCTTCCTTTGTTCAAAGCTCGTATTCATTAACGAAGATTGAAGAAGTATGATGAGGGATTACAACACAGTCCATGGGAGAAAATATTTTATTGCACTTGTTAGCTACACAAGACCACTTTTACTAAAGAGCAAAACATTTGCTGTGTAAAATGCAGGTTGCGCGCTGTTTAGTGCAGATTAATCCGGACAAATCAGGTTGTGGAGACCGCTTCTAAAATAACTTCACAGGTTGCTTCCCCACTCATCAAAACACCATTGAACGCCGGCTACAGTAAAATAGTTTATTGTATTAGAGCAGTTCAAAATATGTAGGTATTACAAAATATACAGCTTGTGCACTGCTGTAAGTACAGGACAACCAAGTACACATGCATCTATAATAACAATCCTGTTGACTTGTAAAAACTAAGGTTTTTTTTTTTTTTTTTTAAATATCCTTCCTTACCCCAGGTTGTTAAGTAACCATCTACCTTATTGTGCTTATACACCTTTAATTTTTGTTTATTTTTTACTATGACTAGGGAGAGATACCAAATTTACATTTGGAGAGGAGGCTGCACTCCATAATGCAAACTCCTGTAATGCCAATGGCTTAGTACATTTCAGGAAAGTAAAAATAACTTTTTTTTTTTTTTTTTTTTAAACCCCTGGAATAAAAGGGAATCATGACATGTCACACGTCATGTGTCCTTAAGGGGTTAATATATACATTTTACTAGTTTTAGGTGGAATGCCCGGTTTTGTTATACAGGCTCTGTACCCTTACAGCCATGTAATGATTGCCCCTTTTTTTTTTTTTTTTTAAAGCTTCTCTTGGACCCTATATAATGAACTTAATCTTTAAAATAAAATTAAAAAACTTTTTAGTATGGTGTGAGTAAATATTTTCAAATCACTGGTGTGTTCTATCTTGATCATTTTCAACAAAGGATATAAATAAAACTGGTGTGAGTAAAAATAACTATTGATCTTTATATACCCACCCCTGCCTTACAATATCTAGCCAGGTTTTAAAAGTTACTTGTTACTGCCAGCCTGGAGAGTTCATGAAACACTCACCAGAGGTGAATTTCTACAGGCCAGGGCTCACCAATGGCTAGTGAATATTTTAAGATCTATAATCTCAAACTTATTTTATATAATAGCACCTCCTACTGTTCTAGGCAGATTAAAACCATATCTATCTACTTGATTCTAGGCACAGAGGTGTACTGCTGGTCTGATAGGTGGGCTAATCAAGAGGTGCCTGCAGTATTGCTGAGGCCTAATCCACTCATTTGTACAGGCAAAAAGCAGCCATTACCTTATACAGGTTAGGAAGTGCTAGAGCCAAGTGCTGAGAATAATTTTTAGAAGACCGTGAACCGATTTGAAATATGGTCTAAATCAAAATAAACAAAAAAATAAAATTGGTTTCTGGGACTCTGGTTTCCACTGCCCAATCTGTTTTGTATGACTATTTACTTGGGTATGAATTCAACAGTGTAATAATTGTATGGCAATAAATAGAAGGGGAAACTACCTTTTGACAATGGTATAGGTTACATATTCAGCAGACTAGGACCTACAACTTTCCAACTTGTTTTGAAATTGCACTATTTGTGGCTTGCATTAAGAGGTTGTATGTCATCTGAAACCCCAGGTTAAGAGATTCTCTTTGTCTCTGCAGAAGCGCTTGTGACATTCAGCTTGACGACCGGACCCTATATAATGCTAGGATGGTGGCACTCCCCCTTGGACAGATGCTCAAAAGGATTACCTCGTTGAAAAATTGTAAGAGGCAGCTTGTAGGGGAGGTGAAAACATGGTGCTCCTGCTCCCTCTTACCCAGCATTCTGTGCTCTATTTAAACACCATTCTCCTCCTCAAGACATGGATTACTCCTCTGGGGCTTCGTAGAAGGTGCCCCTTCTCCCTCTTACCCAGCATTCTCTGCTCTATTTAAACAACGTTCTCCTCTTGAAGATGTGGATTACTCGTCTGGGGCTTCATGGAAGCTGGTGCTGCCTGCTTGGTAAAGCAGATTCCTGGCAGAACGACTTAAAGGATCCTAAGGCACAGGGAGAGAGTAAAAAATTTTTTCTTGTCGAACATCAAGCAAATAACTCCTACTGGAAGAAAAACTTGAATTGATACCCTTGTACCCTGGCATATTTTCTTTTTACATGCTGGTGAATATGCTGTAGCCCCCTCATTAAATGTCCTGCACCAAAGGAAACACATGAACAGGTTTGCCCCCTTTACATGCACAGGATTGAAGCTATGCCTCCTGGAGGTGTAGAAAACCAGCATTGGGCATTATGGTGCCACGTTGGGTGAGGGGCTACCTTCTGTCACGAGGGAACCTGTAAGGATGGTTTTTGTGGGACACATTTACTTTTATTTATTCCCTTTCTCCTTGTGAACTCTCACTAACTGCCCTTCCCCCCTCTGTTCGCCCACTTATTCAGGATCCATGGGTGTCTGCACTTCCCAGCCCCTTCTATCCAAGTTCACTTTGTCCAGAACACTTTGTTTAAAAAAAAAGAAATATTTCTAGAAAATGTTAAAAGGAAAAAAAATCCCTTGCACTCCATTCTGGAGTGTGTTATCTTTTCTGACATGTAGAAATAAAAGTTAGAGTTTTTTTTTTTTTGAAACTGTGTGTGGTTGATAAATTATCTATTTTACAGAAATAGTGGGTGTATTGTACATTGTAGAGTTGGTTGCAGTTACCAAAAACTGAACCCCATACTAAGACCAGGGCAAATTGTTTTATTCTAAGTGCATAATTTCTAGGTTACATATTGGGCTTATTTCCTGAAAGAGAAACTGGAGAATTCACTTTTTTTTTTTTTTTTTTTTAAAAAGACCATTCTTTAGAAGAGCGGAAAATTGCAGAGTTTCAGATATTTTCTTAGACCAAATCTGTCTACAAATAGTTCTTGGGCCTTACACTAAAAATTATAGCAAATCTCTCTCCCTCCCTCCAAGTTTTTGCATCTGATCGATTTGATGTAGCAAACCAAAAGCTTTATACTGAATGAACTTCCAAGTCAGCAATTTCATAATACTTATGTTAAAATGCATTTTGTTCCAAAGCAACGTGAATCTGCTGTTGGAATCCAAAGGTGCAAGCTGCAGCATTCACATCACTCAACGAAAACAAGTGTTGTAGAGGTTAAATTTTACCTTAATTTAAATGGAATATAGTATGTAGGTTTATTTTAAAGGTTTCTTCCCTATAGCTAGGCTAAGTTCAGAAAACATTTGTTGGGAGGTGGGGATCTGTATAAAATGTCTCCCCGACAGCCACTAAAGGTCGCCTCCGTGCTTTACACACTGTAAATCGCACTTATTTGACGCTGGACTTTTTTTATGGAGTCCAGTGTCAAAAAAGATCCACAGTAGAAAGCATTGAATAAGCATTCAATAATGCTTTCCTATGGGCTGGTTTGAATGTGCGAGCACCTCTGGCCGCGCATTCGCCTCCACTCGGAAGCTGACGTCAATGGAGGAGGAGAGGTCACCATGTCGCGAACGGTTCGCCACGAGCTGTTCGTGGCGAACTCCGGTCAGCTGACACGTCCCGGCCAATCTCCAGCAGACCCTCCCTCCCAGACAGCATCCATGTTTCAACATGGATGCTGTCCAGGAAGTAGGAGGGTCTGGGAGGGAGGGTCTGCTGGAGATTGGCCGGGACGTGTCAGCTGACTGGAGTTCGCGGCAAACCGTTCGCGGACGGTTCGCAACATCTCTCGTCACCAGTGCCGAGGGAGCCCGGTGCTGGATTAAGGTAAGGAAATAATAATTTATTCGATGCGGAACGGGGCCCTAGTTGGCTCTATAGCGTTAGGAATACATATTTACTATATTGTTTGTTTAAACATGCATTCTTCAAGCAGTTTTTGTTCCTTAAATATCCTGCTTTTATTGTTGGCAACTGAAGTGACATTGTATCGGGACTAAGCACTACAGTTGTAGAATTCTCGTGATGCTTTGCCAGTCTGGCAGGATGGGGATTGTAGTTCTACAATAGCTAGATGACTTCCATGGACTAAACATCTTTTGCAGAGTGCTGGCGTGAGGAGCTCAATGAATTTATCTACATGGAAAACTTTACAGAAATAACGTCTTTGGTCCTTGGCAATGCCAGAGACAGAATAATTCAACAAGTAAAAACACAAGGAACACAAATACAAAATAGATTTCATTTCTTGTTTTTGAGATTGTGAATCAGATATTACTAGAAAAAAAAAAATTACAAGTGTGCCAAAAATTAAATGTCCACAGTTAATCATTCATAGCAATTGAAGCGTATCTGCCTCCCATTTCTGTGCCGTCTCCTTGTGCAGGTACACCTTAAATAATCACTACCCCATAACAAACTGCTGGAGTAGAATGCAAAAACACACAAAAACAAAAAACTTCCACATTGGGGTTGAGCGTTTTTTGAGAAGGGCTGCTCCTGTATGAGTGGGTATATGAGATGCCATCCAGTGTTTTGTGTTAAATACTATACACACCCTCTCTATACACACATACAGTCCTCTAAACCATTACTGCTCTGGAATGTCTTACTAATCCCACGGATAGGCCATGTGTGGCTCTCTAGAGGTTAATGAACTCCCATGATCCTGTCAGTCCCAGTTGTTGCAGATCATCAACAGCCAGAGAGCCATAGGATGCCTATCCCTGCACTAAACCTATTTATCTTTCACTGCAACACACTGCTCAACCACTTTCTTGCCAGTATTTTCTGAGAGTGAGCTGGGTAGTCTCCTGTTGAATGGAGTTTCTGCTGACCAGCTCTTGCTGTTTGCTTGGCATGGATAGAATACTGTCAATTTCTGTCCGATTGAGGGGTTACTGGTCGTGGTCTTTGTCTGCGTGGCGGTGGGCATTGTAGTGGCAGCGGAATCTGGGTGGGCAGCATGGTCAGTTTTTCCAGCATGTCCCTGGGCAAGATGTTGAGCCTTATTTTGCCACGTGAGCGTCTGAAGCCATTTTCAGTACCCAAGCAGGTGTATACTCCTGCGTCATTAATTTGTACAGAACGCAACACTGCTCCCCCTTCCATCATTGGAAGTCGCACCTGAGGATTGAAAATATTGGAAGAATGAGCTTCAACTTGCACATGGTAAAATCACATACTAGCAAATCAATGAGAACATAAGCCATTACTTTCATGTACAAATTACTTCACTGTAGTCCATTTTCTTTACGCATTAAAGAAGAGGCTAGCAATGGGACATGGTGACATGGGTTTATCTACTAAACAGTGCATTGTAGTGGATAAAAAAAAAAAAAGCAAGAGTCGAGCCATGACTTTTTTGGGTTAAATGTTTCATGTTCCATTTTCAATTTGTTGTCTTGTGATTCTTCTCTAAAATAATTTTGCTTTAAGCCTATACTCCCAAAACAAGTGTTCCTATTTGAGCATTATGTGGTTTGCTTTGCATAAAAGTATTGACTTCCTAAGCCTGATTTACAAAAACCTAATGTTTTACTTTGCACGAAAAAAAAATTAAATTCCAAAGGTAGAATTTCTCAACAGGAAGGCATAGAACCTGCAGTGCTATTTGATTACTACTAGAGGGCATTGGAGATTTATAATTTTTTTTTAGAGAGAGAGAAAAACAGTTTGCCTAGGGCACTAGTCGTAAGGCCCCACTAGCTGTGTGAGATGGTTAGCCTACCTATTGCAGTGATTTGTTTAATGTGTGTTGTAAGTTATTTAAGCACCACAAAAAAAAAAAAAAAGTCTCCCATGGTAAGTGAGACCCTAACGTAAATGTTTTGGCAAAGATTCCCAAAGCCCCATATCACCAAACAGCGGAGGGGCGGGGCCTGGCTGCTGAATGGGTCAGATGCAAGTCGCAGAAGCTCCTGAATTTTATGTTTAATTTGCCAAAAATCTGCTGATAAAAGGCACTTCAATATATTGTGGCTCTTAGGCAAACTGGGTCACCGTGGTGACCATGGGGATACCACTTGAGCTGACAAACCTGAATATACCCTGCAGCCTACAACCATGGTCAGTGTGGGGGAGGCGGCCGCTCTCCCGCTGCCACTGATGACTGGCAACTCAAGACTCTACCCCCATCCTCTGGACCAGCGAGGGTCATCCTGGTCCAGAGAGAACATCTGCTCGATCTGCAATATATGCCCCACCGGAGGCACTCTGCACCTACCCTGGAGGTGAAGACGAGCAGGCCTGCTGTCTCGGCACCACATGAGACAACACTCCAGAAGCCGAATGCTATATTTGAGGCTTTCCCGACTCGCACTGTAGAAAGAGCAAGGGGTCTCTGCGTACCTCTAATCAACAGTGAAACTACCAAAGACCATGTGGAGGACCCTGCTGGCTTCATGGATCTCGTTGCGGTTAGTGAAGGTGAGGCAGAGTCTGATTACTCCAATCGACGCTTATGATAATGCTGACCCACATGGCACTCCTGCTCACCTATCGGATGCAGACTAGCACGGTTTCTTTTGTTTTCATGTAAAAAATAAATTGCTGTTCATATGTACACATTCACTGATTGATGTTTCCTCAAAACACTGACATTATTTCCAATATCAAAATGCACATCAAAAATAAAGAATTATTTAATAAAAAAAAAAAAACACACTAAATGAAAATCACCTAACTACCAAGTGTGGGTGGACGGTTTAAAACCAAATAAAGGATTTTTGTTTTGTTTTACAGGATTCATTCTTATAGTTCATCTTCAAAAAAGGACACTTGTACAAAGTAAAAATAAAGGCCTGCTCACAAAAAAACCTGATGGAGGGGGGAATGTCCTGGAGCTGCTCCGAGCAAGACGCATGTAAAGTATATATAGATGCCAAGTATAATAATAATAGTGAAGTTCAAGCTCTGTTTACCTAAGGCATAAGCGACTTTCCAGAGGCCATCACATAATTTACTGGTTCAACAACAAACCTTACACTACTTACTGCCAGATAGCATCCCCACAAAAACCATAAGGCACCTGCAACTCCCCGAACATTGGGACTCACCAGGAAAGAAAGGTCTCGCAACACACAAGATGACGGCTATGCAGAAACCCCAATCACCTGCCTTGGAAATTGCACCTGAATTGGAGATCCTCGCTCATCTCTCTTCAGCCTGGAGTCCCCCCCCGGAGATATTGCAACATCAGGTGAATCTTTTCTAATTTTTCCATCATTACGGTGGACCTCCACCGTGACATTTGATATGTTGTAGACCATGGCAGAAACTCTGCGAAGCGCACAACTAGGTGGTGGACAATCTAACATCACTAGAGAAAGATCACAAATGCTTGCTGGAGAGTGTAGCTGATGCAAAGGATTGCACACGGCACAACAACTTCAGTGTAAGGAGCATCCCAGAGCATGCAACAACTGATGCCCTTCCCCAATACCTAGGTTCTTTTCTTCCAGACACACATTGGCTCATGGACTGGGCTTACAAGGTCCCAAAGGCCAACCCCATGATATTCCCAGAAACGTAACAGTTTGTTTCCATTTCTACAAGGCTAACCCCTATGTCCACCATGAGAAGGCTTAAGCAGCTACCAGAAATATCTGTTGGGATTTCATCCATGTTACAAAGCTCGTAATGAACCATCAAATACCACCAGAATGGTGCAATGGATCCACAACTGTAGTGACTACTCCTGAAGACTAGCAGAAACAACTGAAAGGATGGAATTTTGTCACAGAAACCCACCTATTTCCTAAACCATCATCACCTCTCACCAAGATTCTTCCCACCTGGAAACATGCTGGACACAGACCTTAGACCCTGCACTGTGTCCTAATGTTGAACCACTTTTGAACAGGTGAACTACACTTCCATGGGGATCACCCACACAGACTTTATAACACTACATAATATTTGTTTCACACGGCATATTATAACTTTACACACCCACGCCTCTAGGCGGCACAAGAGAGAGAAAGGGAAACCCCCGCCCTTTACAAGACACCCCATAGTAAAATTGCTGGGCTCTCAAGGGACTTGCTGTTCACGTTTGGGCTCCACCACCTTTGGAGAGAACTCAGTCCCCAAGAATATGCTTATATTTTCTTCTCACCAGTGCACAAAAAAAAATATTCTAGGATCGATCTTTCCCTCAACTCCTCTCTTTCCTCATCTCCCAGAAAAGGCCGGCTTTGTTTCACACTGGCAAGTGTCAAACAACACAAGACACGGGCTCGACTTTATCGAGGTTGCTAGACACCAAAAGATTCCTAGTTTCTTAATTGCCCTTGGCACAGAGAAGGCATTTGACAGGGTCAATTGGTCGTATATGTTCGCAACATTATAGAAACGTAGACTGTGACGACAGATAAGAACAGTTTGGCCCATGTAGTCTGCCAAATATTATAAATACTTCCATTAGTCCCTGGCCTTATCTTATAGCTAGGAAAGCTTTATGTCAATCTCACGAATGCTTAAACTCCTTCACTGTGTTAAACTCTACCACTTCAGCTGGAAGGCTATTCCATGCATCCACTGCCCTCTCAGTAAAGTAATACTTACTGATATTTTTAAACCTTTGCCCCTCTAATATAAGACTATGTCGTGTTGTTGTGGAAGTTTTTCTTCTTTTAAATATACTCTTTTATTATAAACGATGAGGGTATGCCAAATATTGCTAAACAGTATTTCCAGTGTTTACACAGCCCCTTCTGCCCCAGTTTTAACCTCAGGCTTTATCTCTGACCCGTTGCCCATATCCAATGGAACCAGTCAGGGCTGTGCCCTATCAAAACTAATTTTAATTCTGGCTCTAGAGCGCTTAATCCCAGGGATTCCCACTCTTATGAAACAAACATTGTCCTTGTTTGCAGATGACATTCTGCTCACACTTATGAACCCTACTACCTCCTACACAGCCCTGCTGACTACACTGAATCTTATGTGTCATACTATAAAAACAACAGCTCCAAAACCAATGCCCTCACGGTAGGCCTCTCCCTCTTGTCAACTCAGTGCAGGATACCTACCCATTTGAATGACAAAAGACCTACCCATTTGAATGACAAAAGACCACACTGAAATCCCTAGAAGTTAATTTGGCCAAAAATATAACTCTCCGACACCCAGCGGAGCCAAACATTTTACCCGTTTGAGGCCTTCAGCCGCCACAAAACAGGACGAGGATAGAATACACACTTAATAATAATAATACTTGAAGCTGTAGGGGAGACGAGGGCTTTGGGCGAGGTCTGATCCGAGAGAGGTTCGGGACCGAACGGCATCGGAACTGCTGGGACCCTGGACCCCTTGGACGGAGCCTATGCGGGGACTCCCGGCCTCCTCCGCTTTCCCCAATAGGATTAAGCGCCCGTAGAGAGGCGAGCGGACCCCGCCTGGCCTTGCCCTCTGACGCTCGTTCCTAAACCGTCACTCTCGAGTGACAGGATCTTTCTGTATATAGTTCCTCTCCCTGTGTACCTCTCACTCCCCCCACCCCGGTTCCCCTGTCTTTCCCCACCCCCCCACCCACCTGACGACCCGACAGACCCCTGACACACACTAACAGGACCACCCTAACGCACCAACACAGCGACTGGCATGACGCTGATACCGAGCGACCTCACCATCCTTTCCATAAACGCCAAAGGGCTTAACAAACCAGAGAAAAGGACAGGGGCACTGAGGGACTTCCATGCACGGAAGGCCTCAATAGTAATGATACAGGAGACCCACTTTCGAGAAGGGGACAGACCCAAGCTGACCAACCACCACTTCCCATTAGGGTACTATAGCGACTTCCACGGGGGGAAATCCAGAGGAGCGGCGATACTGATCAACAAAAAAGTACCATTCATAGAAAAGGCAAGCATGACGGACCGAGAAGGTAGATACCTCTTTATAAAAGGCACAGTGGCCAAACACCTATACACCTTCGCTACGCTATCTTAAACGTAACCTACACAAATTACACTCCTTCGCTGAAGGGGTCCTCATAATAGGGGGCGACTTAAACATAGCAATGGACCTGGTCTGGAACTGTTCTGCAGGTACATCACACATCCCCAAACAGCATCTCAGCGCGATCAAATCCCTACTGACCAAACATAGACTAGTTGACTGTTGGAGAGCACACCACCCAGACAAGCGAGACTTCACTTTCTACTCCCACCCCCACCAGACATACACCCGCATAGACTACTTTCTCACAATGCAGTATCACCTTCCCCTGATAAGGGACACGGACATAAGAGTGGCGACCTGGTCGGACCACGCCCCCACCACCCTCACTCTTAGGTCCCCACTTCTCAGACCTACGATAACCAAATGGAGACTGAATGAATACACGCTGTCACGCCAGGACCTAGGTGACACTTCGGAAAGGTCTTGACGGACTATTTCCTAGATAATACACTCGAAGACAATTCCCCGACGATCAAGTGGGAGGCACATAAGAGCGTAATACGAGGGCACTTCATACAAAAAGGAGCAGAACTCAAAAAACAAAGACGCCTGACTCACCAAACTTATAGAGGACATACACGCTACATAAACAAGCACTACACCCATCCCACCAAACACGACTATTACAGCTACGACGTGAACTGACCTCACTACTCCACTCTAAACACCATAGGGACGCGATCAGACACAAGGCCTTCTTTTCCTTACATGGCAACAAAAGCGGCAAACAGAGACAAACAAGACTCACTATGCCGCCTACCAACAGAGATACTGAAAACAGTGAGAGCCTACTACTCAGAGTTATACTCGCTCCCCAAACCTCTGTCAGAAACAGCAACTACTCACCTAAGAAACTCCATCCAGCAATACATGCTAACACACAAACTACCCACATTAGATAAACAGATCGCAGACCAACTAGATGAGCCCATCACAATGGAGGAACTAGCACCTGCCACTCTGCTATTACAAACGCTTCGCAGACAAACTATACCAACCGATGCTGGCCTCGTTTAACGCAGTGAGAGAGGGCCACCGCTTCCCCAAGCAGGCGTTGACAGCGCACATAACCATCATTCCTAAAGAGGGCAAGGACGTGGAGCACTGTGGGAATTACAGACCCATTTCCCTTATCAATTGCGATATCAAACTGCTTGCGAAGATCTTGGCCATGCGCCTACAGCCGCATATCCCCACACTGGTCCACCCAGACCAAGTCGGGTTCGTGGCAAACCGCGAGGCAAGGGATAACACCATACGGGGCCCTTGCCCTCATGTACAACAAGAAAAAAGACACAGAGGGCCGCCTTCTGCTGTCCACAGATGCAGAGAAGGCCTTTGACAGGGTGAGATGGGAGTACCTGTTCCAGATCCTTGCCCACGTGGGACTCGGACCCCACGTGCGCAGATGGGTCGAGGCCATGTACGATGGACCCATGGCACACGTGATAGTGAACGGGGCACTGACAGAGTTTCCCCATACTCAATGGCACCCGCTTGCCTTTGAACCCTTCCTGACTGCAATTAGACAGCACCACGACATCATCGGCATTCAGGCAGGGGACACACACCACAAAGTGGCCGCCTACGCGGACAACCTCCTCTTTTTCGTTTCACGACCAGAAATCTCCCTCCCCAACATCCTTCAAGCCTTTAAAACATTCGGAATCATCTCCAACCTAAAAATAAATTACTCCAAATCCTATATCCTGAACGCTGATCTGCCCCGCGGCCGAGCCTCCCCACTAAGAGCAAGTTTCTCATTTCAGTGGGCAGAAAGTAAAATACGCTACCTGGGTACATGGCTGACCAAACAAAAGGGAGACCTTTACAGGGAAAACTTCACCCCCATGCTAAATATGTTCAGAAAAGAACTAACAGACTGTTCCTACCCACATATATCGTGGCTGGGAGGAATCCAGGTTATTAAAATTAACCTCCTCCCATGCCTACTCTATTTATTTCAAACGCTCCCCATAACAATCCCCAAAACTTTCTTTACCACTTTGCGCTCGATGACAGCTAGCTACATATGGAATGGGAAAAGACCACGGATTAAGTTCCAAGCCCTCACACAACCTAAGGAGAGGGGAGGGCTAGCCATCCCAGACTTCTACTTATATTACACGGCAGGGCACTTACAGAGAGTAATGGAATGGACCAAATCAAATGTACATAAGCAGTGGAGGAGACGGAGATGACGGGACCAGTCTCGGTCTTGCCGTGGTGCTCCGGGAGGGGGCTCGGCCGGGACTGCTCCTCTTTAGCACAGCACACTTTACGTGTGTGGCATAGAGCGTCTCGGACACACGGACTAACCCAACACCCATCACCCCTGCTACCCCTAACACACAATCAAGACTTCTCCCCCGGCCTCGACCCAAACGCTTTTAGGGACATCATCTATACATCCATCCCCAGACTACACCACATCTACACGCACTCGGGCCGGAAGGCACTCTCTGACCTGATAGAGAACGTACCCCCTACATTCCTACAATCCTTTAAATACAAGCAACTATCGAATTATATAGACTCCCTCCCCGGGGGACGAGCCCATGCTAGGAACCCAACTACCTTCGAAGAATGCTGTATGCACCCAGACCCCCTACCCCACAGCATTTCATGCCTATATTCACTACTACAAAGGGAGACCCCAACAGAGACTCCTGCCTTTAAGGGCAAGTGGGAAACCGCACTGGGGAGGACTTTTACCGAGACAGAATGGGAAAAAATATGCTACCTCACACACCACTGCTCTACCTTCACAAAGACACAAGAGACAGCATTTAAGCTGCTGAGCCACTGGTACCGCACCCCGAGTATACTGCATGCAATAGACCCCTCACGCCCCGACTTATGCTGGAGATGCAGGGAGGCAAAGGGCACCATACTACACCTATGGTGGGAATGCCACAGAATTAGACCATTCTGGACGGGCATCCACAGAATCCTAGGAAAATTTTCAGAAGCACCACCACCATTGGAGCCAGCAACAATGCTCCTACACCACACGACCGTACCCAGATCCCGATATAAGAAGTACATGACTATTAGAATCCTCAATGTGGCCAAACAGGTTATACCCCAATACTGGAGACAAGATAAGACCCCTCCTCTCAGGACATGGTTCACTCAAATGGAAGAGTTCAGGGCGATAGAAGAGTTACACTCAGGGACGACTAACACCACTGAAAGATACATGGAAACCTGGACACACTGGATTGTGACCACCATACAGGCAGACTTTACTGCCCGACTTGACACAGAAGCCTCACCTGACTGAACGGACGCACGCAAATGACCCCGACAGCCTACACCACCCACCCCCTGTGCCACCTGCAGCCTCCCACACTCCCCTCTTCAACCCTCTCCCCCGCATACCCCTGCCACCCCCCCCCTCCTTCTCACATATTACACAAAAGATACCTAACCATTGTAATGCTGAACAGGGACCTGCGAGTCTGTCATTAAAGTGGGCCTGCGAGCCCGAATATTTACCTGTTTCCAGACCTGTTCTGGCACATGTTGTGCTTTAAGTTATACTATGCTTGAAGAGACCTGCGAGTCTCACCGTGAGAAAACAATGACAATAAAAATATATTTACAACAAAAAAAAAAAATATATAACTCACTAATTAACCAACTAGAAAAACCTATATGTACAATGGGAAAAAGTGGAGCTTTCCTGGCTAGGGAGAATAAACTCTATTAACATGTTTGCCCTTCCTTTACTCCAATATCTATTTCGTACACTTCCAACATCTCCCAACCTCTTTACTGAAACTATTCCAAACCCAAATGTTCTCTTTTAAATGAAAAATGTGGCTCCATTGAGTAAACCACCATCTTCTCCGTACTTATCTAAAGAAAAGAGGTCTGTGAGTTCCCAACATTCAGGGGAAAGTGAACCCAGACCACTTAAATGAGATGAAGTGGTCTGGATGCCTATAGTGTCCCTTTAAAAATGTCCTGCAGACCCACTAGGCCCAACCATAGATTAATCCACCCCCACTATACTCCAAAAGAGCTGTCTGGGTCTAGCATCTGCTGTTAAGATTCTATCTGCTACTCGTCAAGCTCCAATGCACATAGAGCAATGGGATAAAGACATCCAGTTAATAATTCACTAAGAAGACTGGATGAGAGCAGCCACTAACATGCTAGGAGTCTCTAAATGCACATATTTTTGAAGTGGCCCCACTCTAAAACCCTTCTGGATCGCTTTTGCACCAGTCACCAGTTTGGCACTCCCTCACACTGCACAATGTCTTCTCCTAGACCCTCCAACAAACACCTAATCCTGCATATCCTTACTGCTGCAAAGAAAGTCATCGCCAAACACTGAAAAACAACCTTTACACTACACTTCCAAATCATGACTGCCTCTCTCTTGAAACCTGAAACTTATGGGCACAGTGGAATGAACACACCAAGCTATTACTTCAACAGATACCTACAGTGACCATGGATCTCTTCACCACCCACCATTATCCCCCATGACCACTCTCTTCACACCTACACCCCTCAGTTTCATTGAGCTATTGACGTGAAATAGAAACACCGCCACAAATTGTTCTCTATTAATATAACTTACTTAATACAATGTAATGATTTTAACACTGTTTCGCTTCCTACATTTTATCATCTTATCCACCAATTACAAACCTCTTTTCTGTGCTGTGTGCCTTCTCTCTGCAGGAGCCAAGTGACACTTTCAAGTGGAGAGTGTGTATCACACTGAAGGAATACACTCCCGCCCTCCACCCCGATCTGCATCCGTTCTGTGACACCTCGATCCACTACAAAACAAAAGCATGAAACCGTTGGACACTTCCCTCCATCTCACGAAGTACCCACTCTACCATCTGCACACTTACTTTGTGTGTTATATCCTCTGCACTGTCTATGGGGATCTCCATTTTTTACATCTTGCCGACGACTTCTCCTGAAAGCAAAGATAAATTACAAAAATCGAAGTAAAAAGAGTAGATGCAGTAAGCTTACCTTTTTCAATATACCAGTCTTTATTTCCAAGATATTTTATTTATCAAGAAAGAAATGGGGCTATTCACTACAATATGAATTGTCAGTTCAGCTATTTCAACCTACACGTTGATTTCTTGTGTATTGGCTTTGATTTTATTCAGTACTGCATTTAACGGTATTAACGTTCAGGTGTGTAAAACAGCATTTTGCATTACTTTGAAATACACAGTCCTCCTGTATCAATCCAAGGATCTCTCTCTTCTAACACGGACAGGTTTACGTATTAAACATGGAATTGTAGTGAATTCAAAATCAAACTGCAAAATGTAGGTAAAAAAGAGCTGATTTACAAAAATTCTACAATTCAGCTATAGTTACAGCATGCATATTTAGCCTTAATGGTGCGATTCAATTTTAAGTTCACTATTCCTAAATTGTTCGGAACGAAGCAGAAATGTCAAGTTTTAATGCAATATAGTGAAGCAGAAAAATTTATATGTAGGCGAACTTATTGACTTATTCACTAAACTGGAGATAGGTAAAACATTTTAGGTTGAACAGCCCCTGTTAGACCATTCATGGAGTTTGGATGGGAATTTAGATTGGCATAAAGTTTTACATACTCATCCAGCAACTGATGTAATTAATTTACCTAAGAAGCGGAGTAAAGTTCTCACAATATGAATAAACATCACTGACATTCTGACTTTGACCTTCTAGATTTAAGCTTTGTAAGGACATTAACTTTTGAGATTCAGTTCATTATGAGAATGTATTCCATCGTTTACCTTGTAGGTGAAGGGGTATATCGTGCACAGGCCTTTCCATCCCAAGCACAGTAGGGGTCTCGAGCAAGGCAGCAGTCTGCACAGGAGTCTCCGTAGCCAGAGCAGCGGTGAAGAGACAGTTGGGTAACGCCCACATCTGATGACACATACAGCTGGTGCTACAAACAGGAAGAGAGCAGGTTAGTCCACACTATCAGTATTATCACAACATGACACATACTGGGCTTTAAATCGATTACATATAGCTATGGGTTTACATCTTTTGCAAAGGAAACTAAAGGAAAAGTCTGCCCATCCATAACGAATTTTCCATAAGTCCGTATTTAGTAAATAACCACCCAGGTGTAAAATACCAGTAGAACATATTTCAAAGTATGGTAAAACAGGTATCAGATTGTAGAGCCTTTGTGACATCTGTTAACATTCCCGTAGCTGTGGCTAGCACTGCTTTACCCGAAGGTGGTCTAATTATGGCAGCTATCTTTGTGCCATGGCACATGACAAGTTTTAGTTATACAGATGTTTATCGAACAGCTCAGGATGGTCCTAATTCCTTGGAACAAAAATGGATTTATAGAGCCCATAACAAGGTACATGTACATATAGAAACATTTGCACGTTCTTCTTCCTTAGACTTAGAATCCAAGTCCTAATATAATGCTCAAAATCGCTGAAGGTTCTGGAGCGAAAATATTAAGGTCTCCGTAAAAATCTGCATGACCAAAATTTGTCATGCACCATGACACAGATGGCTGCCAAGATTAAACCAAGCAAAAAATTTTTTATATATATAGATTTATTATTATTATTTTTTTTTAAATGATCAATTATTGGGCAACTTAAGATGGACTGAATCGGTAAAATCTAATTGTGCATTATGCAAAATGTCACATAACTCACCCTCTTTGATGATATTTTGATGTTTTTGATTGGAGAGGACGTCTGTCAGAGAAAGGGAAAAATAGAAGACACCATGAATAATACAGAGACTATGATTACACATGATGGTAACATATCTTATATGGCAGGTTAAAACGCAAGTGGCCCATCCACAGTGTCTCTTTTCATTTTCAGGCATGGAAAGGTCATAAAACATGGAATAAGGTAAGTTCACAGTTTATTTATTTTCCAGTGAGCTTTAGTATAGCACACCAGATATAAAGCACTATCAAACTTTAGTGAAAAAAAAATAAATAAATAAACGAAAAAGCAAACACACTCAAAAAAATTTAAACATAGAAACATAGAATGTGACAGCAGATAAGAACCATTCGGCCCATCTAGTCTGCCCAATTTTCTAAATATGTTTATTAGTCCCTGGCACTATCCTACGCATGCTTAAACTCCTTTACTGTGTTAACCTCTACCAGTTCAGCTGGAAGGCTATTCCATGCATCCACTATCCTCTCAGTAAAGTAATACCTCCTGATATTTTTAAACCATTGCCCCTTGGGGAGTCGTCCGTTTGCTGCGTCTTTGTTGTGATTAAATTCGTGGTCATTCCATGTCATTCAGTACTGTAGTTTGTCAGCAAAGTCTGGTTTCGTTGTCAGCAGCCATTATGTCCAAGTGTTTAAATAGAATTGGTGTGTAGGTCCTCCATTGATCTTCGCTCCTCCCTTTGGGAGAACCATGACCTCAGTGGGGGAGTTACCGGTTATTTCCAGTGTTGTGGGATTATTAATTTGGCAATATTCAGGATGAGGATCCTGATAGATTTCTTAGAGAGGGTCCTAGTGGCCTTGGTGTGATGTAGAAGCATTTCTGAGGGTTTGAAGGGGGGTGGACTTTCCGTGAATAACTAGCATTTTATATATCCCCTTCCAGAATGGGAGGATCTTCTTGCATTCCCACCATATGTGGAGTAGTGTGCCTCTCCCCATCACACATATCCAGCATAATAGGGAGTGGTCCAGGGTGATCTTGTGTAGTGTTGAGAGAGCATGGTACCAAAAGGTTAACAGTTTGTATGCGGTCTCCTGTGTTTTGCTAAAGCTGGAACAAGGGTGTGTGAGGTAAAAAAATTTCCCACTCTGCCTTGTCAAATGTGCAGTCAAGGACTGTCTCCCATTTCCCCATGAAGCTTGACTGTTCAGTAGGTGTATGTGTCAGTAGTAAAGAGTATATTAAGCCATGGCAGCAAAGCAATGGGGATGCCCGCTTCGCTCTCCTCTGCCTGTTTCCTTGGTTTGTGTACCTTTTGTTTGGACCACTCCATTATCTGCAGGAGATGGCAGGCCTTATGAATACAAATTACTGTGTGAACCCCAAACAAAGTTGAGAACCACACACAGTGGTCAGTATGGTGGTACCAGATCCAAGAGGGTCACCCCAAAGCAAGAGGGGGGGACTCTCTGCTGTTTTTTTAGATAAGGGGAAAAGTAAATAGCAAATAGCAGAATAAATGCAACCTGTTAATCAGTGGGATAAGACAAAGATGAGAGGGGAGGGACAAACTCTGCTACTCAGTAAAAAGTCTCCAATCGTATCTGAAAACAGCTACTTTATTAATGTACACGATAAAAAGTATACTTCTGGAGACAATGCCAATTCAAAGCCATAGAGCAGCAAACAAATATCAATTCTTCTCCCTGGCATGGGTAAATAAACCCAAGGGCAATACTACAAATGCAATACCTAGTCACAAAGACGGGCTCTGAAGCTCCAGTGGGAGTATTGCCTAAATGGTGAAAAGAGTTGATACTCAAAAGTCTGGAGGGTAAAGAGTAAATTCACAAGCTCAGCTCCTAGACATATGGCTGTAATAGGGCTGGATAAAAAGACAGCTTACAGGACAGCTAAAAGGCAAAAAGAGAGCAGGAACTTAAATTTCAATTGAGCTGATCTGCGGTCAGTCAGTCTACATACCTGGGTAATATCCCTGATGCTCCTAAACAAACACCTTCATGGGTGTTCTAACGCTGTCCCTAACCATCATCATGCAGAGTCATTAACCCTCTAGACATTTCCCCAAACAAAAATGTCTAAACAAAAAAACAACAAAAATGTGTTAAACCACCCTGTGCCTCCATAGTGCAAATAAAAAAGTATGTGAGAAAAAGAACAGAACCCGACGCGCGTTTCAGTGCATATCACTGCACCTTTGTCAGGGGATAACCTTACCTCCATATGGAGAGGGTATAAATATCACAACGGGCCAATCACCCGCTTGCCTCGTGATTCTGTGAAACTGCAATCAGGTGTACAGATGCGGACTGTGCTGGGCGGTGACGATCACACTGACCACTCCTAACGCCTCCCCTCCTATTGATCGCATCCTCCCATCCTCATCCTGGCTCAACTCCATAGTAGAAGGTGGACGTGTGACCGTCCAGCTGTGGGGGCAATGCATTCATAATGCCATTCCGCCCTCAACTCCTCCCTCTCTATGTCCACCTCAGTGTTTTATATCCACGATTGATAGTGGGGGGGGGGGGGGGGGGGGGGTTGGGAAGAGGAAAGGAGCTAAAATGAAGAATGAGTCTCTTAAAGAAGTCCCTACCAGTTATATTTTAAGCTGCAAAATGCTCAAACATATAGAAACAAGGAAAGGGACAAACAAGAAAGTCATTCTATATATAAGCTCATAGATAAACTCCACGGCAGCAAGGTTTAACATAAGCTGCAATTATGCCCACAATTCAAACATTGTTGGCAGTTACACATTGTAATATTTCAATGAGACAGCTGTTTCATTAACCATCATATATCTGGTGTACTTAATGCCTCAGATTCCACAACCTTCACGAGTGAATGTTATGTAAGTGTCAATCTTTACAAAACTATGTGTTGGTTGCCCTGAGGTTGCTGGATTTCAGATGATGGGTGCCCTTTAGTGAATATACAGATTAAAGACCTAGCTTGACTGTGGGGTTTTAAGAGAAACTCGGCAGTCAGCGCCCCATTAACCACCACCTGGGAGGTGGGTTGCATTTATAAAGCCTCAATCCATCCCAGCATCTTGAGGCCCAAATTGACGTGTGCTAGAGTCCAGAATAAATATTTCCAACAAACCCTGTCAAAGGCCTTCTCCGTGTTTTCCCATGGTAAGATGCCATACCCATAAGGTGGCTCTTCTGTATGAGGAGCAGTCTCTCTCTCCCCCCATGGCCCTGGGTGGTGCTTCGCGTCTGTAGATAGGAGGAGAAGGCCTCCGCAGCCTCTCTCTTCCGTGCATCAATGTAAGGGTACGCATGGTGTTCTCTCGTGCCTCTCTCCCCATCACAAACCCCACCTGGTCTGGGTGCACCAGTGTGGGTATGTGAATTTGTAGTCTGGTGGCTAGGATTTTGGCCATTAATTTGAGATTGCAAATTATTAGAGATATAGGTCGATCGCTTCCACAGTGCTCTTGCACTCTTTAGGGAGAATGGTGATTTGTGCGATCAGGGATTGCTTTGGAAAGCTGTGGTTCTCCCTAATGGCGTTATATGTGGCCAAGAGCGGTGTGTAGCGTATGTCTGCAAAGTATTTGTAATAGGACAGTGGCAAGCCGTCTGTGCCCGGGCTATTGCCAGGTTTAATTTGCTTTACTGCCATGGCCAGTTCCTCAGGTGTGAGATAGGGCAGCATGTGTACAGCGAGGTAGTTATTGATGGAGTCCAGCAGTTTGTCTGCTGCATGTGTCTTGTCACGGTAGGGAGTATAGGTCTGCCTAATAGCATCGTATCACCTCCTGAAACGGAGGGTAGTCGTTGTAGGGTATTCTTGTTATCTCTTATGCAGTCAATATAAGTCATCTGTCTACGTTTAACCAGCATCCTTTCCAACAGTCTGCTGCTCTTATTCCCGTGTAAGGAGAAGAACACCTTGTGCCTCAATGCGTCTCTGTGGTATCTGGTCTGGAGCAGTTGGGTCAGTTCCCGCCGTAGTTTTTAGGAGTCTTTCTTGGGGCGTGGATAGTTTGTCTTTATATAGGGCATCTAACTCTTAGATTTCTGATAATATGGTGGTCATGTCTGCCTCTCTCTGTTTTTTCATTATGGCGCTCTTTTGCAGAAAGTGGCCCCTTACTACACTTTTGTGTGCCTCTCAGAGTATTGTCGGGGTTGTTTGTGTTGGTGTATTGATTGGTGTATTGATTGTGAAATATTCCTCGAGGACCGTCCCTATTTCCGGTTTTACATCCGGTAGGGAGAGTATATGTTCACTTAGTTGCCATTTTGCTACCTTAGGCCTGTATAGAGGGGAGAGAGTGTGATTGTCACCGGAGCATGGTCAGACCATGTCGCCATGCAGTATATGTTCATTGAGTCGCCATTTGTCTACCTTAGGCCTGAATAGAGGACAGAGAGTGTGACTGTCACCGAAGCATGGTCAGACCATGTTGACATGCTGTGCTCGGCTTGTAGGACGAGGGGGAGATTATAATGTGACATGAAGAAATCTATTCAGTGTACATGTTATGTGGGTGAGAGAAGAATGTATAGTCCCTTTCGTCAGGGTGGTGGGCTCTCCAGCAATCCACGAGCTTGCTTGTAGATAATAGTGATTGAAACATGGATGTGTGTTGGGTCGGGACGTGGGAGGTGCCTGAGGAGGAGTCCCATCTCGGGTCTAGCGTAAGATTAAAGTCTCCCCCTAGGACCAGAACCTCCGCAAATTTTCTCAGCTTATGTAGAGTTCGTAATAGGAATCTGTAGTGTCTCTTTTTAGGGGCATATATGTTAGCAAATGTGTATGTCTTCCCCGCAATCGTCCCCTTCAGGAATATGTACCTTCCCTCCCTGTCCGTCTGGACCTCCCCCACCAGCAAGGGTACCCTTTTGTGGATTAGGATCGCCGTGCTTCTGGCTCTGCTCCCGTGATAGTCACTGTTGTATCCTGTGGGGTAATGATGGTCGTGCATCTTGGGCCTAGCCGATTCCTTAAAGTGCGGCCCTGGAGGACATTTGATCTTTTTTCTGGTTAATTTAATCCTCTAGTGTGAATAGAGACTATCGTGAAATTAGGAGGTGTGATTTTTTTATGGTTTGCTTTTATGGTCCTGCCCACCTGAGTATGACTCTTAGTCCTGAGGGGGAATAGAAGGAAGTCAGGAACCTCCAAGTGAGCCATGGCCACCATGGTCCGCTCCCAATCAGGTCGTCCTGTGGTCACTGCCTTTCTAGTAAAGCCTGCCTCAGTCAGAGGCCCATATCTCCCCTGAGCGGCTCAAAATAGAAATATAGAAGACACCATGAATAATACAGAAACTATGATTACACATGATGGTAACATATGTTATATGGCCCAAGTCTTCACTGAGCGGCTCAAAATTAAAGTATGTGGCAGGTATCCTCGCCAAAGGATTTGTATGGTTTTGTGGTGTCAACGTAAAAACATGGTACAAATTAACATATAAAGAACAACATGTACATACTTAATGGAGCCTCTGTGTAAACAACCTGGCTCCATTAGGTATGAGATGAACTGTTAATGGTCAAACTGACATGCAGTGCCTGCCTCCTAGATCTGTTAGGAAGCTTTCTGTTGCCGTGCCCTCGCCCATCCCTAGAAAGATGAGTTTATATAGGTGCAGTTGAGTGATTTGAATGTCCCTCCCTCCATTTGCGTGCGGGTCTCGCCACCCATGTAGGCTCTCTCTTCCACCCTATCTTTGCTCCACCCCGGGCCTTTTCCCAATTCCAAAGTCCCGTCGATGTCGTGCCCATTGGCATTGCACTCCATGTGTCTAAGTTGCGAAGCCCCCGCTGGCCAGGTCTCCGAGTGGACCGGAGGGCCCCCCTTCCCTCAATGTGAGCACTGCATATGGCCATTTAAATGCATTGAGAAAAACCTTGGGTGAGTGATCAAGCTCAGCCACAGTGATTCACTGTAACAGCTTATGTGTGGGAGACCAACATGGTCTGAATAGACTCGACAGGGTCTCCCTGCATGTCCCATTGCCATTTGGATTAGTGATGGGCTTTGTCAGTTGCCCAGCACCTATCACAGTGTAATGGCATTGCTTTTTTCAGTATGACAGTTATCTGCAATGCTGAATACAGTCAGTAGATGGTGCAACATACCACTATTGTTTTAGCTTAGAATTCCCTTTGCTCTTATCAGTACTGATATTAGCAGAGAAAAAAAAAAACCTTGGGATTAGATTAACCCCTTAAGGACCAAACTTCTGGAATAAAAGGGAATCATGACATGTCACACATGTCATGTGTCCTTAAGGGGTTAAGGATTGTTATTACGTTTAGGATTAGTATAAGGTTTAGGTTTAGAAGTAGATTTAAAAACTAGTCTTGACAGCAGAGGCAATCCTTACACTATTGCTAGAGTTAGGACTACTAATAAAGTTAGTATTCGGGTTATATATAGGATTAGGGTTCGGCTAGGATTAGGGTGAGGTTTTTAGTAAGGAATTGAGTTGGTTTTAGGATTAGGGATAATAAGACCGAAGCTCTCAAGGCCCCGACTGGTCGCCAAAACGCAGCCCAGGCTCACACGGGCACTTCAGGCCTCCAAGGGGATGTTACCCTCCTGAATTCCACGCAGGCACTGAACGCCTGCATGAAACAACCCAGTACCCACTAACCCACAGCCTCAGCAACCGCCGGACAAGCGCTACCAAGGCCCGGAGCCCACCCTCGACAAAAAAGCGGGAGCGGTTTCCTGCTGACCAGCAAGGCACAGACCCATCAACCTAGACCCAGCAGTCTAGCTAGTGATACAAGGCAGAGTTACCCACATATCTTGACCACTAGATGAAGTTTAAAAGTCTTTGCGGGCTCAGGCTTTTACTTTTTTTTTCCTATTGTTAACTTTCTTCTCACACAATTACTTAGCTGTGCATCAGATCTTACGTGCCATGACAAACTCGAGTTAGTTTACCATTAATACGCTGTCTTATGCATTGCATTTGTTGCCATTATAAATGTTGAATTATATACAGCAAGGGAAGGAAGGAGGGGAAAAGGGAAGGAAGAAAAAAAAGAGCTTAACTCTCAGCAGCCCATATACATTTACTACTGAGCGCACGTAGTCACCTCATAGTCCTCATGTCTAGTTAGAAAGGTGTGCAGCCTAGTCGTGTCATGACATTGTTTGCATTGTTATTATAGTTTGTACTCTTTCTTCAAGTTTGACTACGCCTGAAACTTAAGCACCTGGTCAACATTCAGTTAATGCGGTAGCACTGCGGATGCTCAGTCGTGTCCTTAGAGCCCTTAAAAGCACACATCTACTCACTTGAGCAGAGGTTGTTGTTTACTGTCTCAAGCTTTCAGACCCAAACATGACACACCACATTAGATATATGTACCCAGCTTGCACTTAACCTGATACATGTAAACTACGCCACGCTTGTTTATGCATCATAATATAAACCGTGCTTCTACTCATGCCACTGTGTGTCTTGTAAAAAAAACGTGTACGCCGATGTGGCATTTGATCTTGCAATGTACTCACCTGCACATCAAAAAATAAAGAACTAAAAAAAAACAAAAAACACTGCATATATGTTGGTACAATAAATTGGGAAAGATGGAAATTTCTTGTGTCCTTAAGTACATATATTTGCCAAATCCTTTTGCTCAAAATTCCAATGGCATTTAACCCCTTCAGGACGGAACCCATATCACGACAGTCACAAAGTCAAAGTATCTGCCTAAGCCCTGCCCTCATGAGAACATAAAATGTTGCTTTTAGAAATTAAAGTGACAAAAGATTGGTGGATTTTAACAGCCCCACATCATTGCAAAATACACACTTTTGGGTAATAATAAAACTGGCTGCATTGCTTCCGAATATATTGTGAACTTCTCTAAATGTTGTCTATTTAGAGGTCAGATTAAGCACCAGTATATAAATATGCACAGATAGAAAGTTTCTCTTACTCTGAAAACCTCCACTTCTTCCAGGATAAGCCCTTCTGTCTCTTCAGTGGCACGTGGCAGGATCATTACCTTCTGGATGGTACCACGATCTAAGGAACAAAAGAAGGTGAGATGCTTAATTTTCATGGTCACCCAACAGACTGCACATGCACAAAAAGGTAACGGATGCTTTGGGTAATCATTAAACACATTACAATGATGAAAAATGTTATGTGTAATCTTTAAAAGGTGGCTTTTATCCCTTACCCGTGCCCAAGAAAAGAACTGTATATTCCCCATCAGCAGCAGGCACGGAGTCCACAGCAATGCTGGTGTAGGTGTACGTAGCATCGGAGAGCAAGAGAAGGGGTCTGCGATTCACAGGGTACACAGAGCTGTACATTAGAGGGTGAGTGCGCACAAACCTCAGCACATCCTCCCCAAAGTGTTTACTGGAGCGAATTCCTGGAACAGAGAAGCCGCCTGCACACTGCAATGCAAAAGGGAAGATTAGAGTAAAAACAAATTAAACTGGGAAAAAAATAGAGAAGAAACAAAAATGGATGTTTTTAGAGCGGGTGTCTGATAAGAAACAATGAAGTACAAATAATACATTTTTGAAAGGTAAAAAAGTGGATATTTTTGTCCTAAGTTAGACTTTATTTCCACTCAGATAGAGATATATATATACACACACACACCACCCCCCCCCCCCAACTGGAATTTCTATAAATAGGAACCCAAATGCAGGTGTTATTTTACAGTGAAACGGTCACTTCCTATGAATAAAACTATGTTTATGTACATTCTAAATTTAACAAAATATGTGTTTGTGGTGATTGGAAACCAAAATAAAAATTGAAAATCCTCACTGCTGTATTCAATGTTATCCCTTAACCCAGAGTTTCCACCCTGGCTCCCGGTCAATCCTGGTTATGAGCTCTGCCTTTTTATGCCATTGAACATAAGTAAGTGGAGGCAAAATAAAAACACAATGGAAGACATTTATCAAAGTGGCAGGTAAAAGAACACTACAGACCCTTAAAGTACTTTAGCTTGCTGAAAAGCTTTGTGTGTGAAGAGTTTGTCCTCTTTTTTCATTTTGGAAATAGTGCAATAGTGGGAAAAGCCTCCCTGGGGTTAGAAGGGGAGGTCTTGCAAAGACAGCAGGGTTGAGAACTGCAGGTTTTGCAAGCTGTTTTTATAAATAACTTCAATGAAAAAAAAACATAATTAAATACACGCAAGTTTTTATTTGGGGTATATTTACCAAACAGTGTTTATTTTGTATTTGGGCAGTGGAGTGTCTCTTTAAATCACATCATTATTTTGATGTCATTTATTAAAGTGTTCTAAAAATAATATAAAAAGGGACTGTTTGCGTTATGGTAAAAATTTAGCAGTCTTCACAGAAATTTCAATTTCAGAAGGCAAATTTAGAGTGGCAAAAAAGGAGAATTAAAAAAGAACACCTTTCTGTCAGAAAATGTGGTGGAAAGATTGATAAAATCATTGCATCGCCAATAAAGGTATTTATTAAAAATTGATAGGACACAAATTAATCAACACTTGAAGAAAAAAAAAAAAAAAAAGAGTCCAAAAATTTAACAAATATATACACATTTCTATATGGAGATAGATATACATCCTCCAAATAGAAAAGTAAAAGGGCCAGATACTTTGAGAATTCTCCTCCATTGTTTCTGTAGCAGTGCCTAGGCTGAACTGGACTGTGATTGGACTGTCAATTGCTAAATCTTTAATACAAATTTGATTGAGCAGCACATGAGAAATAGGTGATTTCCAATGGTTTTTCTATTGTGTAATTTCCAGAGAAGTGACGGTTCCCCTTTATAACATTGTTGGATAATTCTGCAGTGAATACGTTAAAAATAATTTTTTTACAAAGTAAAAGGTGCTTTTTTTAGCTTCAAATTTGGAGTTAGTGTTACTATTTCTACAAATAACAGCATTAGCTCATGTGGGGGGTGGGGGGTTAGGGGGTTCTAAAAATAATTAGCTAGGGAGCAACTATTTGGTGTCTGTTTGTGTAGGAACTGATCAACATATCACTCTAAAACTCCCTTTCTGTTTCTTAAGTAAGATGGTCATGTGGCTCACCGCTCCGGGGCGGGGAAACGGTGTTTTCCCCGAATATGAAGTCATCTGGTACCCATGTCCCTCCTTGTGAGCGAATGGCCCATTAAACACAGCACGGATGTCAGCAAGAGAGTAAACACAGACGGCAGAGCCCCGGAACACTGAACTAAGAGACAGACACAGAGACAGATACATTAGGAACAGCAATAACGCACACTGCAGGGCTACAGAAATATATCAGACAATAGGGAAACCGCAAGACAGACAAGCACAGAGACTTCAAATTCACAAACTAACAAGATCAACAACTGAAACGTTAAAGGAAGTGAGGCAAATCAAGGACACTTGAGAAAGGCCACTCACATGACTAAGACAAACAAAGGGAAAAGTGAAAGACAGCAGAAATAGAACAATGACATAAACATTGATATTCGGCTATTTTCTCACCCTAATGTAGTGAAGACCCCATAAATCAATGGGTTATGTTTATCCTGAGTCTGCTGGATGAAAATGTCACCTACACAGAAACACAATTTGAGAATAAGTAATGTTCTGCTACATATATCTAGGGAGTGATAAAACTCAAGTCACTGCTATAAAAATATAACCTGTAGCTCCTAAATTTCTGTATTTTGTATAGAACAATATGGTTAGACCTCTTGGGAGGGGAGCTCTTGAAGGGTTCTCTGGTTCAAGTTTGCAAACTCTAATCGACTAAATCCTGTCATTTCACTGGCTATACTTTATACATTTTCATTTATTTTTTTATTTTTTTAACAAATAAATAGCTAAACCAAATCACATACATGCAGCTTGGGTCAGACAGTGAAAACCAACAGTCTATAGTTTTCCCTGCTTCACTCACTGCACAAACACTGTCTGGCCCAAGGTGCATGTGTATGGCTGTAGTATCGGGTCATATACTAAACATAGAGATGTTTTTTTCACATATACTTCATTAAAAAAAAAAGTTTTAAAAATATATATATATTTTCTACATTAGATTTAAGGATTACTATATTTAAAAAAAGGTTTGAGGTGACTGTTGTTCTTTAAGGTGTATCCTCTTTCAGAAAGCCATTCCTGAATCACATGTAGGTACTGACTGGTGATATGATGCAGACTTATGTGGACGGATTATATAAAATGATAATGTATTGTGGCCTCTGGTTTTCTTTTTATTTTGCTCTAATAATAGGAAAATAATCAAATTGTCTCAATTCAAAATGAAATCCTTGGGAATTCAACTTTAACTTGAGCCATTTTTATGGGCTCAGGAAAATGTGAGTGCATTCACATTTGTTAAAAAGTCCCTTTTTGATTTACACAGGCATCCTGAGCAAAATATTCCTGTGATCTTGTTTTGTGCATGTTTGGTACGTACTTTCATCCTGCTTTATTGTGTGTCTCTAATTAGACAAGATTGTGTGAGTATTCCACAGGTGATCACAGCAGCAATTACACTTTTATTGTATTTAATACACATCACACTGTAGTGTTTTTGTATAGGACTATACAACAGCTCTAAAACAGTGTATCATACTTGACGGGTCAATTAATAAATTCTTATAAATGTCTTTCATATAAAAAAATAAAAATAAAAAAAAGACCTTGATATGGTCAAATATATGTGAATTATTACGACTTTTAGAATCGCATATTAACAAACAACATTCTTATCGCACTTGGAAGGCTGCACGGCCTATACACGTTGGGACTGAATATTGTAAACAAAAACAAGCAAAAAGTTACCAGCACAATACTCAAATACCAATGAGAACTTTTAAATAAAACTATTTATAACGCAAGTACCAACATCAAGGCAAGTTCTAGGCTGACAGTTACCCTGACTGGTTTAGGCTCAAAGCCAGAGCCTCGAAACAGAAGAGGGTATTTTTTATGAAAATCTACAAACTAATTAACCCTAAACAGTGAACACATGGGGATAGACAGCTGTACTACTAGCAAGGCTGTGAAATGCTAATGAATGAGTTTTTTTTGTTGACAGCTTTTTACAGTACATCTGCCAACCCCCACATTCTGCAAATATATTTCTACATCTTTGGAAATGATATTTTATATAACCAGAACTCCGGTTGAAACATTACGGTCAGTTTGATTTTCACTTCCCAATTCTACTAGCTGTACCCTTGAGCAACATCAAATCTGAAAGGATCATTCAAGTCTCCTTGACAATGGATTGGACATACTCACGCAACTGGTCAAAGGCTGTCTCCACTCCGTCTTGTCCAATCACAGAACAAACAAGTCGGGCTTTGAGAAATGAAGTCCACTTTCCCACCAGAGAACGCAGACCACCCTCATCATTCTAAAAAGAGATGAAATAAACAAGAATATTTATAATGAACAGTTCTAAAGTCAATACTAAAAATAGATTTCATATCAGTGAGGGGAGTATTACATTTCCATTCCAGTTGAGGATCTAGAATACTCCCAAATAATGACATTGAAAACACATTGTCTGAAGCTGAAATAGATGTATGCGGCACAGGTCATCACGTCATATAGCCAAAGTGTCTTTAAAAGATGAATAGTTAGAGCAGCACCTTTAATCTCTTATCCCCCTTTAATACCAGAATCAGGTATACGTGTTTTTACTTTCGCTCTCTCGAACCCCACTTACCTTCCTTTATATTCCAAGAATGATTTCGAATCTGGAGAGAAATTTATTTCTCTGCCAGGACTTCATGCTGACCCTTTGAATCTCTGAAAATAGGAATGGAAATAACAGCTCCCCATTGCCTATATAATGAGGGAAGCTTCAAAGAACAAAGCAACATTCTAACAGTAAGGGAGGGTAGGCTCTGATAACACTCAGAATTACAGCAGGCTGCAATAGCATATATTTATCACTGTATCTAATTATGTTATTTGGGCATTATATCATACACACATTTTTACATTTGCATTGCTATTTTTTTTAATCTGTATTGCTAATAATGCCATCAGGTCCTTTGAAATACCCATACACAGGGTATTATCATCATCATTATTGTTGGTATTAATATAGCGCCAACTTATTCCGCAACGTTTTGCAATATCATAAAAGGGGTAAATTTAAGAATAAATGAGACAATTACAAAATGTTACAGAAACAATAGGTAGAGGAGTATCCTGCTCAGACGAGCCTATACAATTTATCATTATTTCTGTCACACCTTCACTACTACCCATGTGAAAAGTATGTTTTTGCCTCTTTATTCATATTTCAGAACCTGTGAGAAGGGATACTATATAGTGTCAAGAACTATTCATCCCCAAAATACTTCTGTAAGGGGCGAACAAATAAATGAGTAATTAAAACTGTGCAGGGGCGGAGCCTGGCATCCAGACTGAGCGGTTGTGCTGAACCTCAGCTCCCGCTCTAATCTACACTTTCTGGGGGTAAATCCCCAACAAAAATGGCACAATCGCCCACTGGAAAGAAGCAGTCATGAAAGGGGACCCGACAACACGCCCTGAGGCCTGCTGGAGATCAAGCATCGGGGAGACGGCCGCTCCCCGGGCTGACTGACCTGGACACTGGTCCCTTGAGGCTGACATGTTCTACCCCCCCCTCCCTCTGGACCGACAGGGGTCATCTCAGTCCGCACCAAGCGACATGAGGGGTAGTCGCGGGCTGACACCACAGCTTGACACACCGCAGCACACGGGAAGCTGAGCACATGGTGCAGCCAAAATGGCGGCGGCAACTACATCAGGTGAACCAAACAGTGTACCTGCAAGGGAGACTCACAGTGACATTATGCAGCGTGTGGAAGCTGCATTTGCCCGATTCTGGCACAACTCGTACGAAAAGCTGCACGCACACCCTGCAGCCCAGCACACCACACCAAAAAAAATGCAAGCCGAGCTGTCCCCACGTGAACATGGGAAAATCACCACTGCACCAGCGGAGCCGTGAATGGAGGGAAGAGACGCTCCACTCCAGGCAAGGCCGCAGCCCCCAAGATACCTGCCCAACAGATGCTGCAGAGGCTGGGGAGCCGCCGCCAGCGGCGACGTCGCAGCAAAAGCTCCGGCTGTCAAGTACCTCACAGAGACTTAGCCTCGAGACAGAGGGCCCGAGCATGCAGCCTCACGATGTCGGTCATCGATACGACCCAGAACTGGGAGACCTGCGTGCCCGACCCATACCCGGCACTACCCATGGACAGCCTGCGCTCCCTCCCAAGCCGGGGAATTGGTTGAAGCTGGACTCTGGCCACACCAACCTTACTCTGCAAACAACAAGTTCGTGAATAAGGCACAAAGTATTGTATATTCCCTTTCGGGTGATATATCTTGTAGTTTCTGAGATCCCTTATATTGCTTCTTATACCCACCCTAAAGACGCTGACGCTACGAATCCCAAGCGATTTGATATACTAGGCTTTGTTTCCAAGAGTAAAACTTAAGGGGTTCATTATAACAACCACTCAGTCTAGCCATCTATTCCCCTCCTGACAGTCTACTTAACCATCATTACACTCAGACAAATGCTATGTTTACAGATTAGATCAGCATGTATTGAATCATATTTTCTATTTTCTTAAAAATGGTGCAGAATATTCCACATGCCAACCAACTGTTAAATGTATGTTTGTATGCTTGTCAAAGCTGTTGGGGCATGACAAGCCCACTTGTTATATTTTCATGCACACCAAAAATAAAGAATTAAGAAAAAAAAAAAACTGTGCAAATTCATATAAATTTAAATTTTTATGAAGGTCTTATCAGAAATATGTTTTAGCCTAGATTTATATCCCAGCAACACATTCCCATGTTTGAAATAAAAGTTATGTTAGTACATTTCAAACAAAACTTTCTTGGTAATGAAAGGATTAGGAATCAACAACCCTAAACCTACTTATTTAAACATGTTTGTGTGAACAACGCTAAAAGAAATTAGGTCCTTTGAGGGTTTTAACATGTACTGATTGCATGTATCTTACTATCACAGCTTTGCCTGTGGTACAAATGTTAGATCAATGCATCAATACGTAACTGATGAGCAGCAGCCTGTAAATGACAACAAATTGGTTGGGATTGGGAACACAGAAAAATCCCTCACTCTGCAATATGAATATTTTCTAACAATAGAAACGGGTTTCATTCATATAAGCATATCCATTTGTGCTGCTGGGCTGGATTAACCTAGGTCACAGAATGTGCCCCTTTCTAACATCTCACATCCCACTTTATACTCCATTAAACTGGCCTCTTTGTAAAGCATGCAAGAGTATATCGCGTTACACATATTGTTTCTCACCAAGCAAATACGAGCAATTCGAGAGAGCACAGCAGGGCCATTTTCTCCCTCAAGGCTTCTCTCGCGAAATAAGATATACAGCTTGTCATCCTCTTTGAAACTGCTCTCAGAGACCACCAGCGACCCCACGAACAAAGGCTCTAAGGGAAATAGGAGATGGCATTGGTTCAAAGTCTGATGAACAAAGAGTTGGTTAGAACCCAGAAATAAGACTTCATTTATCGGACGACCATCCAGTGACTTTCTTTTACACTGAAGGGCCAGGTGAGACAGTGTAACTAGGGTTTAAAGATCTCCATTTCAATTAAAAATTGCAGACTAAAGGGTTGCATTTTAAACAATACAGTTAAGGCACTAAAGTCATAATTTGGAAAATAGAAATGTGCCAGAGTTGTAGATGTTACAACTCTTAAAGTACCAAAACACTGTAGGAGGACTTTAGATTTAAGAGCTGTAATTTAAAACAATAGCGCCAAAGTATTTAGCCCATAAAAGGTACATGTAGCTTGCTTCTAGTGGCCAGTTACATTTCGAAGTCCAGGTTATTTTCAAACGTAATGATCTTCATTTTACTGATCATGGTACAACAGTTACATAGCTGAAAAGACATGCGTCCATCAAGTTCAGCCTCTCTCACATATGTTTGTGCTGTTGATTCAAAAGAAGGCGAAAAACCCAGTCTGAAGCACTTACAATATTGCAACAAACTAGGAAAAAAAATCCTTCTTGACCCCAAAATGACAGTCATATCTCCTTGGATCAAGAAGCTAACGAGCTGAGTTAGCCAAGAATTAGGTAGTGACTCTGCATTTCAGAGTCACCGTAACCTATGTATTTCAGAGTGCTATCCATTGAACAATCTCACCAGCATATTATGAAGAAATATAAAGAATTAAGGTATGATAAATAGAAGTCTATTGGGGTGATGAGGTTACTTGCCATTCAGCCAGCGAGAATCATATTGCTCTGTTCGAATTGGAGGTTTGTTCCCCATTGTGCGGAAAAGAGCAGAATCTGTCCCCATGTAATCTACTTGAACGCCGGCATAAAGCACTCCATCTGCAGTGAACAAAAAGATAATCATTACTCTGTCTGTAAAATAATTTATTGTAGATTATAAACTATATAAACAGCAGCACACAGACAGCACTGTATGATAGTCAAACCCACCTATTATTGTTGCCATGTTTTCTTGCTTGGGATCATATGGACTCCTCCCTTTCCCTGACTCAATAGAGCCTGAGACAATCCGGAACACATAGTCCTGAGGAAATGGAAACATAGATCGGATGCAGAAATTTATTTTTAGTTTTTTACAAGTCAGAGTATAACTAAACAGTGCTAAAGCAAGAATTAATTGACCTCAGTTTTCTCTCAAGCAAAAGTAAAGATTCTTCGATCCACTTTTTTTTTTTTTTTAATTATAGGACCATTCAGTTTAAACAAAACCTGGCCACTACCTTTCTGGATCCCAAGTGGCAAGTCCCCGGTACATGCATAAATGAAAGACTTGGTCAGATTGACCCTTGCTGGTAAGTTCCTCTGCATTATAATTACATTTTAGTTATATAGATCCATAGGCTGGAAAGAGACATGTCTCCATCAAGTTCAGCCTTTCTCGTATCTGTTTTTGCTGTTAATCCAAAAGATGGCAAATAAGAACAAACACCAAAAAAAAAAAAGTTTTATGCACTTTCCAATTTTGCAAAAAGAAAAAAAATTCCTTCTCGACCCCAGAATGTCAGTCACATCCAGAAATCTCAGTATTGTACACTTTGTGAACAAACTAGTAATATATAAGAAAATATAGCTGCAGGTTCATTATTGGGAGCATGGTGAGAAGGCACTCATTCATTACCTCGGACCTCCAGCCCCTGTAGATGAGCGCGCACTGTGGCTGGTAGGCTCCTGTTCCACAAGCGTACAGATGTGTTCGATTCAGTGGCTGAATGAGACGTAGGTAATTGTAGCACTCATCCTGTGATGGTAAATATGAAAGGTAAAGAAATACAATTGCAGATATCAGAGATGGGAGACAAATATATTGGGCTCTGTATAGCATAATAAAGTTACACTATCTAAGAAACAATGTGGGTGACTTATTTCATCTTGTGGCATGTTATTGATTAGGTTTATAGCAAATATCACTATTTAGATGGCTGGGTGTGTCACAGGTAATTTTCGTCAAAGTACTTCCAAAAAGTCCTTGAGACACACCAACAGTTTGCGGTTATCCCCAACCAATGCACAAGTGTCACAATGAAAACGGAGGAGCCACACCAACCTAAAGCAGAGATACTATAAAATTCTGATTTGCAGTTGGCTCCTGAAGACCGTTTTAAATAACATGGCATTATAGAAACATAGAATGTGACGGCAGATAAGAACCATTCGGCCCATCTAGTCTGCCCAATTTTCTAAATACTTTCATTAGTCCCTAGCCCTATCTTATAGTTAGGATAGCCTTATGCCTATCCCACGCATGCTTAAACTCCTTTACTGTGTTAACCTCTACCACTTCAGCTGGAAGGCTATTCCATGCATCCACTACCCTCTCAGTAAAGTAATACTTCCTGATATTATTTTTAAACCTTTGTCCCTCTAATTTAAGACTATGTCCTCTTGTTGTGGTAGTTTTTCTTCTTTTAAATATAGTCTCCTCCTTTACTGTGTTGATTCCCTTTATGTATTTAAATGTTTCTATTATATCCCCCCGTCTCGTCTTTCCTCCAAACTATACATATTATATTAGGCATTAATGATGCATGCACAAGTTGTTTCAAAAGTATAGTGCTTTCTCCACCAGTAAGATTACATGGCAGTAGTTTAGGGGAAAACATGATTTGCACTCCATGAATCCTAGCTTTCAGAACAATCATGAAAAGCATAGCTCCCCAGACTACAGAAAACCCTTTCATTTTAGATAGCTCGCTGGATATCAAGTTAGGAATACACTAAAACAGATCTGTGACTATTACAGAGAAAATATTTGAGCCCTTTCTGACTTTTAAAATGAAGTAGCTAATGAGAGGTTGATGGAAGGTATTAAGAGTTTAAACTGATCTCAGAAGTGTGTGCAGTGTATATATAACTCTTAACAAGAAAGTTCTAAAAAATACTCACAGCACGTCCCTTCCCAGCCATGAGGCATTCCTTGTGACGGTTTAGAGGAGCTGGCCAATGAATCTAGAGAGGAGAGGAGGAGAAAAAAAAATTCCAATAAGGATCATGAAATGTATTACCGGTAAGTGCAAATTAGCCTATGTGCATGGTTGTACCCCCTCTATGAAGTCTCTATCTCCCACATGATATCAGTCTGCAGATGTACTGCATTACGTGCATGTTATACCCCACTAGGTGCACCTTCTGTGCTTCCCCAGGCATGTGCTTTATCAGACAGATCCATCCATTCCCATGGGGTCTCCTGGGCTTACAATCAAAGGCTCACGGTTGATGTTTCCAAGGTCCAGTGACAGCAGGTAGTCACGGCTCCCAACATACATCCGGTCCTGGTCCTGATCTAGAAGAAGAATCCGGTAATCGCTGGTGTTAAATCCAAAGGTGAAGGAACGAGCTGAGCGGGACTCCATGAGGTCTGTGGGAGGACAAGGGAGAGACTAAGTGTGAAAAACATATCAGGTGAAGGAGTGTTTTTAAAAGTCAGGATGTCAGATGTGCTTATAGATTTAAAAAAAAAAAAAAAATGAAGTTCCACAACCTAAAACTAAAGTTTGCAATTTGCAAAGTATTTATTCAACCATTACATTATAGTACTTTTTTTAAAAAAAAATTTTAAATTTTTTTTTTTTTTTTTTCTTTTTTTACAGATTATATATTTTTATCATTACAATAGGCATTTTACCCTCTTAGGTTAAGGGCCAACACTACCTACTAACCCAAGCATAGCAAGCGCGACACAAAACCCACACTCAGGCACAGACAGACGCACATATACAATTTTAACCGACGACGAACAACAGCACTTTACAATCACCAACACCCTCCCTCAAACAACAGAGAGGAGTGCCACTTAACCATTCACAGGACCCAAGCAACATAGACACAATCACTCACAACCAGTTCACCCTATGGGAACCTACCGCATGGGCACACTCGACACATTAGAAAACCAGAAAAAGTGCAGAAACATGACCACAAGTTCTTCCTGACTACTAGGACGCAAGCTAATTCCTTCGACCATAGAACAAAAAGACTTATACTACACACTTGCTGCCAATCCTATGCTCCTGATATGTTATAAGTGTAAAACGTATAGACTGATCCAGAGCCTTGGCAAAACAATTGTTATTTACTAATCTGCCTATGTTGAAAAGGCAGCTCAAGTATGTTATGCTTTTGTCACATTTCTCAATGCACAGAAAATAAAGAATTAAAAAAAAAAAAAATAGGCATTTTAATTTTCATTTGCTACATTACAGCTGTATGCTCCATTAAACATTGTCTAGATGTATATTTCTAGAATATTCCTAACAAGCCCACCAGATATATTTATAACATGAACATACATGGGACCAAAGTGTTCAGTTATGAACCAGGCTGCCAGTGGCATTAAAAAAAACCTCTACAAAACATCTGCCTTCCTGAATTTCTGGGATTCATTCAATGAACTGCTGACATCAGAATGGGGGAGAGCAAAATATCCCAATCATTTTTGTCATTAAAACCGATTTGGTATTGGTTCAGTTTAACTCTTTTCCAACTACAACACTGGATAACAAATATGATGAACAATACACCATGATATGGGGAAAGTATTTGGTATTACACCTGTGCATTGTGTAAAAATTGGTTAGTCCTACTCAATTTTCTCCACAAATATTTTGGGCGATTCGGTTCTCATCCATAAATTTTAGTTTGAACACATTTTGTCAGTGCAATTGTTTCGGGAAAAACATTTGGACGCTGCAAATTGGAAGAAAAAGCACCAAAATATCATGTATTTATTCTGAAGCACACTAGTAGGGAAATTTTTGCGGCATATGGTTCACAGTTCAAGTGAAGAGAAGTAATCAATAGAGGGAAAAAAGGAGAAGCAGAAAAAAAAGTATGTATACATTATTACACTATATACTATATAAAGTGTAGATGTATTTTTATTTTTTTTAATTGCATCTCCCCTTTTCCCCACTCTACCGGTTCCTTCTCACTTGTTGTTTAATTAAAATCAACCACTAGTGGCAGTGTTCTAACCATCGATCAATTTTATTTATTTTTTGACCCCACAGACGGAACTCAGAATCACAAATGCTCGTTCAGTCCTGGTTTAGTTTGTTTTGTGATCTTGTCATATGGTTAAACGATCGCCCAATGTTCAGATAAATCATTTGAAACCGAATGCACATGTCTAATCAGTACGCAGAGAGAACAATGGTTTCTCAAACTCCGTGGCAGTTAATTGTGCTATTACATATTGAAGCCATATTGGGAAACACGTGTGTAATAGACCCACAATAAATGACTCTTCTGAGGTACCAAAAACACTTTTAGAAAGAATGTAGCATTCAGACACTGCCACAGCTAGAACTTAACTTCATTGGTTCCCACTTGGTCTCTTAAAGTTGACCTTTCACAGAAGAGAAATTTATGGTAAATATATAAAACAGTGACTCATGAAAATCGTACTGGACAGAAAAAAAGAAAAAATATATACAAAAGAAGAGGAAAATATAGAACATCTACTTTTTGTTCTTGGGAATTTATGCATATACAATATATTAATGAGACACTCTGCACCAAAACCATTTTAATCTCAATGAAGTAGTTTTGGTGCATTGACTCACTTTGTTTGGACTGTTTCATTCTGAAACTACACCATTTTTGGCTGTCAGGCTGACAAACACTAGACTATAAGCTCTTCCCTTGAATATAGAAGGTCTTCACATCCCCAATATGCTGTGCCCAATACATCTGATTGGCAGAGGGAGGCAAATGCCACACATCTGCCCCACATAACCAATAAGGTAATCTAAGCACCAATAAGAACACGAACAATAAAAATAAATTAACTTTTATTAGTATCAGCTGAGAATTAGTAAGATTAGTATCAGCTGAGAATATGACAAAAAGAACAATATAGAATAAAAGTCTTAATGGCTGTGTCCTATTATTCCAAACTTTTGAATAGTCATAAAGTATGTTTCGTAAATAACATCTTAAAATAAGAATAAAAAAAAAAACGTTTTGCAACCCTTCACTCAAAGTGATGCGGAGGGGTAGGGAAATCCCAAGAAGTTGGTAGGAAGCCCTACATTTATCAAGTAGTTCATAACTCTAATTATTGGGCCAAAGGAGAGTGGAAACAGATAATAGTTTATGGTATTTTTTTTTATTTTTTGGCTTTATCTGGAAATTCCACCTCGTGGAAAAAAAAAAAAAAATGACCTTGGCTGCAAAGTTTCTAACAAAGTTTATAGCTGTGAGGAAAAGTATGAGTGTGTCAGAGCCAAATACCACCTAAACTTATTTTATAACATTATTTCATAAGGAAATGGGGAAATCCCTCAGAACAATTAATCACAACAGAATATCTCATTCAGATCTCCTTCCCATCAATGTATACAGGGGAATGAAAACAAAGAACATTAGAACCGAGAACGGATTAAAGCTTAGAGAAACTCCACAGGTTAGTGCCGGCTCAGGTATAAAACTAGTTTTTGCTCACCTATGCAATCACAGAGAGAACCTAAAATATTTTCATATCAGACTGATCCAACCAATAAGGGCAGTTCAGACCCGAAACGGCAGCAAGTTCCCTCTGCATGAGAGATACAGAAAACAAGGCCTTCTTTGGGCCTCGTCAGCGAGGTGTAGCCAATACTTCATTAGGTACAGTGAACACTCAGGGATAGCCCGAGGTAATCATTGCAACTAAAGCAGTATATTGACATTAGTGAGACACAGATATAAGAGATTTGGCAAACAAATTGTTCTCTAATGGTATCAGAATTTCCTGTTTTATTATAACAATTTTAGGGACTGTTGATTTCAAGTTTCATGGAAATAAAAAATAAAAAAGCAAAGGCAAACATGTTGTCCACATTAAAATACAACCGAGTAAACCACTTTTTTTAAATTTATTTTTTTAATTGATTATTTCATGGCGCTACCATAATAAATACACAAGATTAAGTGGATGGCCAGACAAATGATAGCTTTTACATGTGTTCTACAAAGCAGAGGAGGAGAGTTTGCCCCAATAACCCTCATGATCGTGGGTATCACCTTGTACATTATACAGATGCATTGTAACACAGGTTTAATAAAATGTTCAGGACCAGTGCAAAATGCAAGCCTTTCAAAAACATGTTTCAGCTGTTGATACATTTTTAAAAAAAAGATGGAGGACCTAGTTTGAAGCCCTGTGCAATTTTACGACAAAAACAGCTTTCAGATTTTCTCCCTGGATCAACATTGTACATCAGATATTAACTAGAATATCATTGAATATCCTGTGTTTTCAAGGAGGAATCCAGTTGCTGTTTACACAACCTCTTTAGACAGAGAAATTCACATCTTTATTGTTCTTGGTGTAAAAAACCCTTTCCTCTGCTGCAATTCATCATGGAGCAACCACAATGACTGGGGAGAATATCTGCTACAGACATTTGTAATTCCATACAAAACAAGCTTACGGACAAAGATTAATTACATTCCCCTTTTCTCAATATTGATGAAAAATGTATGGAAAGTCCACTGCTGTGTCTAGAGAGAGAGCAGCTTTTCCAAAGGAAATTGGTAAGAACAATGTATATATGTTCCATTCCTCAATTAAAGAGTTGCAATTTGAATTACCACGGTAATTCAGGTGAATAAGATGGGGGCATGTACTGACGGTATAAGCAGACGTCACAGTCAAATCTGTAGCGCAGCTGTCAGAATTTAAGACTTATTTTTCAGTTACACCATTGGTTTATATTTAATAGGAATTGCTGAACTACTTAGACCTTTATGTCTCAATGTGACAAGCACTGAGTAGGTGTTGGCAACCTTCATAGTTTGCATGCTTCTGTGTTAAGTATGGAGGCTCCCTGCAGAGGCTATAAAAGGTATATATATTTCAGTAGATTACATTTATGACCATAACATTATTTAAAGTAACACTAAAGTGCTAGGAATATAAACCGGTATCGAACGAACTATGCACTATAACGATCTATGCTCTTTGCATAGGTTATGAATGCAAACATTTCACCAATAATTTCACGCCCTTAGTAACAACCTTCACAGGAGGAAGCAATACTTCTCGCATGTATATTCTATTTAAGTCCGCATATCTTCTGGTCTTACACATCTTACTATGCGGGACATGAGCTTAGGTCGTACTCACTAGTGATCGCGCAATCACCTCTCATTTTCTTGTACAAGGAACTACCAGTATGCTGATAGAGGCTCTGGTGCTGCTACAAACAACTTAGGCAACAGTTTCATTCACCTTATCTAATGAATGGAATTGCTGTGCTATGGTTTAGGGGCAATGGACATCTTTTGAAAATAATGGGAGCACCGTGATTGACTAAGCCACTTCCTGGTTTGTCATAGCTTAGTGTAAAAGCTGCAATGCCTGTATACTTATGATTGTAGGAACTTCAAAAGTAAGATTTACTCATTTAAAGGAACCCTTTATACAGCATAAAAACGATAACATGCTTCGGAGGGAAGAGCTCCTGGCTAGGCTTAAACATTGCTAGTGTGGTCCAAAAATGCCTGTCATTTTTGGACTTTGTGAGTGCTGTATCCTTGTTTTTGATTACTGTTCCTCCACGGAGAGCAGGTGCAGAGCTTAGCTCAGCTCAGGAAAGCTGACAGAAGCTCCATGCAGGAGCTTCCGGCTTGCAAAAGAGGAAGTGACTGGCACCTGTGGCATTAACAGGAGGATCGTCTTTATTCTTTTATAGTTTTTGGAAAGAAAAAGAAACAAGTTTTTATATCATGTATATATACTATAATGAATACAATACATCTAATAAAGCACAATATAATTCTACACTGTGTATTGAGATTCTTGGAAAGTAATCAAAATAATACACTGAGAAAGTAAAGGCAGGCAATAAATAATATTTAATGGCTTTTAACACCACGATTATTTAGAGCTTTTAAATTATACATTGAGTAAGTAGGAACAGCCAATACCATTTTTGCATGAGAATGAAAAGTTTAAGGAAAATGTAAATAATCTTAATTAAGCTTCTGCGGCTTGCATCCCTACCGGTTACATTTCCATCTGATTTTCTTTACTATGTGTCTGAATTTCTTGCTTGTAGTTACTGTAGTAACAGACTTGGAATACAGCCATATTGGATGTTGACATGTTGCAGTGAAAGGTTGTTACATTATTGTAGGCCAAGTGCCAACAAAAGGATCTAGGGATCTCTCACCACATGCAAAGTTCACACATTCAGAGTAACATTGGTACATTTATCTAGGCATTATACCAGATGCTACACAAAATGTCACACTGTAATTACCATGTGAGGAAAATAATGAGACTACATATGTTGCTTATATATTTCCCTCTTCTATACATTAACCCCTTAAGGACCAAACTTCTGGAATAAAAGGGAATCACGACGTGTCACACATGTCATGTGTCCTAAAGGGTTAAACAAATTTCTAAATTCTACAGAAAAAGCATTTACTGAATAGGAGTGTCCCATGGACAAAAGAGTAGTAAGCAACATATTACTCCCCCATTCAAGAAACAGAATAAAGCAATTATTCCCGTGTATAGAATGTGCCATTCATTTAGTCACAAAAGGACCATCGAATAGGCAGAAATATCTGGGAAAAAACAGCATCACAATATTTGGCTTTCCGGTACTGGCACACAAAACAATGTCACTATTATTTCACAATTACAGTTGCAACAAAACTAGTCTAGTAACAACTGGTGCATGAAATGTACTTTCCAGTGCCAGGTGTGCCCACTACGACCGTGGAACAAACAAGCACAATACATTACTTTTGGATATGTCACGCTCACCTAAAAGATCTGAATGCCTTATCAAACAAAACACCTGGGGATATTTAATCCAAGAAAATACAAGTGTAAGAGAAACTCAATGGGGTTTATTCACGAAACTTTGAATTGTACTAAATAATAACCTGAATGGCAACAAAAATATATTCTAGATTTCAGTTACAGGCACAGCTCAGTTATTTTAGATTCAGTTTTGGCATTCAGATTTTGATTTGGTACATTATGGAGTTTAGTGAATAAAACTGAATGAGGATGAATTTAATAAAACTAAAAAATTATTAACCATGTAAAAAGTGATTCTAACTCTGGTTTGCATGCAACTTGTAACCTGTCACAGAGAGCCATCTTAAATTACATTATTTGTATACTTTATTAAACAGACAGTATAGTCACATGAACAACTACAGCTTAAAGCGGCACTGTCATGCCGAACTTACCTTTCTTTAATCGATTCCTCTTCTCTCCCTCTGTCAGGATCTGTTCTTCATTTCTTCCTGTCTGCTCTAGTTTTCTTTAAAACATAAGACAAAGTAGGGACTATTTGTCTTATAGAGGTTTCCTACGTCTGACCATCTCTGACCAGCGGAGGAGCAAAGTGTGCTTCATTTCCGGTGGTCAGAGAAATCTTCCCACAATTCTCAGCTATCCTCAGTGTTCCCGCGATGCTTCCATTTAACTTTTCACCAACGTCCTGTCATTTAGACAGAACGCTGGCGAAGCTGCAGAATTGCGTCCTAACAGAATGAGAACAGTTTCTCCATTCGTGTTCGGACGCAATTTGGGACTATGTTCATATCCGAATTTCATTCCAATGAATGAAACTCCGATCCTATTCGTGCCGCGGCTGCATCTTGCAGCCACTTAGTAGATAGCTCCCTAATACCGTGGGAACTGGGGAGCTATCTACCAAAAGGCTGAAAGACCTAAATTGGTCTTTCAGCCAAATTTTCTAATACGAAGTAAAAATTACTTCGTATTGGTAAATTCTGCACCTACTCACTACACTGCGAGTAGGGGCATGTCTATTAAACAGTGAGCAGTCTGTGGCTGCTCACAGTGTAAAAAAAACAAAACAAACAAAAACCTAGTACCCCCTCCCGAGCCGGGTGGACCTAGATCTCGACGGGCGGGGGCCCTAAATGAGAATGTGGGGTGTAGGGGGTGGAGACCTATTGTCCTCCCCCACCCCCCGGCTCCCACCCCTGAGCGGCGGGTGGGGGAAATAAATGAGAATGAAGGGGTGGGGGTGGGGGTGGAGACCTATTGTCCTCCCCCCAGGCTCCCACCCTCAAATAGTGAGGGGGGAATAAAAGAACTACAATTTGAAGTCTTTTTTTCTAAAATCTTCATTTTTCAGCCCCAAAAAAGGCCAATAAAAACATAATACCCGTCAAACTTGTAAAAAATAAAATAAAAAACCTGAGCGCAAAAAAAAAAAAAGAAAGAAAGAAAGAAAGAAAAAACCAGACGCTAACAAATTAAACCATCTTCCCCAGGGTACGGTGCAGACTGAGCTCTGCAGGGCGGGGAAAGGCTGGTCACTGTTTAGTAGACATGCCCCTACTCACAGCAGGGAGGACATGGGTGGCTTAGGAAGTGGCAGGGAGCACTGCTGCCTGCCGCTTCTATTTTTACATATTACAAGGAGGGGGCTGCGCGCCGGTAGCTCCCTCCTTGTAATAAACTGAACAAACAAACGAACACCGATGTTCTGTGTTTGTTCGGCTGACGTTTCTATTCATTCGTCTTTCTGACGAATGATTGGATGAAATACCCATTCGCATGCCCAAGTGTTTAACTGGGCATGCGCAGGAATTTCACAGCGCTATCTACTGTGGGCAGATGACGTTTCCTACAGGGCCTTCATCTACCCACACAAAGATGCCCAGAATATATATCGGGGCAGAAAATAAAATTTAAAAACTAGGTCATTTGGGGTGCTTAGGAGCATTTGGGGGTGACTAGGGGGTCAATTAGATGTAATGGAGTCGGGAGGGGGGTTAAAAAAAAAAAAACGGGATTCGGCCATGACAGTGCCAATTTAATGTAGTTCTGGTGAGTACAGTCGGTCCCTGCAGGTATTCTAATGTAAACACTGCCTTTTCAGAGAAAAGGCAGAGTTTACATTGCTCCCTAGGGACACCTCCACTGGCCATCACACTTCCTGTGTCAGTGCTGCAGGTGACAGTATTGTTCTTACTGTAAAGCAAGAAAGGGGAGCAACTGCATTCTATTTGCAAGTTGGTATACCAATTTCATGGGGTAGATATTTAGTCACAAAAGGAATATATATATTTTAACAGAAATTGCACTACCATTCATTTACCCGTTAAAATCAGCCAATAAGCCTAAATATCTCTAAAGGGATACCGCTAACCCCATAAACACTAACAATCCTCCAACCTGAAATATCCCTCAAACTCTACTCTTACCCATAGCAGCAATTATATTTTTCATTTTCTTGCAACAGGGAATTTGGCTGCTGTTCAGTAAATCAGTTGAGCGATTTTCAAACAAATCGCACTGCAGCGATGATGCCAATTTGAAATTAACAAAGACCCAATAGGCTCAATGTGGTTTGAACTTGGTTGACAGTAAAGTAATTGTCAGAGTTATTTTATTAGCCAGACTTAAAAGAATTAAGAAGAATGAAAGGGACTGAATATCTATAGCAGATTTGACAAAGTTGTCTATAGACCTATAAGATTTGAGTACGGTAAAACATCTCAGGAGTCTGTCTTAAACCCAGATAGATCTAGGACTGCTGGAGCTACTAGGTTTTCCTGGACACATATCAAGCTCTACATACTGATGTGCTGAACAAGAACATTGCTGTGTTGTAGAGTATGCAGTGTGAAACATCTACAAAAGGGAAACCATTATTAAACCTAGAAAGTATCTACAGGAATCCTCCGTAATTAAGTTACCAGTTCGCCTGCACAACAGCAGGGCAACAGTCTACATTTACTGCTCAACTGCACAAAAGGAATGGTGTGGGTTTCAAATAGATAAAGCAATCCTAGACAGATACAAAGTATAAAACCAATTATTTTAGTTATTAAGAAATCCTCTTAATAGTTCTCAATTAACTGCCAAATCATCTTACCAAGCGACTGTGGAAGAGTTTGGCAGGTTTACCTTGATTTGGGAATTTGTAGTGTTATATACATTTTGTTCCCTACTACAGTAGGTCCCTATGTGTGATGCTTTGGTAATTTCTTCCGCTATTGTACACCTTTAGTTCCCTATTACACAAGGTCAAATAAACCTTTATTCATCCAAAACAAAGCACTGGTCAGATATAGGATACAAAACTGTGAGAATCTTTGAGTCTGATAGAACAACCTCTTTAGACCAGGATTTCACATACTACTTGCACATCTGTAAAGTACAGTATTAGTGCAATATAGTTTTTTGCAATAAATAACTGGTGTATAAATAAAGAGCATCCACTTGGGAAAAAGGAGTTGACTTCCTTATTACAAATAACTTTAACTGTTGTACTATTATATGTTTATTTAATCACAAATGGTAATGTTTTGGTGAAAAGCCATAATTGTCCATGAAATAATATTAAATGGCCACTAGAGGTCCTCTGCCACCATAACATTAAGATAAATCACAAGCATTTTCTCCAGTTTCCTGTGGTCACACGTTTCACAGCCGCTAATATGTGGTTAATACAGTGTTTTACTAGGTTAGCTATTGCATTGGAACGCACACCAGGTGACGTGTCCAAGGGTTCCGCTGTATTGATGTTCCTGTTATGAAAGCATTTTTCCCCCCCCCTTAATTGCAATCATGTCATCAGTGGATATGGGCTCTTTTCCAATATCCTTGCATGGAAATCTCAGTGTCTGGCACAAAGATTCCACTCGAGGATTTATTTATTTTATATATTTTTTTTTGCAGTTGTAAAAGAGGGTCCTTTCATTAAAGCAAGGGGGAAAAAAAACATCCCTTTGTAAGTCTGCTCAAGCATGAACGTAAGGACTGAGTGGTAAAGATAGGCCTAAAGTTCAGAGGAATTCTGGCTTTTCTTTTACGTTGTATGGCTACAGAAAAGACTTTTAAAACCCTACTGTATCTGTTTGTTGTTTTTGGTCAAGAAAGTTTTGTTTCTCTACACTATGGACTTTAACCAACAGCAAAAAACAAGTTGCACTGAACTGAAAACTGAATTGTTCTATTTATGTGAAAATAGGCATACTGGGACTACAGCGTATTTGAAGAATTCTTCCAGATCAGCATTTTCCACATAACTATTTTTTTTTATTTCTATTTCGTATTCATTCTACAATTTGGCATTCAGTGAATAAACCAAGGTTTGCAAAATCTGTTAGCAGCATTTAAATGTTTACCATTATACACTTTAATACGAAGCCAACACATCGCTTTACAATTTTTGGGGACTAAAACAGCAAATGAAGAGACATAATATTGCATTATTAATTAATATTAAAATGAGCTTGCAACAATTAATTCAAGGGACACACCTGGGTGGAGCTTTTATTACAACTTTATGAATGCATTAAATATGCTATGGTATAAATAAGAAGAAAAAAAAAAAACCCTTACTGACTTCTCTATTCAAGATTTTGTAAAACGTGCTATAGATGGCCCCCATAGTTCTAGCTCCTTCACAGTAAGTGGTTAAGAGGAGGGTACTTGTATAAGTGCCTTCATTAATACAAGTACTTGGCCACTCTACGGGAAGCATAGCATTGTCCTAAGAAGATTGTGAGTAGGGAATTTAATGATGCAGTGATTTGGAACATCCTCTATCAGTAAATTGTTAATGGAAATGAAAATCTATATGGAAACTGCAAATTTAAATCCAAAATAGAAGACCTGGAGAATGTTTCGATTGTGACTATTTTGGCCTAAATATTGCAATTCTATTGTAAATTCTCATGTTTTGCGAGCAAACCACAGAAAATACTAAAATCACAAAAGGACTAGAGAACGCTTAAAGGACCACTATAGTGCCAGGAAAACATACTCGTTTTCCTGGCACTATAATGCCCTGTGGGTGCCCCCACCCTCAGGGATCCCCTCCCGCCCGGCTCTGGAAAGGATAAAGGGATAAAAACTTACCTTTTTCCAGCACTGGGCGGAGAGCTCTCCTCCTCCCCGTCGGCTGGCTGCGCGCGCATTCAGCCGGTCACATAGGAAAGCATTTACAATGCTTTCCTATGGACGCTGGCGTGCTCTCACTGTGAAAAATCACAGTGAGAAGCATGCAAGCGCCTCTAGCGGCTGTCAATGAGACAGCCGCTAGAGGAAATAGGTGAAGGCTTAACCCATTCATAAACATAGCAGTTTCTCTGAAACTGCTATGTTTATGAAAAAATGGGTTAACCCTAGCTGGACCTGGCACCCAGACCACTTCATTAAGCTGAAGTGGTCTGGGTGCCTAGAGTGGTCCTTTAAGGAAAATAGGCCTTTATGTGTACAAAATAATAGCTAAACAAATGTCTATTTACATTAAATCTATGTCCAGAACATGCCTTTCATTAATAATAACAATAATAATAATAACAACAACAACAACAACACAACAGCCGATTCCAGCCTGGAATGCTACAGAAAAAATTAGCTTTGTAGTTATTGAGGCTGCTGTTATTTCTACTGGCTGCTTAAAGCAGGCTATATATCACAATAGATGAGATACAAAAGACAGGTTAATAAAATATTACATAGCCAACTATCTATAACAGTGAAGGCACTTTGGCTGGGTAAAAAGGACACCCAGGGAAAGCTAGCAATTGTTCACAAAGAATAAAGGATATAAAACATTGTCTTACTAGTCAGAAGAACAAACCATTTGTCCACACAAAAAAAAAACTATTAATTTGAACTTTTTGACCTTGCCAGAGACTCATGGAAATGTACAGCCGTGGGGAAAGAGAGATTAATAGCCTCAACTGTACAACAAATTACTCCGAGTATAAGATTACATATTCTCAACCATTTTAGATAATACAGAATTATATATAGTGTTTGGCACGCACTCGGAAAACATAAATTGCCTGGAAGCAGCCCTCTAGCCAGGAACGCAAAAGCAATCATAGAAACCTTTATCAGAAGAAGAAAAACAGAAGATAGGGCTGCAATTATGTTTGACATTAATCGCGCAGTAATGTCTTGGATAAGCCATTTGTGTCCAATAGCCTAAAGATCCTGAAATGTGTCCACTGCAGACTTAATAATTGCTCTAGATAATGTTATAGTCCTGCAATATTGGTAGTTAACAACAAACCCTACATAGACATAACAATCAACACCTTTTTAGGTTGCTTACCCAGTCTCTGACCACAAAAGGATCAAAAAAACAAAAAGGGGGCTACATACAGACAGCGCAATAAAACACCAAAAATAAAGTACATATTTGCAAATAATAATTACAAATACAGTATTTTAACTTTCACACCAGAAGCAACTGGACATTGAACTTTCTTAGAGCCATTGGTTATACTTTTCTTTTTTTAGTTTTTAGTATTATTTTGCATAAGACCGCAAGGCTGTTCTGGCCCATAGTACAAATTTAAAAAAGGTCCCATGATTCCCATCTCAGCGCCAAATGGCAATATTAGATATGGGGGGGGGGTATTTTATAAAATACCCATTTTGCCCATCGCAGTTCCCTAAGCATTGTAGCTGGCTCACTGCATTGTGCCCTGACATGTCTCTTAGGAACTATTCAATGACTGCACTACTCTGTAAAGTTTTATTTCCCTGCATTACCGCTAATCCTCGCACTCTGATTTCAGAGCATGACCCCTTGTTCTATTATATCTGTTTGGAATGTGCTTCCCGCTCATGTTATCTTGATACCCTTAATGTTGTTGAAAATATGATATCCCTATTTTTTTTTTTCTCCTTTAGCTCTTTCAGCATTGCTCCAAGGCAGAGGAAGGAAAATCCTGCTCGACAGTGCCCATTAAGATCTTCAAGTCCCCTTTAGTGTCTCTTAAATACCACTGAAATGAATTATCCCTTACTTGGAAAGACTAATTTATTTAAGAGGCCTGCAGAACAGAGAACCACATTTTAAAGGAAGATTTACCATTGATGTGTAAAACAAAACAAAAATAAATGGCACTGCCCCCCATCTCCCTCTTGACGCTAACTTCTCCAATAAACTATAAATACATTTGTGCTGCCAAGAGGAGTTGCCATTGTAGCAAAAAGGTTAAGGTTTATGTAACAGCCTTGGAGCATAACTGCAAACAGAAACAGTCACAAAGGCCACACGTATAGAGGGCTGGACTTGCTGCTTGAACAGAGTCTCTAGATTGCTGGTAAACTCTAGAAATGTCTCAAAGAGCTTGAGTGCCTGGGGTTTAATAGAGCAGAATATATATAGGGAAACATGGAGGGGGGTGGGGGGTGAGTAGGATACTCCGAACTGGCAGACTGGAAAAAAAGTATGATTTGAATCTTTAAAACCGCAGACCTATCAGCCTCTGAAAACAGACCATGGTGCACAGATTCTAGAAAAAAAAATAAGGCTTTTAAATGGAAAAGTACTGATTTCTGTAAGCGAGTCTCCACCGATGTCTGCGAGAGGTCTTCTTTTAAAATGAAAATCAATGGGGCTGTCGCCAAAGAGATATTTGTGTACCTTCCTGTACGATCAGCTGTCAGGTTTAAACCCTCTAATCCCTGTGCAGGCAAAAGGTACACATGCTAGTCCCATTGCACAGCGCTACAGCATATGTTGTCCTGTTAAAATAATAGTGAAATCCCATATGACAAATTAGTATTTAGAGAATAGAAAAGCCCGTTTAGTGTGTTATTAATGCTGAATGGCAAATATAAACCGGCCAAGTTCTCCCTCTGGTATTCAGTATTATGTATTCTGTGAGAGCAATTCTCACAGATCTGATGGGAAGACACAGAGAGAATGATGATTTACTTTACCCTTAGGGATGGAGATAGATTTTATATATATATATATATATATATATATATATATATATATATATATATATATATATATATATATATACACACATACATATACACACACACACACACACACACACACGAGTCATCATAGGACTGAATATTAACTCTTACATTATTCTGTTGGAGACGCAGCGCTCCCAAACACCATCTGCGACTAACTGCGTATCAAAGGAGAATATGAATGCGCAAGCTGCTTTTATCTTATGGGCATTGCTCAACACAATGACAGCTAGCAATGTGAGAGATAAATTAGCATTTAGATACATTACAATCTAGGTTAGCCTCTTCCATAACCCCCTATAATAAATACACATTATAATACATGTTAATCTAACGAGGAGTTACACAATTTATTGTCAGTGCTTAAAAACATAGTAAATTCAATTAAAAAATAAAAATAAAAAAAAAGACACTTATGAAACAAACCTCTTTAAATCTCAATTGACATTCAGCAGATCTTACACACACTGCTTGGAATCAATGAACTTAGGGTTGTATGCACCACCATTACTACATTTTAAACAATTAGAACAAAAGACAAGTTAAATTCTAAAGAGTCTGGTACAGACAAATACAGGATTAAAATAAATGCCGGGGGGGCGGGGCCTGACCGCCATGCTGACCGGTCGCAGGCCAGAGAGGCTCCTGATAAATCTGGTCCACTATGGCTAAAAACTTAAGCAATAAAGCAAGCTGAGTGACCTGAAGCTATATCAAGCATCCGGGCAGAAGCTGGAGCCACCGCGGACCCTGAGATCAGGAGTGCCAGAGCCCCCTGCGGGCAATATGATACTTCGGGGTCTGCGGCCTATGAGGGTGGAGAGCATGACGGACGGCCGCCGTCCTGTTTGCGAACCTGGCAGCCCCGCAACAGCCTTGTGATGCACCTCACAGGCCTCGCTTCCCTCCCCATGGACCGAGGGGGTTATCCCGGTCCTCACCGGAGGGAATCATCGCCCTACAAAGCCCAGCATCGGACCTACCTGGAGGCGCGCACCACGAGCTGGGCCTCTAAAATGGCGGCACTGCAATCTGCACTACACCACACAACCTTGCATGCCTGCAGACGAAAACAAACCACTGAGCCACATCCTTTCTAAATAAATCTGCACATGATCATGCCTTCTGACTGCATGGAGAACGGGTTGGGGCAGGAGATGGAGGGTATCGTTGGCGAACGGAGCCCATGGAAGCACCACTCACCTGATATCCCTGAAGCTGGGCCTGGAAAAAGGCAGACTGAAGCAACCCACTGGCGGCACCTACGGAAAACCTACCAAACCACTGACTTAAGCCGACGTCAAAGCAATAAAGAACATCGGCTACCCTCACCACTCGCATATAACTAGACGCCACTAACCAACGAGCGGCTCGCCCACACCATGAGACTCTCATGCACAGTCCTCCATACCTCATCACCCAATGAAGATGGTGGGCCCCAGCCTCGGACTTGCCGACCACGCGGTTCCCCCTATGTTACATCATAACACAGATGGAACAAGCAGCACTCTGGGGACAGTGACATGCATAAGGACAGGTCTATCACCGGTGGTTTTAATTTTTACTTTTTAAATGTATAAATATTCATACTTACTACTGCACGTTAGATTGTTATGTTAATTAAGCTAACCTTTAGCTGATGATTAGTGCCAGGAGCTTCGTTAATGAGCGACCTCACCTTGAATACGTGTTTAATTTCATGTCCTAGACTACCTACCTGCTGGCAAGTTGTACAGAGCTCCTTGTTGCATTACCCAGCTTGAATCCTCGACACCTGTAATCATATCCAATAGGCAGCATATGGCAGTACACTAGTTTCCCTCCATAAGCAATGAATATAACCATTTCATTAACACTTCTTGTCTTATAAAAAAAAAAAAATGTGCAGCAATCTTAACATGTATAACGTAATTACTCATGATACTCTGTAACGCAATCTAATAACATGTTCATGCCAAGCTATGTACTGAATAATGCACTACCAAAATAAAGAATTTTTATTTATTTTTTTAAATAAATAAATGCCACAGGGATGAAGCTCTGTGGCATATATGTATGGGGGCAATAGAAGGGTTAATCTGCCCTTGTTGTAAAGTTAAACTCTGCCCAACAAAATTCACAACGTTCATAGCCAAAGCGGTGACATGAGCTGGCTGGAGATTGGATGCAAGCGCGCGAGAGAGAAGTGCAGGAGCTTGCAGCAGCGCAAGCCTGTGAGCCATTACAGAGTCAGGAGCAGAGCAGACAGATCCCCGAATTTCTTTCTTTCTATTGTTTGGGGTTATAAAGCTTTGGGGCAAAGGTTATTCTCGGGGTCAAGTTCTAAGGAAGGATATGGCGGTCGGTGGTTTTTAAATAAAAGATGGTCAGGTCATCTAAGACTGGCAACTTTGTGGTTACTAAAGTTAAAAGAAAAAAAAAAGTTAAGATTTATGTGATATGTTTTATTGTTTGAAATTATGGTTGTAAGCCCCTTTAGCTTTGAATAACACCACAGCCAAGCTTATTAAATATTACATAAAGGGATTGTTTATAGTGTAGTCTTAGTTATTTATATTAAAAAGAAATGCCTACCATACATCTTGCTCCTGTCTAAGATGCCAACAAGCTAGGAATTAGACCCGTAAAAAATCTTTACTAAAGCTCTTTACATCAGAACATATTCATTCATACGGCTTCAACCAGGAGATATTTTCAAGGAAAACATCATATATGTTTTATTATATCTATGGCTACTAGGGATATACCGATTATCGATTTTACCGATATTCAGGGTTTTTCATTTATCGGTATCGGCCTATAATCTTGCCGATAACGAGTCCAGCGCGCCCAATCCGTCCTCTCCACGTCTCGCGATTCACGAGCCCTGGTCAAAGCGTTACCGTCAGTTACCGCACCAAAGCTCCCCGTGGCAAAACCAGGCGCACAGATCGCGAGACTTTTAGAGAGGAGCTGCAGACCCAGGCCTGAAGTAGTGCTGTCTAGTCGGCTCTGTCGCTTGTGTGCCAATTGGTTTGTAAAAAGTAATTTTCTTTACTCCAATAAACATAGTTACTTACTCAGTCAGTGAAGGGTGGTGGATATGGCACTATATGATAATAAAGCTCTGGAAATATATTGGCACTAAATTATAAAAAAAATAATATAGCCCTTAATAACCCCTTCTGTCACTTACCTGTTCTGGGTCCTCCCCTGCCAGGGAGACCTAATGTGTGTGTGTGGAAATAGTCGCACTCGCATTAGGATTTCCCCATAGGAAACGCATTATTCATTGCTTTCCTATGGGGGTATCGGTAAATTATCGGCTATCGGCCTGAAAGTTCACAGATTATCGGTAACAAAAAAAAAAAAAAATCAATAATGGTCGATCCCTAATGTATATATTAGAATATGTATCAGTATACAAAACAATCAAAGATCTGACGGCACTTATTCTAGTCTTGATTAATATCCCCAGAAGAAATCCAAACTTAGCAAAATATATACAATAAAATACAGATGGTAAGGCCTAGATATAATATAAGTTAGACTAAGTAGGCAACTGACTGCCAAATTTCCAGATGGGGTACCACAGTTGCCTACTCTACCCCTAAAAACTGTCCACTTAGGTCAGCAAAAGAATCATGGCTGCTGAGATTGCTTTTTTAATGTTATTTTAAGTGAGGGAGTCGGGGTTATGTGAGAACCGTAATCTCTGCTTGGCCCCACCACTCCCAGACTTAACATGGCAATCTATGGCAGCCAGGATATAAGAAGGGAGAATGGGGACAGGACTGGGGACAGGCTGACTACATCATATAGCAAACCCATGAACATTTAAATTGACACCTTATTAAGGTACATGCAAACACCCATGCATACATACACGCAAACATATGCACATACACTCACTGTATGTAAGGTCACAACAGCATACGCGGATTATAGTGAAATACACCAAAGAAGCCTCAAACCATAAAATGTTGCAGAAACAGAGATAACATAATGCATATCAACTGGTATTGGAGAGATGAAATGTGAGAGCCGCCACTCAGAAGGAAAGCGAAAATAAATTTAAAAAAGTAGTTAAACAGGAATAAAATGTAAAAAAATTTATGGAGGGGAGGGGAAATATAGAGGGAGAGAAATGCTAGGAAAGCAAGCAAAGACATTGGCACCACTTGTGGTAACACCATCAGACATGGTGACAAACAGGGCTGACACCGCGGCCGGCTCATGCAGAAGGATTGATGAAAGAGGGTTTTGCACCCACTGCACAGGCCCAGAGACCTTCTGATCTACATTATCATCAAGTCCAGACCTTGCATATCTCTCACACAAATTCTGGCACCATCATTGATGATATCAGAGCACTGCTGGAGTAACTCGCAGCAACTCTCTGACACTACCAGAGAATCAAAACTCCAAACAAAAATACAGAAGGTTTGCACCCATTGAAGAGCTCACCAATGGAACACCAGGAATCTCATATGGTCTAACACATAAAGGGGATACCATGAGTCATCGAACTGTGTTACACCAACCCTAGTGATGCCACTACAGAAGGCCATCTCTATGAACGGCAATCCTCCCATCCAGGTAGTAAAATCGTTTTTGGGGTTTTTTTAAGTGAGTGGCGTCATATGTGTTGAAAACAGATATGGCAAACATATTCATAGGATGTCACTGCTCAGAAACATACCTCAATATAATGTTTTTGAACCGGCTCTTATAGCTCCTACAAGGTGGCTAATTGGCCAAATGAAAAAAATAATAATTTCTAGCTACTTATACCTTATACATAATATACATAGAAAAAGTCACCTGACAAGATAAATGGTTAACCTTTAAGAAGTTCAGATGAGTATTTAAAAAAAAAAAAAAAAAAAAGGAGTCTAGGGGCGTGGCCAAACAATTGAGCCGCATGGTCGCACGGTTTCAGAGCTCCGAGATACCACAAGAGATTTCTCCTTTTACCCGCAATATCGCCCGACCGAGACAACCGTGGAAGCAGGATATAGACCCACACCACAATATGGGTCGGAAAAATAAAAAGATAAAGCCCGACAAACCCCGATTGAGCCACAACATTGGTGTGCTCCTGAGACAGGCGTAACAGGCCAGCGGGCCCAAAATAGCCGACTACTCTGAGGCCTATTCAGACCTGTCTGACGAACTGTCTCTGGATGACGACGAAATACCGGCTAGACCAGCATCAGCCGCAAAAACGGATAGCCCAGGGAAAGACCCAGTGACAACAGCGGTGCTTAAAAGCCTGCTGGCAGACTTACAAAACAATATCTTGGCAGATGTGGCGAACCTGCGCGCTGACGAGCCGGATCGGAACTGTGGAATCCGCCACAGGGGAGCACGCTCAACAACTTGCCACTATGCAGCAAACAATTCTGGGGCTCCAGAAACAAAACAAAACTTACGACAATAAATTTGCGATGATGGAAGACATACGTTGCAAAAATAACTTAAAAATCAGGGGCGTCCTGGAGGCCACACCCACAGAGGAACTGCCACACATGCTGAGGCGTTTCACGGTGGCATTACTCTCCCCACGACAGGCCAGATCTATATCTATGGAGGACTGTTTTCGCATCCCAAAAGCACCAAAAGCCCATGTAGGAGCACCGAGAGACTTAATGGTCCACTTCCGCAAAGTAGGGACAAAGCGGCAATATTCACAGCTATCAAGGACCAGGATCCCTACAACTTCGAGGGTATGCAACTTACCCAGATCTCTCGGGAGGCACCTCGGCATGGCAGAGGTCCTTCAAACCATTCACCGCTCTCCTCCGACTGAAAGGCATTCAATACCGCTGGCGGCTGTCACGTACCCTACTGATCCTCCACAGACAGGCCCGGTACGCAGTCCACGACATCATGGAAGCAAGAACTCTATTGCCCACACTGGGACTCCCGACGGACTCACTGCCTCCAGGAGGACCTCAAAGGATTGACCCTACAAACCAACGCTGGGACCCGGCAAAAGTGACCGCATTCGTTCCAAGGAAACCTCCTCCGGCACCGACCGCAGCAGTGACCACCTGAACCTGTTACCCTAACTCACCATCAGCAACTCATCTACACTCTCATAGAGCGGCCACTTGACCGCATACTAATACCCCGCACATTCGCGATTGAGCCACTTACTGAACAGCACAAGCAGCCCCTTAGCCAGGCGCTGCACCCCTAGACCCAGCAATAGATCTTGCGACACTGACAAACACCCGCAATACAGACCTTGCAGATTAGCAAGGTGGCTCTGACAACATATACTAGCGAGAAACCATATCTGCAGATATGACACACTAGTTCGATTTACTTTGCCTTATTTTTACCTGCAACTAAGATTGTACTCCTCTACTATCATAATTATACTCTATCGGTATGCCCGGCTTAACAGGTACACAACATTAGCTATCTAACTCATACATACAAAAATGTGCAGAACTATTGTTAGCCACACTGAAAATATTTATCAATGATTAGCCCTGGACTGCTGTTGTGGCACCAAGGGTCAGTTTGTTATAACTTGCACAGCAAAAATAAAGAATATATTAAAAAATAAATTAAAAAAGGAGTCTATACAGAGTGCAAAAACATAGGCAAGACTAACAGAGCAAATCTCAAGAATGGAATAAAATACTGTGTTTATATTAGAATGTTGCTCTTGGGGGAAAAAAAAAAAATTCTTTGCATTTAACACAATTCTTTTGCAGTCTTCGAGAGAGCCTCTGGCAATAAATGCACATCCACATCTTTAGGTTTTTGTTTTTAAGTTTTCATCCCTCTCTTGATTTTAGCCTTTCTTAACAACAGATACTGGAGACAAGACTCTTCATTGCTGTTTTTTTGTTGTTTTTTTTTAACCAAGTACTTTCAAACGGTTCTGTTGGCTCACGCAATCTTGTCCCCTCCATTTAGCCTACCACAAATTCCCTTATGCATTCAAATTCTCCTCACTATTTGGCAAGGTACACTGAGCGATCCTGCCTTAGACATTTCATGCACTCATGAGCACTCTTTTTACAGAGGGTGGAATTTGTCATCTGCAAATTTATATTTGAGTTTTCACAGCAGTTTGATTTTAAGTGTGACATAAGAAAAATATGCGGGAAAAAAGCAGAGCAGAAAAAAACCCGGAGTAAGACAATAATTTAAACTATTTGTAGAAAAGCCTGAAGAGAAGAACAAAGTATGCATACATTGCAAATGAGAACCTAAATATGCAGAATGCTTGCACTGGACATAATCTCAAAACATTACAGTTAGAAGGGCAACTCTGTCCAAAACAGCAACAACAAAAAAAGAATTAAAAAGCACTGTTTAGTAGATATATCTCAAATTATAACCTTGCATGCATTTATTGTGCATCTTTCCCATTGGGGTTATATCTAAAAAGAGAGCTTGAAAAGGCTGCAGATCTCGTCTGCATCCATTGCTAGCCCTCCCCTTTTAAGACTTTCTGTGGCTGTCTAATCACAGACTTGCCAATGCAGCTTAAAGGAGCACTATAGGGTCAGGAACACAAACATGTATTCCTGACCCTATAGGGTTAAAACCACCATCTAGCCACCCTGTCCCCCTAATGCCTCCCTAAATATAGTAAAATCTTACTTGTAGTCAAGTCTGCAGTTGCTTACTTAGTCCCTGTTTCCTTTAGACCTGCCCACTGCCTGATGACAGCAGAAGTGGTAGCCTGATCCAATCACAATGCTTCCCCATAGGATTGGCTGAGACTGACAAAGAGGCAGATCAGGGGCAGAGCCGGCACAATTCAAACACAGACCTGGAAAATCAGCATCTCCTCATAGAAATTAATTGAATTAATGAATCTCTGAGGAAAATTAAGTGTCTGCATGCAGAGGGAGGAGACACTGAATGTTTGGATGCATTTTAGGCAGCCATGACCCAGGAAGGATCTCTAACAGTCATCTGAGGAGTGGCCAGTGAAGTTATCACTAGGCTGTAATGTACCGTATATACTAGAGTATAAACCGACCCGAATATAAGCCGAGGCCCCTAATTTTACCACAAAAAAAACTGGGAAAACTTATTGACTCAAGTATAAGCCTAGGGTGGGAAATGCAGCAGCTACTGGTAAATTTCTAAATAAAATTAGATCCCAATAAAATTACATTAATTGAATATTTATTTACAGTGTGTGTATAGAATGAATGCAGAGTGTGTGTGTTTGTGTGTGTTTATATAATGCAGTGTGTATATAATGCAGTGTGTGTAAACTGGATGAGGGGAGGGCATATTTTAATTTTATTTTATTATTTTAATATTATTATTTTATTATATTATATTATATTATTTTAACATTATATTATATTATTTTAATATTTGCATAATTTTTTTTAAATGGTTTTTTGCAGGAAGTTAAGAGCTTGCTGTCAGCCCCCCCCCCACTGAACTGCCAATGCCACTGGACCACCAGGGATTTAATATTTTATTTTAATAATAATAAAATAACATTATTAAAATAATATTATATTATTATTATTTTAATATTTGCATTATTTTTTATGTTTTTTTTTGTCCCCCTCCTGCTTGTTGCCTGGTCAGGGAGGGGACCAAAAAATAATCAAATATTAAAATAATAATATAATAATAAAATATAATTATTATTTTAATTTTTGCATTTTTTTTTAAATGTTTTTTGTCCCCCCTCCCTGACCAGGCAACAAGCAGGGAGGGGGGACAAAAAAAACAAAAAAAAAACATAAAAAATAAAATTAATGCAAATAGTAAAATAATAATAATATAATATTATTTTAATAATGTTATTTTATTATTATTAAAATAAAATATTAAATCCCTGGTGGTCCAGTGGCATTGGCAGTTCAGTGGGGGGCTGACAGCAAGCTCTTAACTTCCTGCAGCTCCTGTCAGCTCCCTCCTCCTCCGTGCAGCTCCTCGGTCAGCTCAGTTCTGTTTACAGTGTAAGTCTCGCGAGACTTACACTGTGAGCAGAACGAAGCTGACTGGGGAGCTGCACGGAGGAGGAGGGAGCTGACAGGAGCTGCAGGAAGGTAAGTAAGAGCTCGCTCTCAGCCCCCAACAGGACCGCCGGGCTTGTAATGAGCCCGGCGGTCCTGGTCTGTATTATGGCAATGTAAATTGCCATAATACAGACTGACTCGCGTATAAGCCAAGTTGGGGTTTTTCAGCACAAAAAATGTGCCGAAAAACTCGGCTTATACTCGAGTATATACGGTAAACACTGCATTTTCTCTGAAAAGACAGTGTTTAACCCCTTAAGGAAACATGACGTGTGACATGTCATGATTCCCTTTTATTCCAGAAATTTGGTCCTTAAGGGGTTAAAGCAAAAAGTCTGAAGGTAATAATTCTACTCACCAGAACAAATTCAATAAGCTGTGGTTGTTCTGGTGACTATAGTGTCCCTTTAAAGGTTTTCCCTTTTTTTGTCTTGGCTTAATGCCCTATTGGGCATTATTGTTTAGGTCCCCCTTCAAAAGACGCTTAGAAAAAGTTCTAAAATAAACTTTTACTTACCTTAATCGAGTGCTGAGCAAAGCTCCAGGCGCTGCTGGGCAAAAATATGCACATAATAGACATTCGGTAGTCTAGAACAGAGTTCCAGGCTGCCTAAAAATGTTTCATGGTTGTAACTAGTCCCTGGCACACAATTGCAAATAACATTGAATCTGCAGTGTTTTATTAAAAAACAAAAACAAAAAAAAACTAAGTGGTCATGATAGTTGGAGTAACCCTTTAATGAGAAGTCTGTGCAAGGCAGGTGCTCTGGACAATTGGTGCCTCTTGAGTTTTGCTCCACTGAGCTAAACAACCAAGAAGTAAAAGGACTGGTTGCCTGATTGACAGTCAGTGGGGGTAAGAGAAGAATTAGAAGAGGTCATTCAGTGATGAAAAGCATTAGTGGTTACGGTTAGCATTGTTTTACTGTTTCGTTTTAATAGCTTCCAATAAAGATAGTATAGATTTTATTTTCCTGGACTTACTGTGCTAATTACCACCTTCTGGACTCAATTTCCTTGGTGGGGAATATGCCAGCCAATGGTATGGATTGAGCAATACAATTTATTTTGCTCTGGATTCTGCATGTACATCATCAATTTTCACTTACTCCATACACACTATATGTGTAACATTATTGCTGATTTACAGGATCTAATTGGAGGTTCTATTTCATGTGAGTGCATTTCTATTAATCTATCAAATTAATATACTACACGTTATGGATGCTTTTCTATTTTCTGTTTGACTCATTACATATTCAGTGAGATATCAAGCTTGGACCAAAAATACACCTCTAATCCATAAACTCCGCTTGGACGCATGAAGTGGAGATTCTTTGTAGCTTCTTAAAAGTGTAAGTGCATTTCTTTATCCTATATCTATTTGACTGTGACATACTACATCAAGGGTCAGCAATCCAGAACTCAAGGCTGCCAGAGCCAAAAAAACAGGCTCTGTCTTATCAGGAGTCCCAATGGGACTCTGAATAGCTGCTAGTGCAAATCAAGCAATGTTGTAAAGTGGTGAGGTACAATCCTGAATTTAACCATTACAGAACTTAGAGGAAGTAATCTAGTGTTCTCAGATTACTTCCTCCCTGTACTTGTGAATGGGAATCCGCACTGGAGTAGAGCAGCCTATTACAGCTCCTTCCCTTGACCTGTATCTGCCCAACTCGGTCCTCACAGGAGCCCAGGGAAGCCACCCGCACTGCTAGATATACACAAAGCTGCAGAAGAAGCCTCCCCCTAACAAATACAAACAACCCACACAATACCACTAACAATCCACCTACACAACCCCACAAGCAGCCTCTCACTTGCACTACCACAAGCAGCTCCACAGATATGCACCCCACCAAAAATACAATGTGACATATCATGAACACACAATTCAACAAGTATCATACACAATACCACAAACTACTAAATGACATATACAATATAACAGCCCACAAACACATAAATACAATGCTACAGAATAACTGCGGCACCAATAAAAAACACAAGCGCTATACGGTAACATGCACACCTCATTTTGAAAAAAAAAAAGGATCGGCACGCCAATGGACTTCAAGATCTTGCTTTGGTACAGTACTACGAAAAAGTTGCCTACCCTAGCTCTACTCTGATCTTTTTATATTGCGAACATCCAAAGATATTTCAAGATTTCAACACATGACTAAATATGGCCACCACCATAGAGCGAGGGTAAGCCAGGAGATGCACTGAAAAGTTATTAACTTATATGTATTAAATATAAAAAAATAATAAAGACAATTATGACATTGTTTCTAAAGCCCTCCTTAATTTCAGCACTCCCATAAACATCACGAAAATATAAAAATACACAGCAAAATAGCTTTTTCAAATTGGCTTGCTAATTACTTTTTATTGTATCAATGGTTCCTTGTGTTTACTGCAATGTCATCGCACGTGTTTCTTTTTAAAATCAAACACTCTCACATGGTTAGTCTGAATTAAAAAGTTAAGGCAAAAACAGCCAACAGTTTTGGTAAAAATGTAAAATTCCTTTGTTATTCCATTTCCTGATAATTCAGAATTTGGGTGCCAGTATGGAATACATTGTGCTATATAGTGTACATCCTTTTTGACACCTCTCTTCCTCAGTCTGCTTCCATGGTTCGCACAGGTTCAAGCCAGAAGCTGTAATTTCCATTTTGACAGTCTCCTACTTCAGTTCCCTGCGACCCTTGCTTGTCATGTGATAAAAATGGAAGCTGCAGTCTGCGCATTAATAAGTCCCTTACTCGCATTTCCTGATCACCGTGCTTGCTATACAATAAAAGAAAGAAGCTGCACCCTGCAGTCCACTGCCTAATCTACCATCTTCTTGCGCATATAAACGCGGAAGCTAAAGTTGCTTGAAAAGGGCGGTGGAAACAATCATATGCACATATGTATTCCAATACTGAAGGTGGCAATTAATTGACATAATATATTTAATTATTTATCAGACATTCAACACAGATATAGCTATTACAAGTGTAATAGCAAAAGCATTGCACAATCCAGTCTGCATCATCTACTTGTCCCTGAGCAATTTTGCATTTCTTATCAGTTAATAAAAACAACTTTTTTGCACTACACTTTTATTAAATTGCATAACAAATTAGTACAGGAACTCTGGCAGGCATGAAAGACTGCAAACACTAGGTTGTGTCCTGTGTTGAAAGGACTGCTTGAATTTTTGAAAATCTTGAAATCTATCCATCCAAAAGGTTGTCTCGAAGTGATGGGAGTTTAACAACAGCTGAAGTACATGGCTGCCTACCAGCAGTGTGCATGCCGATAGGATATCCTGCATCAGAATTGCATTGCCTGTGACCTCATTCAATTCAGGCATACATATGTTCTGACACACAGGATGTCTAGGGATTTATAGACAGACACATAGGGTGTCCCCAGCCCTGCCTGCTGTAGAGACGAGTGCAGTTTCACACACCCAGTGACACGAGGGATAAAGGCCCAGCTGTCACACACAGATAGAGGGGGCTCAGTGCTCCCTATTAATAGGTACCCACGTCTGTGGTGAGGTAAGATGGTATTTTTGTAATGTGCTTGTCGGGAACAAAGTACATCAAAAACCCGACATCATTCCCCCCTTCTTGCACAACCCATTCCCTCCACCCATCTTTGTTCTTCGCGGAATTTGCGTTCATTACACAGAAGCAATAGAGAGCTAAATTCCTCTGTCACCTACTTGATGCCCTTTAAATATGCACCCGTGTTAAAGGTTTAGAACATGACTGAACCTCTGCTTTGTTTTACATTATTGGCAACTCACTATGAATCACATTATATCTCTCTGTTTCCAGCTCTCCCAACTTTACTGGGAAGCTATTCCCTGTATCAACTGTTTTATGAGAACGTAGGAATAACTATTACAATTATTTATATAACACCATTATATGTTGTACAATAGATAAAACAATTCTAACAGTAGGTGGAGAGGGCGCTGCCCAAACAAGCTTACAATCTAAAGGAAATTTAAAAAAGGAAAAGTTCCATACATTCTTATATCACATTCCTGTATATTGTCTGCTGTAAGTATGATCGCTGAGACATTCTGTTGCCAGTAGGGTTTTAGGGATACATAATTAACCTTGCTATGCAGCCACAAATTGTACACAACTGCAACAATGAAGGTGTGTTTTCCTAGTGCATGCGCTTGTTTATGGAAGGATAGGTGTTAAACAGCCTCCTTTGTTCACCAGCCGTTAATAATGTAAATATATCACACCTCTGCCAATAATTCTCCCAAAAAAATTCCATTAGGATGTAACTTTAGAAGACAATTGTCACCCTTATGCGACCTTTTAGGGTTAAAGGTCAAATACACACACAAAAAAAACACAAACTAATCTCTTCCCCTTAGTGACCCTTAAGTAAAACAGGTCACAAGCAAGCACAGGGACATATTTTATAACATGCAATAATGAGCATTGTGGAATCTAACTCAGAGCTTCTGGAACAAAGCATTCCTGAGCTATGCTGAGAAAAGACAACATTACATATACCCCACATATCAGAGACTCTTAGTTTAAACTCTGAAGACATTGTCTGAGGGCCACAAAACACCAAACTGATTTCTCAACAAGCTCACAGATTTCATGGTACTCAAACATCCATATATTTGTTTTTCTTCTATTTTGTAGTTGAAATCACTGCTTGAATACAGGTGAATTCAACAGAGTATATCTTAAAAATTTTGAATGTTTAATATCCATAATGATTAGATTTGGAACTAAACTATTACCTTAATATGTGATCATCTTAGGAATGACTTTTACTGAAGGCTAATGTTCAAAGGTCTCATGACAACACAATTAGTTACACGCTTTTGGAAAAAATGGAAACATCACAAATTGCTATTGTAAAGCATACATCCGAATATATAAAGCATACATCCGCCAGGCAATTATTATTTGTAATTAAAGCTTTGTGGTAAGAGATTAGTAGGAACTTACCTCTGTAGGACAGGTAAACCCGGGGGGGTCTGGAAGTCCATCCATTCAGGGGAAGGGTGAGCAGAAGCAGGAGAAGTAAAGGCAGCACTGATATCAGCATAGTGAAACCACCCTGTAACATAGGGAAAAGGGACAAGAGAAGATTCAAACACGGTGATTCCCACGGTAACTGCACCATCGCTCAATCAGAACACACACAATAAGGGGGGAGAACATAATGTAGCAATCCGACCAAATCACTCTTTTCAGCAGAAAATCAAGATTAAACTTTTCTTCCAATTGTATGACAGCAGCATTAATAACCTGTGAGTTTCTTTGAGGCTCTGAAATCCCAAACCACAACAAAAACAAACGAAATGTCTAACAGGAGAAAATAAAATGAGTTTGGTTAATTTGTTTTAAAACATTAACCGTGCCACCCACTAAACAAAAGCACTGATTTTATACTGCGTTTCTCTAAACTGTCACTCCGGTGTTGTAACCTCACAGGAAATCTCTTTTTTTGTCTCTCTTTTATTAAAAAAGGAAGATGATGCAGATATTAGTCAAATCGTCAGGAAAACAACGCCACTTCTATCCCCCAGACACTGAGAAGAGGAAATAATTTGTTTCTTTAATTGGCTTATTTTACAGTATTCAAGTGAGTTACATTTAGAAGTACTGCGTCTCAGCCACTGTGGTTCATTTTAATCGCACATCTCAGGAATATAGAGGATTAGATTCATGCCCATAAAACCATGGTTGACTTTATAGAATTACCCACACATCTACTTTCTTCAGCATTCTTATATATGGTTTAGGCATTTTATCAATAAATAAGCCATTTTCCATCGGAGAATGGACGAGCTGAGAGTAATTGGTTTGAAAATGTAAGCTTGAAATGACTGCAAGATGCACAAAGCTACATAGCATAAATGACCAGGAAGCGGCGTAGGCATTTAGGATCAGAGTGAAATTAGGATGCAAATGCACTTTGTGCAGGAACAATTGTACCTTACAAGCTCCAGCTTTCAAGGGATTACTGAGCAAGGAAAAGGAGCGTGAGAGAATACTGCGGTAAAAAGGAAGTTTCTATAACAGAGTGTCCTCCAAAAGGAAATGTGAGGGAGTGACAATATATTTTTAGTTTTAACAGTAGTCATTTCTCTTATAGGAAATGTGCTTTTTTGTAAATTGGGATATGAAAATTCTTTAAAAAAAAAAAAAAAAAATGATTTCCTTTCCTAAAGAGGAGGATTAAGTTGTAAAGGTCATGAAATCTCAGAATTATAAAATTAGACATTGGAAAAAAAACAACGAGAGCAATTTAAATGGAGGCAATCATTTATATAGTAAAATTTATTTATTTTCTTAAAAAATTTTTTTATGTTAAAAAAAAAAAAAAAAAAAAAGAAAATTGCTCTTTATTTTTATACTATGGGTTTTATTAACTAAACTGCAAATTATAGCAAGTTAAAAATCAAATGGTAAAATCAGGGCTAAAACCGGCAAGCTATGACTATAGCCAAGTTGGATAAATTATCTAGATCAGCTATTAAGGTCTACATTTTTCTATTCAAATTTCAGGTCACTTCATCGTTTAGTGAATAACTCTGGCTTGACTGGCATGACTTATAAGCAGTAGAGATCATGTCTCCGATAGAATTAAGTAGACTTACCATTATAAAACATTCTATGACCTTTTTTTAGTGTTTATTTTCTATAAAGTAATTTTTGCAGTAAAAATGATTGCATCTATACCTGCACATTTCAAAGATGCTGCAGTTGTCATGGCAACACTGCAAATGGTGCACAAAGGTAATGAACGTGTTACATTTCAACTGAGATTAGCTATTGAAGTATGTCAAAACTTTTCTTGACTCGGAAGCTAGACTTAGAAAAATAAAACTGAGAAGAATGAATAAAGAAATATGTTGGCCATAGGCGAACTTTAAAAAAAACAAAAAAAACAAAAGACTGCCTTATACAGTTTTTCCTTTTTTTGAAAAATCTATGATTGCTTTGTTTATACAGCAAAACACAAATGTTCTCTCTCCATAAAAGGAAAATCAACATCAAGCAGAAAATATCTATCCCAATAATTACTGCCTTTCACTGCAATGTAACTCAAACATTATTAATTATGATTATTAATTCTTCAAAACAACCTGATGGGGAAATGCTCGTGCCCTGGTGATGCAATGGTTAAGCATCCCCAGTCACCTATGTTGGAAAACAGAGTTTCTAGCCAGATAATCAGCATTTTAAACTACTTGCTTTGTGTTTTCCATGTAATGACACACAAACCAACACCTCTCAGACCCGGGGCACCCAGTACCAAGCACGAGATAGGGTTCAGTTTTGTGCTTCACCTCCTTGTGTCATCCAAACTTAAACTAGAGGAGAGGAGGGAGGGATGCAAGGGAGTGCGTGCTGGATAGAATGGAGGAAAAAGTGAAAAGAAAAGAATGTATAAAAGGGGGATGGGGCAAAAAGTGAGAGATGCGGAGGAATTGCATATCAATGGAAGGATGAAACAAAGAGAAAAGAAAGGTGTGTTAGTGGCTGCCAGAGGGGAAACCAATGACTCAAATGTTTAAGAAAAAGGAACAAAGAAAGACCAGAAAAAAAATAAAAACAGAAAAGATCAAAAATAAGAAAAAGCAGGAAAGACTGTAGTAATGTACTTAGACGTACAGAAAGGTGAAAGGAGGACAAGAGGATGAATTATACGTTCAATAGGGTGTGTGTGTTTGTGTGTGTGTGGTAGACAAAAAAATAAAAACCACAACGTCCCAAACAAGAATTCTAAAAAAAGTACCTGGTCAACACAAAACAAACCTGCCTGGCAAGGCTATATATAACCCAAATTCTGGGTAAGTGGTGGGGTGTGATAGAAACAAACTTATAGGATCCAATAATGTTCTAGTAATGTGATAGCTGTATGTGTGGGGATGGGGGCGGGGGGAGTGAAAAAAAAAATGAACTGCAAATGCAGTTATTATAACAAAGTAACATCTTACACACTAATAAAAGTACACAGAACATTTCATTTTCAGCACATACATCCAGCCACAACATTTTAGGTTCATTTTCAGACCAGCAAGGCTATTTAAACAGATAAGTGAATTAAAATGATTGGGGGGGGACCAAAGAAAAAGGGGGGCATATAAAAATGGATTTGAAAAATACATATTATGCAGACTAAGAAGAATACATTTGTCGGATGTGGAGAGTTGGATAGTTTTTGTTTATATGGAATTAAACGGATACAAACGCTATACCTGCACAAGCAAAGTAGGATATGCAAAAGCAAAAAAAAATAAATAAAAAAAATAAAGTACAGCTCCCCAAACAGCTGATACAATTTTATAAACTTGTAATAAATATATTAGATACCAGATCATAAGGAAGGTGTCCGTTCAACTTCCTGGACATGGTGGGGAACTGTCACTCAAACACCAATGGGGATCATTTAGAGGTCAGTATATCTAGTTATCAGACAAGTTGTGTAGGTAAGCGTGCAAGAGAAAACGATAAGCAGAAGAAGGTGGGGGTCAGTACCTCCAATCAGCGAAGAGAGCCTAACGATGGTTAAGGACCCAACTTTCCAGACATGTCTCTGATCTTCTGTGCAGTTCTTGGAGAAGCAGCCTTGTACCGGAACGGACATCAGAGGGTGGCAAGGGAAACAATCAACACAGTTTGTGTCAGTGGCACTGTGTGTCTGTTTATGTAGCTATGTTTGCATGGCAAACGTGCAATTGTGAGTCTGTATATGGTTGACTCCCAGAGTGGCAGAAGCTGACAGATATACTTTCCATTCTGTTGGAGTGAGAATTAAAACCAAGAGAGAAAGAGACTGAGATGGGAGGAGGGAGAAGGAGAGAGGGGGGAGAGAAGAGAGGGAATCAGAGGGAGGGCTACTAATGGCAAATAAGAATAAGGATAGAGGGAGGGTCAATACAGCCAGAGGTATGAGGGAGGAGAAATTTAAAAGAAGGACATTGCTGAAAATACCTGATTGTTAACAGAGGAATCACAGTGAAGAAGCAGGGAATACTTGGTAAACATTAGGTAAAAAACAACAAACCAAAGGAAATATTCCAAAGCACCTGAATGGGAGCATCAGACCAAAATAAAGATTTGGTAAGAGTTAGGGAGGGAACGAGGGGTGCGGTGTAAAGGAGGAGAGGGGGGAAAAAAAGGGTAAAGGGAGGAGGGAGTAGCACCTGGGAAGGAAAAAGGGCAGAGCTGGATATAGAGGGAGAATCTGTCATTTCTCACAGCTGTGCCAAGACACAGGCTTTATGGCTTGGCATTAGAGTGTGATTAACCTTTGACCCGCCAACACCCACACAGGCATGGCACAAAGGGATTTAGCCACATCCTACACAGAATAATAGAACTGCTGCTCTTATGAGTGCACCAGAAAGTTAGTGTTCCAAGATAGAGGGACACAAAAAAAAAACCCCCAAAAAATAAAACCACTCACATTAATGAAAGACCATCATCTTCTTCGAAAATATTTACAGACATATGCCAAACAGAAAAGTTTCCAATTTTTTTAAGGCAACACACCAATGCACACTTAAACTGCTTTTACGGTCTTTGACTGTATGAAAATACATTAAAATCAATTATAAATCAAAATTGCCAAAACTGTTCTTAATTTTCTATGCCCATGCTATACGTAAATAAGGGCTCATTACATATTCTGCACTTTACATGTTCTCGTGACCTTGAAGTGCCCTCAGTTCTTTGTCTTCTAAATCCATTCCTCTGTCAACTACTGCATTTACACACAGAGCAGGTACATAGCTGGCAGCGCAAAACCTCCCCCCACTTCATCTGCACTCCCTACTGCGCGCATCGGATTTACATGCGGTTGCTTCATCCATAATATAGATGTACCAAGGGCAGAGGCAGTACGAACCTCCCTAGCCTTTGCCCCTTTCACTGACAAGAGTGCAGTTTGTGCTGGAAGCTGCAATCTTTTCTGTGTCTCAGCGGGGTGCCCAAGAATGGTAAATAACTGGACAGAGGGCGTAGCAACCAGCAGAGACAATATTTGTGATACCCAGTATCACATGAGAAAAAAACCCCAAAAAACCCCAACATTTTCTAACATCCGTAAGATGCCAGGGAACATGTAAGCGATGAAAAAAATTTTTTTTTAATTGTTTACATCCAAAGCAACATGTTTCAGGGTACCGTGGAGGCTAAACAGTTTAAGTAAGGTATAAGCAGGGTTTTTCTCTGCTTTTACAAAATGAGATACCCTGCAGGTACATACAACAGTGATGTTTCAAAAAAGAATTAACAGAGAGCCAGCAATTATAAAAAAGGCAAGAGGTCAGAACGCAATGGATTGCATAGAAACAGCTCCAAACAGATTTGTCCCCTCCCATAGGAATTCTAAACACACAGCTTATCTAAAGTCTCTACGGGATGGAGACCAGAACACAGAAACGGAGATATACCAAAACAAAGAACGAGAGGGGGGCAAAATTCGATGATAATAAAGTCCAGCAGGGAACTAATTAAAGACACTCGCACGCCAAGACCCAGAGGAAACAAAGCACAGAGCAATGATACACCTGACTAACAGGCAGTAAAAATGTTGCGTATGATGAAGGTTGGACAATAGAAATCAGCAAAGGGGAAAAAAATAAAGTTGAATTAGAAGATATAAACCCCAAGGTCAGAACACAGAGGAGGGCGATTCTACAACTTAACTTTCTGTATTCCATCTAAGAAGTGTGTACTGCTCTTCTGGAATTTAGACTGTGTTAAAAACATGCAGAATAAACACAATTATGCAATATCTGCCTATTTCAATACATAAGTTCCACTCAGTTAAACCACGCTAGGTGAATAAACTATAAACACTGTTCACAGGCCCCTGTAATTTGAATAAATATATTTTTTTTTAAAGAATGCTTTGTAGCCTTTGTGTACCTAATTATCGAAATCGGGTATATAGAAAAACATAGCTCAATAAAAATATATTTGAACAAGAACTAGATAACGTTTATACAACAATACATTTGCATTTCTCCTTTTTTGATATGGCTAATAGACAACATGATTTAATTTAGATGTATATCAATGTCGCCCTTGTAAGATTTAGTTCACAAATTCACAACCTGGTTAAGACCCAAGAGAGGACAGGTGTATTACATCAGGTTGCTTACCTTCAGCAATAGCATGGAGGGGAAAACCAGGGACCAGACTAGATGAACCAACACGGTCGTTAAGGATTGCTTCCCAACTCTGTTTGCAGATTATTTGCAACAAGAACAGTGGTAAGAAGGGACACAAAAGTCTGGAATGTGCTGAGGGGCTCATAAAGTGATTAGGACTCCCACTGAGAGCTGGGCTTCCAGTCACTGAAATCCTTCATCTTTCTATCCATCAGTCTGTCTGTAGGTCCCCAAGGTGGAGTCTGAAGGATGCTGCATTCTTCTGCAACTTGAAGAGGACATCTATACTAATTAAGGTGACCGGCAGCCAAGAAAGCAAGTATGAAAAAGCAAGAACGAAAGCTAGCCAAGCAAAGGTGATGCCACACAAACTGCTTTTACACTATTTCTAAGAAGTAAATATAGAGAGAAATAAAAGACCAATGTCCAGTGAATTGCCCATGTTAGATGCCAGGTGATACCAAGCCTAAGTTTAATGAGCACGAGATATGATTTATGATTTAGAGCACTTGTTAAAAAAAAAAAAAAAAAGCCAGTCACTTGTGTTAGCAGCAGCAAAGCAAAAAATATCAATGTTTGAGAAGCGAAGGGTATTCAATATAGTACGTCATTCACATTATACAATTTTTAGTCTTAAGGTTACCAAGTTTAAGGGTGTTCCTGGCACTGCATTAAAATTCCTCTTAGCATGTTTAATCCTGTATGGACAGTCAGTGATAAGAATCAGACAAACAGGCGAAGCAAGCTGGCAGGGAGCAGTGGAAATGGGGAGGGCTGAAACATTGAAAGATACACGAAGAAAAAAAAAAAATGCACAACAGGATCCAGTTCAAAACAGCTTTATCATCTCAAATGCAGCATCCCATCGTAGTGTGAGCAGATGGTGACATTGTCAGTGAGTATATGTGGGCGCCTGCGTGCATTTTGCGTGTCTCCTCATACTAGGTTTAACATATGGCTAAGGGCTGAAATTTCCACACTTGTTATAGCACGCTGCCTTGGTCACAAAATCCACTGTTTAAGGCCTTATTTAAAAACACATTGATAATTGTAGTGTATTTTATGCAATGATTTTTCTTGCATCTTGTCTAATTGGGCTATTATATTGTGCATCCTCTTAATTATTAAATTTATGCTTGGAGCAATTATCGGTCTTCCTGGGTCAAGCACCTCCACTCCTAGGGGTGCCCTATAAAGTATAGCAAGCGTCATTAAGCACACAACCAACTACAGAGTGCAGACCAGTGTACCTGATACAGATGTGCCTATTATCACCCACAGATTAAACAAAGCTTGGATTTTCGGGGTACTTTAAGAGTTAGTAGGCTCACCATAATATGAACATTTTGCATTACCAAATCCAATATTTTGGTTTTCAACTTTCCTTTAAAGACTTAACATTGGTTGTAGTTATATGTAATTTATATGTATTTAATTTAGGCAATCACATTAGAAAGTAACATATAATGAGTTACTCAGAAAGAAAAACATGTTAATACGGGAGGAAATTAAATTTCTATATAACTTTCTTACCAGCCAGGTAATATTTGGTAAACAATCCTATGTAAGTCAGAAAGTAATTTAAGGGGGTTGGGAGGGAGAATGATTTAAATCATTTGACCTCTAATTCTAAAGAGAGATTAATTCCCAAATACTTACCATGTGAGGGTATTTGAACGTTTTTTTTTTTTTGGTATGAGTGCAATTTAACAATATTTTACGTAAATCAGTTTGCAACAAATGAATTGAACTTTAGGAAGGTTAGTGACAGAGGAATCATTTGGCAATGTAACAAGACTAGGGAGGTATTTAAATGCAGACTTTTTAAAGAGCAAAAGAGTAAGCATTGTGAGAACCACAAGTTCAAAACAGTCCTGGTGATCTAGATGTTTAGGAACTCTTCCATTGGATGGACCAACCGTGCCGATCCAGGTATGTTAAGAACTGCTGAGGGTTTGGGTAGAGGTTGAATCCTAGTTTTATTTTATTTTTTAAAAAATTTTTACAAATAGCCTGTGGTGAATGAACTCGCTTAAAAAAGTTGGTTTGGAGCTAAATCTCTACTCAATAATGAAGTTTAATTTTGCACAATTTAAATAAAAATATGTGCACTCATGCGAAGGCTAGCAGTTCTAAACAGGAGCAAACGTCAATCCTGTATACCACCAAAAATGCATTTCCCAGTTCTAGCCATAAAGCCACTGATACAATAATATCCATAATACATACTGTACGGAGGAGAATAAAGTAGAAGCACGTTGGGAGACAAAGAATACATAGCTCTGTAAACATTTTGAAAACCGAAAACTAGAAGCAGATTTACAAAAAATATATGATTAGTTTTGGCCTAAAATTTTGAAAGAAAAAAAAAAAAAAATATGGAGTCTGATAATAAATGAACACTCAAAGCACTAGAACCACTCTAGCACAATGCAATCATGTCAGGAGTGCCCTGGCACCCAGGCAATGTAGTAGTCAAAACATTTTCTAAGTTTGACAACTTATCTGGGGTCCACCAGGCACTTCCGTTATCTACTAGCAGCTGATCTAAGCCTTGCAACGCCAAGCTTAGCTCAATGTAGAAAGCTTCCAGCTATCATGGAGGAGGTGACCAGCGCCCATCAAGTCACAGGTAAATTGGCAAACGGCTTGATTACTTACATCGGGAATGGGAGGTTTTGGCCACAGGCACGCCTGGCACCACATCATTGACAGTGATGTAATCGTTAAAGTGCTTGGACCATTTCATTTTTCTAAACACCGCAATAGGGACTGAAACTACCTTACACAATTTCAAACTTACAAATCTAGGGAATGCCTAAGAAAGCTTGAAAAAGTGATCAGGTTTCAATCTTTTACAGCCCTAACAAAGTAAACTGAACATCAATCATGAACATCATATTGCCATGAAATTGGTGACTATTCTATGCTGGTTTGTAATCCATCTAAAGAGGCACTGTCTCCATCTGTGGGTACGGTGATGGTAGGGGAAAGGTGAGACTTGCTGAACCTGTCCCTCGTGGGTGTGGCCATATTCTTTGCTCTGCTCCTCTTCAGCTCCTGATGCTTCAGAGCCAAGAGCTGACGTTAGAGTACTCTCACACATGCGCAAGAGCAAAGCATTGATATCTGTGGAGAATCCCACAAGACCCTCTATAGATGCAGCCAACACTGGTGAAGCCTGTTGAAACTTCTCTGCGCTTAGTCTAAGAAAGTCAAGTGGAAGAGAAATACAGTGACAAAAGTAGACTACTTTGTGTCTGTAGATCTCTTTACTGGGATGGCATTTCAGTGAAATTCCAACACAGTCATAATGACTATTTCATAAGGATTCAATCTTTGCATATTTTTTACTCGATTTTCAAGGGGGAGGGGTGGTGACAGTGCCGACTTAAATTCCACTAAAATGTGTTCACACAGAGACAGACTTTACAGATACTTGAATCTATAAAGACGACACCACCAAGAAAGTCTTCAAAGGAACGGTGTATCTAAGGAAAACAAAACACTATAGAGTCCCTCTGACTCTGGGTCGCCTCTCTCCCACTTCCGGTCATTAAAGGGCTAAAACTCTGAATTACCTGATTCCAGCACAGAGCACTGGCTTTGTCTCCTCCTGCAAAGTCACAGCGATGGGGACCTTAATGCACATTAGGGCTTCCCCATGTGAAAAGATTGAATCAATGCTTTCCTATGGGGATTTTCGAGATGCTGGATATCCACATGCAAAGTGTGAGGATGTCCAGCGTCGTTTCAGGATGTTAAATTCCGTGAATCCACAAGGAAGTGCCTCTAGTGGTTGTCTGGAAGAGGAGCAGAAAGAGTTAAAAGACCACTATAGGCACCCAGACCACTTCAGCTCAATGAAGTGGTATGGGTGCCAGGTCCCTCTAGTGCTAACTCTGCAGCTGAAAACATGGCAGTTTCAGAGAAACTGCTATGTTACACTGAGGGTTAATCCAGCCTCTAGCGGCTGTCTCACTGACAGCCGCTAGAGGCCCTTCCACGATTCTCACTGTGAAAATCACAGTGAGAAGACGCTGGATGTCCATAGGAAAGCATTGAGAAAGGGCTGTTTCCTAAGGGCTCCTGTCGCGCATGCGCATTCTGAGTTGACATTGTCAGAAGGAGTTTCCCGGCGCCGAGTGAGCCTAGCACTGGAGATAGGTAAGTGGCTGAAGGGGGGACCTATTAACACTATAGAGCCAGGAAAACTAGTTTGTTTTCCTGGCACTATAGTGGTCCTTTAAACCTGCAATACAATGAATGCAGTTTTTCCAAAACTGTAATGTTTTACATTGGAAGGTTAGATAGACAGGCACCAATAAGGTGAAGTGGTCTTGGTGCCCATAGTGTCCCTTTAAAAGCCTCAAAAGAATAAGAACACTGACTTCCTTGGTTTGCCACCAGCTATTAATAACATAGCTGAGCTCAATGTAAATGAAGACAAATGTATCCATTCTAATTGCACTTGAGCATATACAGAAAGGTATTAAGACAAATAACTGTCAGTGTAAATATCTTTTTATCAAGAAGATTCAAAGACCAGAGCTGTAAATTAGGGAAGATGTTCCTCCAGAGCTTGAGTAATCAGGCCATCAGCCACAATGTTACACCTTGATAACCTAAACACAGACCTAATATAATAATGCTTTGTTCATGTCGTGCTGCTAACTCTCTTCAATATGCTTATAACCATCAAGTCTTTCAAGTGCTTGCTGATAAATCTCGATTCTGTAGTTTTTTTTTTATGCTAGAGTCCAGCTGCGTCATTAATTGGATAGTTTACTCTTGAAGACTGCTGCAACATAACTTATCTAGAAAAATATTAGAACAAAATATCAATAAAGACGGCTACAAACCTACTATTCTGTACGCAAAATAAATTATTAATACATGGCCACTACTATACATATTTTTATAGGAGGGGGACTTCAATCTGTACTATATAAGGTCAGGCTAGGCAGAGGTAGATGTCCAGACTTTGTATTTCAGAAGCCTGAATTGCTGAAGAAGGAAAATAGGGGTTAAACTACTAGACAGCTCTCCTGCCAAGACACTCCAAATTTAAAATCTAGTATAGAAACTAGTCATAATTAGTTTGTCCAACAAACTTACGATTCAATGAGACATGTTTCCCCTGTGAGCTCCGCTTTTGTTGAGATTCTACAAGCAGAACTATATAACAAATATTACTATTCAATAACACCAAATAAGCTCGAAAACGATGTGTGCAACAGCACCATGCCTTATCATGGGCACATTAATGGGACTAGGACATTGTGAATTCTAAAGAACATTGTGAGTGAGGAAAAAATGAGGGAAAATGCTGCCTTTGCTCTAAACTCTTTAGCCAACCTATGGGTTTTGCATGGAAGCCTAAGTCTGTCTGAAATGAGAGAAAATGATCTTGGTTTAACCAGCTTAGAATCATTACACGTGGGCATTTGGTAAAATTGACCTCACTCACCTGCAGAATTTTCCAGGGTTTCTTCAGCAGATGGAATCATCTGAAGGTTAACAAAACCAATCAGCTACCACAAATCCCGTCAGCATCATCCCCCTGATTTCAGAGCCAAAGTGAAGTTCCAATCAACTGAAGCTCAGTGCCAGCTCAGCAGTTGGCAGTGAATGTATATATTAAAAGGTCACTTCAAACAGCTCTGACCTAGCAACCAGACTCTTTATTCTAGAGAAGGCTATCTAAATGTTGTCAAGCAAGTGCCAAAGACTAGGGAAGTTAATCTGAGGCAAGTGTTGTAAATCAGCTGGGTCTGTGGAATGGAAATCATAACATAGATAGCGCTTTAAAAGAGGGACTATTATGGATTTTACCTGCTCTAAGGAGTATGTGTAGCAGCAAAATGACCCTTATAGCTCATGTCTCATTTTCAGTAATTATATCCTTATGACTCACCCAGAATTACAATGGATCATGGGGGAGGCATTTATTGCTTTGGCATAACGTAACAATGAGTTTACCAGAAAGGACTACACGCTTAAGTAAAATTTCCATCTGTACGGTTTCAAAACTACAGTCAAACTTATTTAATAAATGCAAATAAGAACTTAAGAAATTCCAGTTCACTGCCTAATCCAAGTGCTACTATGATCTTTGTGGGATACTTTACTGGAAAAGCAGTATTTTGTATGAAAAACTGGCCTCAATTGAACTAAAGAAATCAAATTCCAATCGTTGGTATTTGGGTGCAAATAAAAAAAAATTACAAATATAAACTTCCAAACGTGAGGACTGGTTACACAAAAGAATTCTCCACAAAAAAAAAAAAAAAAAATAGTAATAGAGGTTACAGTCATACTATGGGGATTTTCGAGATGCTGGATATCCACATGCAAAGTGTGAGGATGTCCAACGTCGTTTCAGGATGTTAAATTCCGTGAATCCACAAGGAAGTGCCTCTAGTGGCTGTCTGGAAGAGGAGCAGAAAGAGTTAAAAGACCACTATAGGCACCCAGACCACTTCAGCTCAATGAAGTGGTATGGGTGCCAGGTCCCTCTAGTGCTAACTCTGCAGCTGAAAACATGGCAGTTTCATAGAAACATCCAAAAAACGGTTAAGAATAGTATAAAAATGTTTTAAGTGCCACTAAACAAGGAAACTCCTAGGAGGAAGAATTTAGATGAAAGGAGAATATCTGTTTTTGTCAAACCGTTGTCCATTTGAGAAATAAAGCCAGATGAGTGTTCCATAAGCATTTTCAATATCAAAATTTTGCTTTTATTAATCGCCACGTAAGGTATATAAAAGAACACCACTACTTAAGTTCTCCAAACAGGATACATGGAATTACCGCTCCAGCAGCACAAGGGATAATCTCTGTATGCGCACAGGCAGACTCCAGGCACCATTACCACTTCAAATCACTTAAGTGGGCAAGATGCTTGGAGTAACAATTTCAATAGTGTGCCATCAATGACTATTGAAACGAAATAAAATATCACCACATTTAAAAATCAATTACTTTCCAGGACACCCAAAATGCTTGGATTCTAGTGGTGGTTGTTTTTTCGCAAACCAGTTGGTAGTGAAACATGTTTTATTGAAGCAGGCTCATCTGGAAGCATGTACAACAACAACCCCCAGTTGCAAAATGTCAGTCATGCAAAGTTTTAGGATGGATGATAGTAAGCATCAAAGCAAGAGCAGAAGGCTGCGCAGGTGCAAGTCAACCTAATCTGCTTTAGGGTATAGAAGAGTAAAGTAGATAGGCCACCTAAGAAAGAAACGGTGGGGAGAGAATAACACTGTCCTACATAAAAAAAAAAATTAAAAAAAAATCATAAGAATGAGAATAATTAACAGCTTATGTAAAGGATATCTTCAGCTTTACACAATATATCAAAAGTGTTTCTACGGTCACCAGTACAATATTGTTAGCTGTGGACATTTTAACATTTTTCTCTAGCATACTTGCAGAAAACTCTTTCATATCGACAAGGCTTTCAAGCAAGTTTTACATTGTTCACAAGTCTTTAGACAGCAAGTAATGTAGGTTCAATTCTAAGCCAATGTCAGAACAGTAACACAGAAGAGCGACACAAATTGTAAATGATGAAGCTTTTATTAAAAATGAACAAATCTGCTATGGAAAAGCTTTTTTTTTCCCCCATCAACAAAGAAGGAATCTGTGAACAGTTAGAGTTTAAAGAAGTGGTCAAGAATGAGAAGCACTTCACACCCTTCATGCCAAATGGACACAAATAAATCTTCCAGGAATCTTGAACAAGCTAGAATTAAAACGGTACTATTTGAACATTAGGATTAGCCATTCAAAACAGAGTCCAGTTGGAATACCTCTGGAAAAGCATTGTTTTCTAAACATCCGGAACTTACGGGGCTCTCCGAGGAGTAATTTAAGAACAATAGTTTAGGGCTAAACAATACAACATGCACACCAATGCCGAAGGGCCACACAACTCATGGTTCTCAGTCACTAGCATACAAGAGGTTTAAATATCTGCATAAGTACCACATTATACAGATAACAACCAATTGTTAGAGATACTTGTTTTTTTACAAAAATCTCACTGGAGGCATTTCAGTAAACGCTGGTGAATTTCTGGAATGCCACTATCTGCCATGGTACTCTGATAATCCCGGACTGGTCTAAATCTGCTCACACTGCAAAGTTCCTCATCCTTGGCCCTCCTGTAATCATTAACTGTACAGAATTTAATGATTTCTGTGCATATGCTCAGGTGATTGGTTTGGATTCAAACGTGTTCATTTGAGGGACAGATTGTTAGTTCAGTGAAGGCTACCCACCTGCACTTCAGTTTGTGTCGACTAGCCATCACATGAAGCTGAGCCAGGAAAACCTGATTTAAACTGTTCACGCAAATTAAAGAGTGACTTTGCAGACACTCTGTCTTAGCTTATTGGAGAGATTTCCATTCTAAAAATTATTTTTTAAAAACGAAAATACGTGCAGCTTATCAAGCCTGTTATTTCTTTTTACTGCGTTTAATATCAAACCCAAAACTATACTAGGGCCCCTAATTGCTATGCTGTAGAAAAACTGAAGTATGCACAAAAACAAGAAATACAATAAAGAGGCTTTATTTGTAGATTAATCAGTGCACTAATATCCTGAGCATAACACTGCCAAGCAGCAGCAATCTAAATATTAACTAGCTACCCACCCCCTCACCAAAAACCTCATCTGTCTAGATTTGCACAATAAGGGCTTACTGAACCTACAAGAGGCATTGAGGACAAAGCACTATATAGATTTTACTTTTTTTTGTAGCAAGATCTAGTTAGATGATGCAAGCTGATTAGTTTCTGTTGCTTTATGACAACTAAAATCGCCTAGAGGCATTAAAATATACATAAAAAGAGATAACAGATGGTAAAAACAGAAATGCTTACAACCTTCCTGAATAGTGTTATGTGCAAATACAGCTACAGTTTCCTTTCCAGTGGGATTATGTGATGGGATAAGCAAATCCTACTGAGTGCTATACATATAAAAGAATAGATATCGCGTTGCTCGGTTCAGGGCAAATAGGCAGGATTACTGCCAAGTTAATGGCAATGCAGTGCCGCATAAATACCACTAGAGGTCACTGTGATCATATGCAAGCTGGATTTCTGTCCGCACCACCTAAGCTGTTAAAATAATTATTGCAACATCTTTGGATAAAACAACTTTAAAAAAAAGGAATCAAAACCAAGGAAGCGCATCTGGTAAATATTATGCTCAGGTCTTGTCTCAAAATTATTTACAGCACTGGCTTTTTAAACTACCAATGTGTGTGCGATGGACTGCACGTGGATCCACACCATTTAGTAGGAGGAAGCTTTCCAAACACTTTAGCAATCATCTCTCTTTCTATAAATACACTCACTCACTCACAAACAGTAAGCCAGTGTACATACTATTGTATTAAAAGGAAGAAAAGCAAACTTGATCGGTCACGTAAGAGGAGCCTAAACTCTTGCAAAGTTTGATCCTCTCATAGACCCACCCTTGACTGTTAGTAAATACAGCAAACAACAAAACAAAACAGAAAAAAAAAGTTATAAATCTTAGCACGGAGAGCACAGTCTGGACTTGAAAAAGTTCAAATCATGTTTTAAAAAAAAAAAAAAAAAAGTGGAATGTATAATGAAATACATAAAGCTTAACAGCAGCTAAACTAAAAAAAATGCTACACACATTTTGTGGTGTGGTACTGGCATAATAAAATTAAATCTAACTTTGACACTCATTAACCCTTTCACTATTCCTCTCCAGTGATTTAATGCAAACACCTTGATCATAAAGCATCACAGATCACAAAATACATTTAAAAAAAAAAAAACCACAAGATTACCTTAATGATAAATGTTTTTTTTTTTTTTTTAAATGGATCTGCCACAAAAAAATGTTTTCTTTATATTGAGGGGTTGGGGAGAAAATATGGAATGGCCTAAATACCTGGGTTAAACAAAGACAGTAACTCATGTTTTTTTTGTTTGTTTGGTTTTTTAATTATACATGCCATTTTTCTGCAATTCTGATCACTTGGCAGTTTAAAGCAGTAAATCTCTCCAGCCTTGCTTTAGCATGTTGCAAAAAAAAAATTATTAAAAAAATAGCATGGTCCAGTGCCCAAACACTGGAAAGTTGAGTTTTGGGGTTTTTTTTACGAGCTACTTAAAGTCTGTTTACATAGGTGATGAGATACACACCAACTTCTGATCTTATGAGTATTTAATACATTTGTGTCGTGCTGGAAAGTAAAAAAAATCAGCTAACATGGTTATCAATGGACTAACAATAAAAAGGAGAAAGATACATCCCATAATTTTAAATTACAATGTCTTTTGCAAAAGGGCAGAAGTCAACAAAATGAATTAACCCCACTTGGTAAGTTACACCGATATAGATTTTCTACCAGTGAACCAAAGACGTCATCTATTCTAGACCAATACAGGCACATTTATTTATTTTTTAAATCAGTTTAGGTTATGGGTGTCAGAATTGCAGTAAAATACCGTCCAGATACATTTGTTGTTTTTCTTTTTACAATATCCACTCCAATAGTCTTTGGCTAATCTCACATAATGGAGTGGAGTGTTTGGGGACAGAGATGCATAGATCACATTCTATGTAGTGTCTGAACACACTTTGGGCTTAAAGGTGGGCTTCTAGCGGAGAGTTGCACCCACTAGAATACAAAATCTGAACTGTGCTTTAAACTCAGACACTATACATCAAATACAAAATTAGTACTTGGGCGCCATGCTACCAACAAGAACTCATTAGCAGCCTTATTTAGGAGCAAATTAGACAGTAAGCTTCTATAATAAATTTTAAGCAATGCATCCAGTCACATATACCTCTAAAAAAAATAAAAAAATCTAGCCCTCGGTTTCAACCTATACACTCAGATAAGACAAATATATTAATAGGTAGTAGCTTGGTGTGGTTCTTCATGAAGGAGATTTAAAAAAAAAAAAAAAAAGGGAAGATGAATTGTATGCTAAAGAACATTGTAAGGTGGAACGTATTGTTGTAGCAATGGACTACATTACTATACCATGGATAAAAACAAGGTAAATAAAGAAATGCAAGGAGTACCCCATCAACACAAAGGAATAAAGACTGGTGAAAAAAAAAAAAAAACATACAAAATAAGATTCCCTTTAAAATTCACTCTTTGCAAAGATGATTTAAAAAAAAAAAAAAAAAACCTCTATAAAATCATTGTTTTTAAACTATAATTAAAATTAGCATTTTTATAAATCCAGTTTTGAATTCTGCCACTCGTTTGTCTACTGCGCTAGTAACGTCAGCAGCGTTAATCCTATACTGGTTGCAGTGGAATAGAATCACATGACGTCAGTCCCATTCTATGATCTAAAAAAGTGAATAAAAACAGGTTGACTGTCATGAACGTTTTTTGTGAGGTGGGGTTGAAAGAGGAGCTCCAGAATTTCAGAACACTTAATTACTCTCTTGCAGGAGCACTCACTGTTTTGTTTTTGTTTTATTTAACTGCACACCTGAGGTGCACCTCGCTTCCTAAGAAGTGGGGTGGAACAGCTTCCCTGCATCACCTAATCTCAGCTACCCATCCTCATCCTCTTCAGGGTTCTTGTCATCTTCTGCTCCTGAGGATTGTTCAGAGTCATCAACATCAAGTAATACATTTCCTGACTTGTGCTCTTCGGTGGTTGATTCGACAACATCTCCCTGCACAGATTCTTCCTCAACAACTTCTGCATCATCTTCCTCCTCATCAGTACCTAGAAGGAATACCATTTTTAAGTGTGAGACTTTGTGACAAAATCTATCCAATGAGCATGACAACCATTAAAACCCAACCTGTCACTTTACCAATTCCACATTCTAAAAGGTAAACATTTATGGATGCAAGCCACCAATCTGTGAGATAGAAATCTACTTAGTCATGTAAGTGATAGCAATAAAAAAAAAAAAAAAAAACACAAAGACATGTAGCTTTTTGTCTGTTGGCCAAGTCAAATCTCCAAAAAGTTCCAGTCTTGGAAAGACAATCCTGTATTGTGAGCTCTTTCACAATGTCCTCTAATTGTTCCCTGCATCCAAAGTATGGCAACAGAAAGTGCAGTTTGCTTGCATTGCACTCCTACAAGAAAGAAGTGCTCTGCGCATGTTCAGCCCTGAGTGGGCTGCAGACATACACATCAGAGTGATGAAACAGTTTCAGACATGCATCCACTGAACATTTGAGTGCTCTAAGACAAGGGAAGCAAGCAAAGCACTGAGTAAGAAACATCTGGAGAGCTGCCTGCCATCTAATCCAGCACTAAAGTCTGGATACGAAAACCAAAACAGGATCGATGGAACAGGACAAAACAGGACCGATGGAACCACTTGCAAAAAGTGTGACTTTTCCATTGATAAAAACAAAAACAAAAAAAAAACAAATTGTTCTCAGAAAACACAGAATTTCACCCAAGTGTAAAGATTCAACTCCCAAGTAATGTTCAATATACAGTCACATTTTTCTATGTGACATATCTTAGAATACCTAAAGGAAAACAAACTTATCAACATTTGTTGATGGATCTTAAAGGTGTTTGAGACCATGATCCTTTAGATCCAGGATCCAAGGGCTGCCTTCACACTGAATTCTAAGAAAGTGCAACCATGGTACAAAATGTGTCAACGTGGTGTCCAGTGCTCGCTGTTAGATTATGCTACATTTTAAATTATAAAATAATGCACACATTTCTTTAATTTTAAAAACAGATTGAGACATTTTCCTTCTTGAGAGAAGGTGGCTGGTCTTCGGTTTTGTTTGCCTTCCCATTAACCCAAAGATGGTGAATCTGTGGCATGACAAACTTTAATTTTTTTTATTATAATCTCACATCACAAGGGTGAATAGTGTACCACAAAATATGCAGTCCGACAGTTAATAAGAGTTATAATTACATAACAAACAGGAATAAGATGAACCACTTAAGAGTGGTATCTATGAAAGCTTATGTGATAGAACACTGTGAAATTATACGAAAAGTTTAGAATCCCAAGGGGGTTTCAACATGTTATCCAGATGAAAGTCCATAAATACAAGTACATTCCACGACAGTATACCTCTTCAGGATGAAAAAAAAACGAGGGATAAGAATCTCACTAGGCAGAATATTTAAGAAGCCAAAGGCTGGGTTTCAAGTTGGCTGGTACTGTTGCAAAGGTAGGACCCCTAAATTTAGTTGTCAAAAGGCAAGCATAATCGAATCAAACTAGTGGGGATATCCTTTGAGTCCGTAATGTGGACAACCACAACGGAATAAGGACTCCAATTATATGGATTAGACTATTCCCGGGGCTGGAGTAGCAGAGGTCTATACTATTACCAGCACTGAACTATGCATGTAGAGAGATTAGCATAAAAGGGTCCATACATGGTCTTTGTATAAGTAAGGAATTTTACTTCTCTGTGCTGAAAGAAGTATTGTTTAATCTGACCGTATGTAAAGCGTACAAGGACATACCCCATGGTTCAAGATAAGGTTTTCTGCAGTTTTGGGAGTTGAAATATGTTTTCTATCTGGATAGATTTAAACTGCTTAGGAAGTAGGAGGGTCTCCAATACCCAACAGAGACAGTGAGGGAGTTCTTCCAACTAATTACAGATATGCTAAACCCTCTAAGTAGGTCCAAATGGGGTACGTTCAGTCTTTTTTAGTAGCCACTTAGTCACAAACACTGGCCAAAGTTAGCATTCTAATTTGTATGTGTGTAAAAAATGCAAAAAACAAATTTGAATGCTAATTTTGGCCGTGTTTGTGACTAAGTGGCTACTAAAAAAGACTGAACATACCCTATTTGCAATACCTTGAGTGGTCTACTTTTGGTATGCCATCATGGGGGTAATTCTCATTCCTGGGCTACAATACGGTCTCAAAGGCAACATAACCAATCTGGTTAATGTGAAAAAATGGAAATGCAAGTCTTATACTACACTCTGCAACTTTTGAAAAAAAACACCAGAAAACCTGTACATGGTGGTTACTGTTATACTCGAGAGACTTCACTGAACACAAATATTAGTGTTTCCAAACATTACAACAATTAGATTGTCAGTGAAAGTGCTGTTTGTGAAAAAAATGCACTTTCACAGATATCATTGTTGTGATATGTTTTACGGTTTTGAAACACTAATATTTGTGTTGAGCGAAGTCTCCTGAGTAAAACAGTACCCCGCTATGTTCAGGTTTTATGGTGTCTTGGAAAGTTACAGGGTTAAATATAGGGCTTGCGTACCATATTCTCTGGACTTTCTGCCTAGGTTGTCAGGCAAGTCCCTCAAATAGTAATTAATGAAATGATTTAATCATGTAAAAAAAAATTAAAAAAAAAATATATATATACACACACATACATACACACACACACACACACACACACACACACACACACACACACACACACAAATTAATGTATTTATAATGCCATTCTAACTATTTTGATTTATATATATGTATATTAATATCAAAATACAGGTATAATTTTTTTCAATTTTCTTATTGATTATATATATATATATATATATATATATATATATATATATATATATACACACATACACACACACACACACATATTGTATGTTTAGTTTAATAAATATATATATATATATATATATATATATATTTTATTAAAATACACTTAGAATAATAGTTTATGTGTGTGTATGTGCATATAAAAGTACTGTATATACTAGAGTACAAGCCAACCCGAAATATAAGCCGAGGCACCTAATTTTACAAAAAAATACAGGGAAAAAACTTAATGACTTGAGTATAAGCCTAGGGTGGGAAATACAGCAGCTACTGGTAAATTTCAAAAATAAAAACAGATACCAATAAAATTACATTAAAGGGACACCGTAGGCACTGTATTTGCTTCCTCTCATTAAACTGGTTATACTGTCTGGAGTCCCCTGGTACCATAATTTCTTTCAGCATTAAACAGTTTTTAATGTTTTTATGTTTTAAAGCTAAACAAGAGTCCCCGGCAGTCCCTCCCATCTGTGCAGCTTTGGCTAATAAGGAAGTATTAGCCTGAGCAGCAATGGACAGCTGTGATTGGCTGAGAGTGTCAGGTGACTGCTTTCAGCCTGTCAAGAGCTCCAACTGACAGTATGAATGGGTAGGACAACAAGGAAGTGTGTAATCTCTGCCTTAGCTACACATACAGAAGGGGCTGGACTGTAGGTGGCCAGGGACTCTTATGTTGTAGCATACTGCACGAACATGGTGCAACACTGAGTGGAGGGACAGTGCCCAGGCACTATAACCAATTCAAAGAGATGAAATGGTTATAGTGACTACAGTGTCCCTTTAATTGAGGCATCAGTAGGTTAAAGGTTTTTGAATACTTATTTCAAAGAAACAGTAAACTAGCTCTGTAAGTGGAAAAGAGGGTCAACAAAAACAATATGGTATCAACAATAACTTAAAAAGTACAAAAACCTTAGCTCAATCAGCAACCAAGCTAAAAACACAAGAGTTAAATTCCTTCAAAACTGGATTCCTCCTCATTATCTGTATGTCCGAACAGAGCTTCAGCTGGTGTGAGGTTATCAGCATAGACATTGTCATCATCACTGAGTTCGCAGTCATCACCATCCCTACTGTCGTTTTCATACAAAGCGTGGTCTTCACTGCCATCCATAGCATTACTAATGCCACATTTCTTGAATGCGCGTTGCACCATGTCCTCTGGAATCTCTTCCCATGCATCACGAACCCACTTTGCTATCAATTCTATGTCGGGCTTCATCAGATTTCCAACTTTTGTCAGTCGGGCTTGACCAGATGACTTCCATTCATGCCACATCTTTCGCACACGGTCTTTAAAAGGTTTATTTAAACACACATCTAGGGGCTGCAATACAGATGTAAGCCCACCTGGAATAACGGCCAAAGTAACTTGAGAAGACTTTGCCAATTTTTTTATGTCATCAGGTGTGTGGGCTCTGAACATATCCGAAACTAGCAATGATGGTTTTTTCTTTATGGCTGCTCCTGGTCGCCCGTTCCAAATTTCTTCCAGCCATTTTTTTGTTCCGTCTTCATCCATCCAGCCTTTAACATGTGCTCGCACTGTAATTCGTGGTGGGAATTTGACCTTTTTAGGCAAGGTCTTTCTTTTAAAAATAATGACAGGCCGTAGCTTAGTTCCATTAGCCAAACATGACAGAACGACTGTGAAATGTTTTTTTTCATTTCCTGTGGTTCTGAGCAAAATAGTTTTGTCTCCCAAACTTGCCACAGTTCTGTTGCTTGGAAGATCAAAGGTCATAGGTGTTTCATACACATTCCCAATATCTCCCAGGTCATAGTTATGGATCCTTCTTTGTTTTATGACGAATGAATGGAATGACATCACTTTTTCATCAAGGTCTTTTGGCAACTTCTGTGAAATCTTTGTTCTTTGCTGCAAACATAGGGCAAACCTATTCATGAAGCGGGTACACCATCCTGCTGACGCAACAAAATTTTCAATGCCTGGTGCTTTTAATTTGTCATCTTTAGCCATTTGAAGGGCACGTAAGCGAATTCCCATGCGTGTTACGCAGTAACCATTTTGACGACACTCCATAACCCATTTATGCAATTCAGTCTCTAGAGCCCCATATGAAGTCGTTAAACCACGTTGAGCTTTTTTTGCCTTTGGAATCTTTTCCAAGTCAGCTTTCATTTTCCGCCACTCCCTCACTTGTTTTTCGTCAACACAAAATTCCCTACTTGCAATACTGTTATTGCTTTCTTCTGCTCTTGACACAACCTTAAGTTTGAAACCAGCTTCGTATGACCTGCGTTTTTGTTTTGGTCCGGGATTAGAAGTATTAGAAGTATTGGGATCCATTTCTAACAGGATAAAAAAAAAAAAAAAAGACTTTGAAAAAGAATGCTGACTATGTTTGCATAGAGCAGCCTGTGTTGGGGCTCATACTATACACGCTGTGTTACTACATACGCTGCCTTACCGCATGTACACAACGCAGCTTGTATAGTTTGAGCCCTAACGCAGGCTGATGATATTCCAGAAAGTGGTGACATGACTGCATAGAGCAGCTTGTGTTAGGGCTCATAATATACACACTGCGTTGTGTACGCACTGTATTACTGCATTCGCTGCGTTACGGCCAGCGTGCAGGAGAAAGGAAGAATGGTGATATCAACAGTCATTGGACCACACACAGAGGCTGCAGGCGCCCGCAGATGAGCGGGAGGGACCAGAGAACATCCGCACTGCACCGGGGAAACAGGTAAGTGGGACCAGTGGCGTACACATAACCCATGGGGCCCCGGTGCGAAACTGATCCGCGGCCCCACACCTCTCCCTCTAACTTTCCCTCCGACAGACACACACATACAGACAGACACGACACATACAAACAGACAGGCACACACGACACACATACAGACAGATAGACAGACACACAAGACATACAAAGACACATACAAACAAACATAATATTTAATATATATATATATATATAATATTTAGGTCACCCTCCTGTTTCCTACCTTTTAGGTGCAGGAGGTAGACTCAGGTTGATGGGAGTCAGAGTTCCCACTCTGACTCCCTGGTCTTCCTCCCATGTAGGCTCAGTGATTGCTGGGAGGAGTGACGTGCAGATCTCATCACAGGGGGCCCGGTCACGCAGTTAAAGCGCCCAGCTCCGACCGGGCCCCCTGACAATCCATATCCCGATGGACCCCTTGGACGCCGGCCCGCCATGTGGGCCGGGCCGCAAATGATTATGGCGGCGGGTACCCGCGGTATGTAGTGGGACCCTCGAGTATAAGCCGGGGGGCTTTTTCAGCATAAAAAATGTGCTGAAAAAGTCGTCTTATACTCCAGTATATACGGTACTTAGATCATACACACACATACACACACACATATATATATATACATATATATACACACACACACATTATATATATATATATATATATATATATATATATAAAAAGTTAGTAAAGGGGAAAAAAAGTTTAAAGTAAATTAAAGCACTTAGATATTATATATATATATATATATATATATATATATATATATATATATATATATATATATATATATATATATATATATATATATATATATATCTAATATCTAAGTGCTTTAATTTACTTTAAACTTTTTTTTTCCCTTTACTAACTTTTTAAACTTTTTTTCAGGCAGTCCCCCTGCTGGCACTGCATATGTCGGCTATTCCGGCCATGTGATCGCAAGGACCCCGCGATCATATGGCCCTGGAGGGCCGGATTATGCTGAAGGGGGCTGCCTGGGCTCCCAAACAGCCCCCCGGATCGCGACCACCGACGTGGGATTTGCCGGGACCCGGTAAGTCCCCTGAACGGCAGGGGGACGTTTTATGCCGCCCTCCGGCATTTAGGACTGCCCAAAAAACACGACGTTATAGAACGCCCACCGTCCTTAAGGGGTTAAATCACTTATGTTTTTGTTTATGCAGCCCTAGCCACACCTACCTGCTGTAAAAAAAAAAAAAAATTCAATTCAATCAGATCCTTCAGCACAGTATGTTTTACTTTAGAAATGATATCCTGCTTTGTTGAATTGAACTTTTTATTTTCTAAAGTAAACTGTGTTGTAACAATTATACCTTTTTAACCCTTTAAAAACCAGAGGCAAGTGTCCGACTTCTGAACCAAAACAAAACCTAGAATTTGCTCTGTGTGTTTGTTCCATCGTAACTTAACCCCTTAAGGACTGGACTTTTTTTTGCAATGTACATTTGCGACCAGGCATATTTTTACACTTTTGTGGTGTTTGTGTTTGGCTGTAATTCTCCGCTCTCTCATTTACTGTTCCCATACAAATTATATATTGTTTTTTTCAGGACAAAAGGGGCTTTCTTTACATACCATTATTTATATAATCTCATGTATCTTAATTTAAAAAAAATAAAAAAATATGAAAAATTGAAATACATGTTTTTTGACTTTTACTTGAAAAATCTTTTACTCGTACAAAAGTGAATGAAAAAAACTGCTAAATAGATTCGAAATTTTGTCCTGAGTTTAAAAATACCCAGTGTTTACGTGCTTTTTTGCATGTTATAGGCTATAGGTACAAGTAGGATATTGCGGTTTCAAAACATACATTTTTAAAATTTATCAATAGTGACATTGTAACACTATTATCTGTCAAATCTCTGAATAACAACCCACATGTACATATTTTTTTTTTAAAGTAGACAACCCAGGGTATTCAATATGGGGTATGTCCAGTCTTTTTTAGTAGCCACTTAGTCAAAAACACTGGCCAAAGTAAGCATTCATATTTGTTTGTGTGTGAAAAAAGTAAAAAAAAAAGTAAATTGAATGCTAATTTTGGCCAGTGTTTGTGACTCAGTGGTTACTAAAAAAGACTGGACATACCCCATTTGCAATACCTTGGGTTGTCTTCTTTTGCAAATGGTATGCCATCATGGGGGTAATTCTCATTCCTGGACTACCATACGCTCTCAAAGGCAACGTAACCAACCTGACCATTTTCAATGTAAAAATATTTGACCCATATATTTGACCTTGTAACTTTCAAAAATGCTATAAAACCTGTACATGGGGGGGTACTGTTTTACTCGGGAGACATCGCTGAACACAAATATTAGTGTTTAAAAACTGGAAAACGTATCACAACAATATCATCAGTAAAAGTGCTGTTTGTGGGTGAAAAATGCAAAAAAAGTCACTTTCACTGACAATATCATCGCTGTGATATGTTTTACTGTTTTGAATCACTAATATTTGTGTTCAGCGAAGTCTCCGAGTAAAACAGTACCCCCATGTACAGGTTTTAGGGTGTCGTAGAACGTTACAGGGTAAAATACAGTGCTAGCAAATTAAATTCTCTGGGCTTTCGGCCTGGGTTGGCAGGCAGGTCCCTCAAATTGCAATCAATAAAATTACTGAATTATGTAAAAATATTACATAAATACGCACGTAGAATTTAAATATATATATGCATATTTATATATTTTAAGTCTACATGTATATTTATATAATTATTTATGTAATTTTGTATATGGACATATGTATATTTCGTATTATTTTTATTTATTTATATATACAGATATATACAAATTCATTCTAAGTGTATTTTGATATAAATATATATTAATTTTAAAATACAGTTAGAATAAAATTTCATATAGATATATATTTTTTTTTACATTTTTATTATTACTTAAAAAATGTTTTATTTAATTTAAATTTATTATTTATATTTTATAATATATATATATATATATATATATACACACACATACACGTGTGTAATTTAATTATAAGTGTATTTTTATATTAATATAAGTACATATTAATATAAAAATACACTTAGTATTATATATATGATATATAGTATACACACACACACACACACACATATATACATATACACACACACACACACACACATAATTTTTTCTATTTTTAATTAACATTAACTTTATTTTTATTTTTTTATTTTACACATGCAGGGAGACTGCCTGTCAGCACAGACAGTCCCCCTGCTGGCAGACACTCTGACCATGTGATTGCTGTGTTGAGCGATCACATGGCCACAGGGGTCCTAATTCAGTGTGGGGAGACTGTCTGGGCTGCAGGCAGTCTCCCCACAACGGGAGCCACGCTGATCGCCGCCAGGGGAACGACGGCGATCAGGTAAGTAACTAGGACCGATAGGACGGTTCAGGACCGTCATCGGTCGGCAATGGGAAAATGCCGATGACGGTCCTGAACCGTCCTCTGTCCTTAAGGGGTTAAAGGGATATTATAATCACCAAAACAACTTTAGCTTAATGACTCAGCTTTGGTGTACAGACCGTGCCCATGCAGTCTTCACTGTTCTAATATAGGCCATTTAGGAGTTAAATGACGTTGTTTATACAACCTTAGTCACACCTCCTTGCATGTGATTTGCACAGCCTTCCTCAACACTTCCTGTAAAGTGAGATTTAAAATGCTTATACTTCCTTTGTAGCACATTATGTTTAATTTAAAGTTTGCTATCTCCTGCACTGTTAATAGCTTGCTTGACCTCAGGATCCTGCTGCGTGTGATTAAAGTTCAATTTATAGAGTAGGAGACAAAAAAAAAAAAAAAATCTTAATGTAAGTTAACATGTGATTGAAAATATATATATATTTTTTTTTTAACATGCAAACTGTTTCAGTCACACCCAGGGGAGGTGTGGCAAACACAGCTGTTTGCTTACATTTGTCCTAAAGATTTTTAAAAATGGTCTTCACATTTTTTTATGGGAGGTGGGGTTCTCTAAATCTGAACACTAAAACGAACATTAAAAAGTAAAATAATTTTTAACATTTCAGTTTTCCTTTAATAATTCTGTTACGATCTATTAAATGCGCTACTGAATAAAATTTAACTTGTGTTAAAGAAGTGTTACAACATAAAAATGTGACTATTGAAATGAGTATGGCAATAGAGTTAATTCATATATATAAAGTAGGCTATTTCTGTGAAACACAAAGCTGCAGTGTAACGCAGTTACAAATTATGATTTTTCTTCTGCCTTTTTAAAAAATATAATTACTTCACCTCTTATCAGCATTTGTCCCAAATGGAACTGCTATACATATAAATATATAAACTGCCCAACAAAAGTATGCCTTACCATCTGCTTGTTTCTCAGTGTTATCTGATATCTCATGAACTTCATTCTCCTCCTCCTCCTCTTCTTCCTCCTCCTCCTCCTCTTCCTCCTCCTCATCGTCATCAATGACCACACAGTCATCGAGATTGTCTGTATCGCTGAGACACATAAAAAGGTTTTCATAATTCTTATATAAAATGAATGAGAAAACACAGAATATTAAGTTTTTACTCCTTACCTATCCTCCACTGCATTGTCATCACTGTCTCCCTCACCAATTAGGTAATATTGTAAAGGGTTTGGCCACAGATCCTCTTTAATTATCTATGAGAACGAACACATTGTTTAAACTTACAGAGATCTAGACACAGACACACACAAAAAAAAATAAGATTATCTGGATGATAACAAATGGTTTAACTTTAAAATAACATGAACAATTCAACTAAGACATCCTTATTCTTCATCAAATAGAGGAGGACATTACCGCTGCTATTCGATCAGCTGCAGGAAAGCTATGATCAGAGAACCAGCTGAAAAAGCTGGGAGCAGAATTCCTGGATTTTCCTTTATATGCAGAAGGGTTTTGTCCTCGCCACCAACGGATGGGTGTAGAATGAGAGACTAAGCGTCCTTTAAGAGAAGAGAAAGAAATAAAGAGAAGAAATAAACCGTAAATCATCCCTCCAGAGCAATCATCGCGAATCATGACACTTTAACAAATGTTGGTTCCTCTTGCACAAAAACTTTATGACAAACACTTACATCCATCCTATGAATTTCAGTCACTTCAATTTAGCTGTGACCTACTATGTTACAAAAAGACATTTAACTTCTACTTGAGATCAACAGCTGTGCTCAAGCGAATCAATTAAGTATTAGAGACAACCATACTAGAATTGGGGATGTGGAATTTATATTGCCAAACACCAGGGAAATGCAGTTTCTGGTAATGGGCGTGTAAAGGACCACTATAGTGCCAGGAAAACACACTCGTTTTCCTGGCACTATAGTACCCTGAGGGTGCCCCTCCCGCCGGGCTCTAGGGGAGGAAGGGGTTAAAACTTTCCTCTTTCTCCAGTGCCAGGCGGGGGACTCTCCTCCTCCTTCTCCTCCATAGCGAAGTCATCGACTGAATGCGCATGCTGTCAATGAGACAGCCACTAGAGGCTGGATTAACCCTATTATAAACATAGCGTTTATAGAAAAAAGGGTTAATCCTCGCTGGACCTGGCACCCAGACCACTTCATTAAGCTGAAGTGGTCTGGGTGCCTACAGCGGTCCTTTAATTTTCTTTTTTGTTATTCTTTAGGGGCTGCAGTGGACTGCCAGACATGGGGAGGTGCGAGGAGCAGTAGGCGTTCCTCGCTATGCACAGAGCTTATGGCCATCTGGAAACAGCATGGCGTCATACCCCGGCAGCCGGCACTCTTGCAGAGGAAAGAAAAGTCAAAGAGACAGACTGCAAAATTCCATGTGAAATATGGAATGGGGCTGGATTAGGAATGCACCGAAATTAAAATTCTGGGCTGAAACAGAAACTGAAAAGGACTTTTTTCCTCAAATGATTTGTGTAGGTTATGTAGTGTGTGTAAGGCACCTAGTGTGGGGTGGGCTAGGGATTCAGTGTGTGTGTGTGTGTGTGTGTAAGGCACCTAGCGTGGGGTGGGCTAGGGATTCAGTGTGTGTGTGTGTGTGTGTAAGGCACATAGCGTGGGGTGGGCTAGGGATTCAGTGTGTGTGTGTGTGTGTGTGTAAGGCACATAGCGTGGGGTGGGCTAGGGATTCAGTGTGTGTGTAAGGCACATAGCGTGGGGTGGGCTAGGGATTCAGTGTGTGTGTAAGGCACATAGCGTGGGGTGGGCTAGGGATTCAGTGTGTGTGTAAGGCACATAGTGTGGGGTGGGCTAGGGATGATTGGTGACAGACCGGGGAAGGGAGCGAGGGAGGGGGGCGACTGGTAACAGAGCGAGGGAGGGGGGCGACTGGTAACAGAAGCGAGGGAGGCTGACTGGTAACAAGCCGAGGGGGCGACAGAGCGAGGGAGGGGGCGACTAGTAACAGAGCGAGGGAGGGCGATAAAGGCAACAGAAGCGAGGAGAAAGCGACTGGTAACAGAAGCGAGGGAGGCGACTGGTAACAGAAGCGAGGGGGAGGCGACTGGTAACAGAAGCGAGGCGACTGAAACAAGCGAGGGGAGAGGCGACTGGTAACAGAAGCGAGGAGGCGACTAGTAACAAGCGAGGAGGCGACTGGTAACAGAAGCGAGGAGAGGCGACTGGTAACAGAAGCGAGGCGACTGTAGTAGCAAGCGAGGAGGCTGGTAACAGAAGCGAGGAAGGCTGACTAGTAACAGAAGCGAGGGGCAGTAACAAGCGAGGCGACTGGTAACAGAGCGAGGTAACAGAGCGGGGGCGACTGGTAACAGAGCGAGGGAGGGGGCGACTGGTAACAGAGCGAGGGAGGGGGCGACTGGTAACAGAGCGAGGGAGGGGGCGACTGGTAACAGAGCGAGGGAGGGGGCGACTGGTAACAGAGCGAGCGAGGGGGCGACTGGTAAACACAGTGAGGGAGGGGGTGACAGAGTGACTGCTGTATCACGCAATATCCAGAAGTTAGGGTTGTCGTGGTAACCCTTGGCAACACGGATTGGCCATAGATCGCGAGATACAGCACAGTCTGCAGCTTACATCCAGCGGAGCTGCAGACTGTACTGGCTCTCTCCCACGCAGACGGGAGGGGCATCGCAACCGGCGGTCTGGTCCTGACAAGTCACTCTGCCTTAAGACCCTCTGCTACTAGCCCGCAGCAGAGCTTAAAAGATAAAATAACTACCTACCCGGCGCCCGGAACTGCATGCCCCAGGCGTCGGCGATAGGTATCGCGCATCCCATTTTTGGCAGATTTGCCCCCATTTTCGGTCGATACTTTTGGTGCATCCCTCGGCTGGATAATATGTGGGTCACATGTAGTTTGTGTAAATGGGTCATTGTCTGTGAGCGAGTCAGAAGTAGTCTGTGTATAAATGGATCAGTGCATATGTTAGTTCGTGTGTGAGCATGGAGTGTGTTTAGGTTAGCGAGGACACGGTTTGATTAAACAAATACAACAATTTATACTTTAATTTGTAAATATTATATTTACACACACATATATATATATATATATATATATATATATATATATATATATATATATATATATATATATATATATATATATATATATATATATATATTTTAAGTACACCCCTGTAGAATAGTTTGACATTTTACCAGGAACAGCACCAGAGTAGTCCTAGCGCCATAACTACTACAGTGTCTTTGTTTTTGGTACAAAACATTTAGCAGTTTAGTTTTGTTGAACAAAAAAGGCTGCATTACACAGAGTGAACTTTGCTCACCTGAAGAACCATATTGAAACTCCTTGGTGATTAATTCATTCTTAAAGTAAGGGTTAGAGTTGAAGTAGAATTTAATTCTGCAGCTAGACTTTATATGAGTGAAATCATCCACCTATTGGTATAAGAGTGAAAAAAATATGTAGCAAAGTAACAAATGATTAAAATAGGAAAAAAAAAAAAAGGAATCATGAAAAATTACAGCCAAGTCAAAGATTAAGACTTAAAGGTATACATATATAGAAGTACATGGATGCTTTAGCTGCATGTCCTACCAACCTGTAGATTATTCATGTAACTCAGAGTATCCTCATCACGATCATCAATCATTGCAGAGAGCTGGGGGTGATTGAGAAACTGAAGCAATAGGTTAAGGAAGACGAGGTGTGTTCACAGCCTTTATGCTGGGTCACAGGAGATCTGAAGAATGCATTGAGAAATACCCAACACCTTCAAAAGCAACAAAGGTATTTACTAAAGTGCAAATTTTAAGAAAATTAAGTAAATTCAAAATTTTAGGTCAAAATAGGCAAACTGAGAACAGACTTGAAAAAAAACTTTTCAGTTTGTCTATTTTTACTTAAAATTCAACAACTGACACTTCAGTGAATAACAGCCAGTAAAATAGCTTAAACAATCCCAAAAGAGTGACCTACAAAGTTTATCCAGTTTTCCTTCTTCAGGGAATAATTAAACATACACCGTGTGATTAGAAAAGTGGTAAGAAATGCAAAGATCAGATCATTTGCTCGAGTAGTGTCCTCACAATTGCATGATGTTAACAACTTTGTGTTGACCGCTTAAAGGAGCACTGTAGGGTCAGGAACACAAACATGTATTCCTGACCCTATAGTTTTAAAACCACCATCTAGTCCCCCTTGCCTCACTAAATATAGTAAAATCTTACTTGTACTTAATTCTGCAGTTACTGGCTCTGCCCATGTTTGCTGACATCAGCAGACGTGGAGGTCTGAGCCAATGACAATGCTTCCAGAAAGGATTGGCTGACACTGTCAAGGGGGTAGATCAGTGGCACAGTCAGCACAAGTCAAACACAGCCCTGAGCAATCAGCATCTACTCAAAGAGATGAATTGAATCAATGCACCTCTATGAGGAAAGTTCAATGTCTGCATGCAGAGGGAAGAGACATTGAATAACAGTGCTGTTCACGGTGCAGCACTGCCCCAGGAAGCATCTCTAGTAGCCATCTGTGGAGTGACCAGAGGAGTTATCACTAGGCTGTAATGTAAACACTGCATTTTCTCTTAAAATACAGTGTTTATTGCAAAAAGCCTGAATTGAGTGATTGAGTGTCCCCTTAAATCTTCTACATACCAATATAGGGATCTGTACTTGGACCCATTCTCTTAAATATTTTTATTAGTGATATTGCAGAAGGTCTTGATGGTAAGGTACCATATATACTAGAGTATAAGTCGACCCGAATATAAGTCGAGACCCCTAATTTTACCACCAAAAACTGGGAAAACTTATTGACACGAGTATAAGACTAGGGTGGGAAATGCAGCAGCTACTGGTAAATTTCTAAATAAAATTAGATCCCCAAAAAATTATATTAATTGAATATTTATTTACAGTGTGTGTATATAATGAATGCGGTGTGTGTGTGTGTGTGTGATGCAGAGCGTGTGTGTGTGTGTGATGCAGAGCCTGTTTGTGTGTGTGATGCAGAGCCTGTTTGTGTGTGTGATGCAGAGCCTGTTTGTGTGTGTGATGCAGAGCCTGTTTGTGTGTGTGATGCAGAGCCTGTTTGTGTGTGTGATGCAGAGCCTGTTTGTGTATGTGATGCAGAGCCTGTTTGTGTATGTGATGCAGAGCCTGTTTGTGTATGTGATGCAGAGCCTGTTTGTGTATGTGATGCAGAGCCTGTTTGTGTATGTGATGCAGAGCCTGTTTGTGTATGTGATGCAGAGCCTGTTTGTGTATGTGATGCAGAGCCTTGGTGGGGGGTGGGCATTTTCATTATTTTTTTAAATTATTATTTTAATATTTTTTTATATATATATTATTTAATGCTTGATACATGGCAGGGAGGGGGGCTCTCATTCCCTGGTGGTCCAGTGGCATGGGCTGTGTAGGATGGGGGCTGGCAGAGAGCTGGAACTTACCTTTCCTGCAGCTCCTGTCAGCTCCCACTGCAAGTCTCACGGTGTGAGTGCCGCGCGGAGCGTTGCCACGGTAACCCGTGGCAATGCTCTGACCCCGCGGCTCTCGCAAGACTTGCAGTGGGGCTGACAGGGGAGCTGACCGGAACGGAGGAGAGAGAAGGGAGCTGACAGGAGCTGCAGGAAAGGTAAGTTACAGCTCTCTGCCAGCCCCCAATAGGACCGCCGGGCTTGTAATGAGCCTAAAATTTGCAACATGGTTAATGTTCTAGGAGGAATAAGCAAAATGGCAAATGATTTAGAAAAATTAGAAAAATGGTCAGAGCTGTGGCAACTGACATTTAATGTGGATGCTTGGTTGTATAGGGAGAGGTATTAGCGGTAGAAAGAGAAAAGTGCTCATGCCATTGTACAGAACACTGGTGAGACCTCACTTGGAGTATTGTACGCAGTACTGGAGACCGTATCTTCAGAAGGATATTGATACTTTAGAGAGAGTTCAGAGAAGGGCTACTAAACTGCTTCATGGATTGCAGGATAAAACTTACAAGGAAAGGTTAAAGAATCTTAACTAGTGATGTCCCGAACGATTCGCCGCGGACTCATCATTGAGTAAACCATGACCCTGTACCTCACAGTCAGCAGACACATTCCAGCCAATCAGCAGCAGACCCTCCCTCCCAGAAACTCCCACCTCCTGGACAGCTCACTAAGAATGCAGCTTCACAATGAATGTAAAATGGATGCTGTCCAGGAGGTGGGAGTGTCTGGGAGGGAGGGTCTGCTGCTGATTGGCTGGAATGTGTCTGCTGACTGTGAGGTACAGGGTCAAAGTTTACTCAATGATGAGTCCGCGGCAAACCGTTCACGGCGAACCATTCGGGACATCACTAATCTTAACATGTATAGCTTGGAGGAAAGACGAGACAGGGGGGATATGATAGAAATATTTAAATACATAAAGGGAATCAATACAGTAAAGGAAGAGACTATATTTAAAAGAAGGAGAACTACCACAACAAGAGGACATTGTCTTAAATTAGAGGGGCAAAGGTCTAAAAATAATTTCAGGAAGTATTACTTTACTAAGAGGGTAGTGGATGCATGAAATAGAGCCTTCCAGCTGAAGTGGTAGAGGTTGACACAGTAAAGGAGGTTAAGCATGCGTGGGATAGGCATAAGGCTATCCTAGACTTAAGATAAGGCCAGGGACTAATTAAAAGTATTTTGAAATATTGGGCAGACTAGATGGGCTGGATGGTTCTTATCTGCCGTCACATTCTATGTTTCTATAGATCTATCAATCTATATATCTATGCTACCAATTCAGCAAGGCAAATGGCACTATCAAATAAAAAGTAATTGTAAAGTGAACTGAACTGCTCATAGGTATGTAGCACACTTCTTAGTTTCACTTTCTAATAAATACATTGGCTACTACTATGTTAATGCATATTACAGTTCAAAGTTATAAGAGGTAAAGGCTACATCTTAATTTCACATTGGGTGATACACTGCAAGCTATGTCTGTGCAAATTAACAATTTCAAATATGTCTTCTTCTAGGAATGTAGCCAATTACAAAATTATTGAATTCCACGTTAAGCATCAACAGCCCTATTCAGCATCACTCAACTTTGTGCTTCAGCTCAAAACACATTTACTACACCAATATTTAATCACTAAAGGCAGAATGGCTGCAATTTGAATTTCAATTCACAATAATTCGGTCTATAGTGAATACAATTCTTCTATTCATTAAATAGTACTCTTGTGCTCCAACAGCTACAATTAAAACAACCGAAAATCAGCACAGAAAAATAAACCACATAATATGGTCATTTTCAGTGATACACCTGTGCTCAAGCAAGCATAACTTTAAATTCCAGAATGTAGATGGGCACATACAAAAAATTTTTGAAGAACACTGCATCACACACTTTACCGCAATTATTTAATTTCCTTTCTAGTAACTTTTTAAAACTCTGCAGCTGGTCATTTAAGAATTATTTTTAGGAGTGGTTTTACTTTCTGGCAAATATGGATGTAGAAAGTTTCTATCATTTCATGGCTCTGTTGCTCATACACAATTAAGAAGAAAAAAAAAAAAAACCCATTCGCACTAAAGAATCGTTTCACAAAACAGAATGTGAAGGCAGATAAGAACCATTAGCCCAACTAGTCTGCCCAATTTTCTAAATACTTTAGTCTCTTATATCTAGGGTAGCCTTACACCTATCCCACACATGCTGAAAACTACCTCACTGTGTTAACCTCTATCACTTCAGCTGGACGGCTATTCCATGCATCCACTACTCTCTTTGTAAAGTAATACTTCCTGATATTTTTAATAGGGATCGACCGATATTGATTTTTTTAGAGCCAATACCGATAATCTGTGAGCTTTCAGGCCGATAGCCGACAACTTGCCGATATTCTGTACATTTACCATTTTGAAAAAATAAACTATTTCTAAAAGGTAAATGCACAAAATATACATGCCAAGTGTAGTGCATGCAGTGTGTTTAGACAGGGGAGCTGTGTGTGTTTGTGTATATAATGAATGCAGAGTGTGTGTATATAATGAATGCAGTGTGTGTATATAATGAATGCAGTGTGTGTATATAATGAATGCAGTGTGTAGTGTGTGTATAGTGAATATAGTGTGTGTTTCTGAATGGATGTAATTTGTGTAAAATGGGGGGAGGGGGGATTTTCATTTTAATATTTTTTTATATTTATATTTTTTTTTTGTCCCCCCTCCCTGCTTGTTGCCTGGCCAGGGAGGGGGGGCTATACATGTTGAACCAAAAGAAAATATTTTTAGTTTAATTTTTGTGCACATTTTATTAAAATGAACTACCTTGACCAAGAACGCCATAGCACAGGCAGCTAAAACTCTGCACTCTTCTCGTTTGTAAGTAAAGTGCTGACTTTTTAAAAATTATTCTCAGATTGAACAATCAGAATATTGTCCTACATATCAATTACATGTAATTTCTTCTTAATGGTAAAATAAAGTCAGAAATGTATGCAATCCGTACTAATTATTGAGGTCCTAGGCAAGTCTATGATTGGGGTAATCCCCCGCCCAATATCTTATATTTTCCCCCTAACTGTTCCTGTTCTTCACACCATATCAACCCATCCCTCCCATATCCTCAGGACCGCATGTCACATGACACTGATCTCTTTATTTTAGCACCTTGACTAGATCTCAGTACATCTAAGTTGGCCAATCTCTGCCTTTCCCCATGTATTGTGTCTATCTCAACAGTTCTCAAGCTATGCACATCCTCCTTTCTCTCCTCCCTTTTTACACTGGTGGTCCAGTGGTATGGGCTGAGCAGTGGAGGGGCCCGCAGCAAGCTGTTACTTACCTTTCCTGCAGCTCCTCCAGCTCCCTGTGTAAATCTTGTGGTCTGAGTGCCGCGTTGCCATGGGACTTGCGAGATTTACACAGGAAGCTGCTGGAAAGGTAATTAACAGCTTGCTGCCGCCCCCCGCTCCCCCCCCCCCCGGGCTTGTAATGAGCCCAGCGGTCCTAGGAGGTATTATCGGCAATATCGGTATCTTTATTGAAATAACGAATATCGGCCAATAACATCAGTAAAACTGATAATCGGTCGATCCCTAATTTTTAAACCTTTGCCACTCTAATTTAAAGACTATGTCCTCTTGTTGTGGTAGTTTTTCTTCTTTTAAATATAGTCTCCTGCTTCACTGTGTGGATTCCCTTTATGTATTTAATTTTTCTATCATATCCCCCAGTCTCATCTTTCCCCTAAGCTATACATGTTAAGATCCTTTAACCTTTCCTGGTAAGTTTTATCCTGCGATCCATGAACCAGTTTTGTAACCCTTCTCAGAACTCTCTCTAAAGTATCAATATCCTTCTGGAGATTCGGTCTCCAGTACAATACTACATGTCACCAGTGCCCTGTACATTGTCATGAGCACTTCCCTCTTTCTACTGTTAATACCTATCCCTATACAACCAAGCATTCTGCTAGCACTTCCTGCTGCTCTATTACATTGTCTGCCTACCTTTAAGGCATCTGCAATAATTACCCCTAAATACCTTTCCTCAGATGTTAAGGTTAGGACTCTATCAAATATTCTATACTCTGCCCTTGGGTTTTTTTTAGGCCCAAGATGCGTTATCCACATTAAATGTCAGTTGCCACAGCTCTGACCATTTTTTCTAGTTTACCTAAATCATTTGCAATTCAGCTTGTCCATCCAGGATCATAAACTCTGTTGCAAATCTTTGTAATATCAGCAAAAAGACATATCTTACCATCAAGACCTTATGCAATAATCACTAAAAAAAAAATATTAAAGAGAATGGGTGCAAGTACAGATCCATGAGGTACCCCACTGGTAACAAGACCTTGCTTCAAACATACTCCATTGACTACAACCCTCTGTTGCCTGTCACTCAGGTACTGCCAAACCCATTCTACAATATTGGAATCCAAAGTCAAAGATTGTAATGTATTAATAAGCTTTCTATGTGCAACCGTGTAAAAAGCATTACTGAAATCTTGGTAAGCAATGTCTACTGCACTACCTTGAACTATTTTAGTTACCCAATCAAAAAAACTCATCATTAGATTGGCATGATTTCCCTGAAGTAAACACGTTTCTGATGTTGAAATTCATGTGATTTTAGATGTTCAACAATCCTATCCTTTAACATGGATTCCATTACTTTCTCCACTACTGAAGCAAGGCTTACTGGCCTGTAATAGTTCGATTCCTATTACAAGAATTGCTAAGGACTGCCAGAAGTTTTTAAAAGTATAGATCACAATAACCAAATAGGAAAAACTCTCCCATTTTATCCTAAAACTTACAATTCTCCACAACTACTGGTTTAGTAAACAACCACTTAATGTGGCACTGTCATCGTTTGGGAACTTTGTTGAATTCCCAAAGTCCCCCGACTGTGACATCGATGCTGGTGGTCCGGTGAGACAGGTAAAGGTGAGTTTACTCCATCTTGACCCAGCAGGGTCCTCTTCAGCGCCGACATCGCTATTGTACTCACGTGCATTCCAACAGTCATGATTATTTCATAAATATTTTATCGATAAGGGACTTAAGCAGCAGGTTGTCACTTCACTAAAATCTTTCAATACAATTTCACACAAATAGAAAACCTGAGAAAATCAAACAGTAGACCCCCCATTTTGTTTCCCTAAAACAGCAGTTGCCCACCCTAAAAAATGAGCATTTCATAGAGCTAGATTGAATCTTTATAAAATACTCATATTGGCAGTGTTGGAATTTAACTGAAATTCCAACCCAGTCAAGAGATATACTGAGACAAAGTAGGGACTACTTTGTCTGAGTATTTCCTATGACTGACACTTCTAGATACGAGGTGGAGCTACAGCCATCTAGAAGTGTCAATCCCAACAGCCACAACCAGTAACGGCTACAGAGAATTGACTTTATCTATGGATAACCCCTCGGTCTTGCAGGATCCTACATAGACATTAATGCTTTACACTTGTGCAGGGCTTCCCAAACTTACGGGCCGAGACCCACTTGCGAAAACTGTAATTTTTCGAGACCCACTTGCTTTTAATGCATATTTTAAAAATAAACTCCATGGCAATCCGCTTTAGAGGCATACAATTGGCATATCATGGCAGTTTTAGAGACATAATGTTGGTATATCATGGCAGTTTTAGAAGCAGAAACTTGGCACTTAATGGTAATCTGTTTTACAGGCATACAACTTATGTATGTGTGTTTGCATGTTTTTGTATGGAGTATGTGTGAATGTTGGTGTTTGAAGGCAGGTGTGCATTTGTGTGCAGTGTATACACTTCCACACACTGACACACATGCAAATACACAGACACACAAATACACACACTGACACCTAGTTTCCCACACACAGAAACTTATGTACACAGATACACACTGACACACAAACTGACACACAGATACAAGAGGTGAGGGTGATAGCGTGGGAGGGGGAGTGTGTGCTGCTGACAGCTTGGGGGGGCAGGGTGAGAAAGGGTTACAGTGGGGGGACAGGGAGAGAAGGGGTTACAGTGCAGGGAGGGGGACAGGAAGAGAAGGAGTAACAGTGCAGAGAGAGGGGCAGGGAGAGAAGGGGTTATAGTGCGGAGATGGGGGCAGGGAGAGAAGGGGTTAGAGTATGGGAAGGGAAAGAAAGGGTCAAGCAGTGGGGAGGGGGAGGAGATGAGGATTACAGTGTGTGTGGGCAGGAGAAGAAGAGGTTACAGTGGGAGGGGGGCAGGAAGAGAAAATGGTTACAGTGTGGGAGGGGGGCAGAAGAGAAGGGGTTGCTGCGTGGTGGAGGGGGGGCAGGAAGAGAAGGGGCTAAGCAGTGTGGTGGAGGGGGGCAGGAAGAGAAGGGCTACAGTGGTGGAGGGGGGCAGGAAGAGAAGGGGTCAAGGTGTGGTGGAGGGGGGCAGGAAGAGAAGGTTACAGTGTGGTGGAGGGGGGGCAGGGAAGAGAAGGAAGCCGTTGCGTGCGGGCAGGGGGCAGGAAGAGAAGGGGCTACAGGTGGTGGAGGGGGGCAGGAGCTATAGCTGGGCTACAGTGCGGAGGGGGGCAGGAAGAGAAGGGCTCAGTGTGGCGGAGGGGGGGCAGGAAGAGAAGGGCTCCAGTGCGGTGGAGGGGCAGGAAGAGAAGGGGTTTCCAGTGTGGTGGATGGGGCAGGAAGAGAAGGGCTTCCAGTGTGGTGGTGGGAGGGAGGGCAGGAAGAGAAGGGGCCTTCCAGTGCAGGGAGGAGGGCAGGAAGAGAAGGGCTTCCAGTGTGGTGGAGGAGGGCAGGAAGAGAAGGGCCTCCAGCAGGAGGAGGGCAGGAAGAGAAGGGGCTTCCAGTGGTGGAGGGGGGCAGGAAAGAGAAGGGGTTTCAGTGTGGTGGAGAGGGGCAGGAAGAGAAGGGGCTACAGTGCAGTGGAGGGGGGCAGGAAGAGAAGGGGCTACAGTGTGGTGGAGGGGGGGCAGGAAGAGAAGGGGCTACAGGTGTGGTGGAGGGGGGCAGGAAGAGAAGGGCCAGCAGTGTGGTGGGAGGGGGCAGGAAGAGAAGGGGCTACAGTGTGGTGGAGGGGGGCAGGAAGAGAAGGGGTTACAGTGTGGTGGAGGGGGGCAGGAAGAGAAGGGGTTACAGTGTGGTGGAGGGGGGCAGGAAGAGAAGGGGTTATAGTGTGGCGGGGCAGGAAGAGAAGGGGTTACAGTGGGGGAAGGGACGGGGGCAGAGAGAGGAGGTGTTGTGTTTTACCTTTATTAAAAACTTCCTTGTGGTCCAGTGTCCTCCCTGGTGGTCCAGTGGGTTAACTCTCCGGTCTGCAGCTCCCCAGGGTGCAGAACTACAAACCATGTGATAGGAGTCTCGCGAGCACCCAGGGTGTTGATGTGGTAACACTCTGGGTCCTCGCAAGATTTCTATCACATGGTCTGCAGCTTTTCACCCAGCGAAGCTGCAGACCGGAGTTGCTGGGCAGACTGATTGATAATCTCAGTCTACTGCATGATAGCAAAACAATAGTACTGTACTTTGATACTTCAAAAATAACAATTATTTACTTAGCATAAGAATTTAGTGGATACAGCTGTAACCCAAAAGCCAGGGATTGTACGTATAATGGCATTGCGTTTCTGGATATGCGGTCTTCTGAGATGGCCATATCTTCTTTTGAGCTGCAGCAGTGCCCGGTCTGCACGCTCATTTACAGATCTTAGCTCCTGTTGGACCGATTCCAGAGCCTGCAAGGAACGATCGGTGCTGGTGGGTTGGGTACCCACAGAAACAATGCAGCACTCGTCACCCTCACTACATGAGCGGGGGTCACCCATCTCCGAATCAGAAGAAGGTGGAGACAACACAGAAGGTTCTTCATCTAAATCTGCCTTTTCAGGGGCCTTTGGAACATCTCTTTTGCGCCCGTCAAGCAAATCTCCAGCAACTTCAGCATCTCCGTTTGACTTTGACTGTTTGGGTTGCTTTACACCAGTTTCTCCACCTTCAGGTGCATGCGGTGTTCCCCGAGCACTCTCACCTGTGTCTCCTCGTTCAGGAGTGTGCCTGGGAAGAGTAACATGGTGTTCCTCAGGTCCTTGTCTTTCTCGAGTGTGCGGAGTCACATTAGAGGCACAATTCTTACCCTCTTTTCCTTTGGGGCCCTGTTCGGTGGACTCTCTCCAGTTAGTCATCTCCCACAACGCCTGGGCAGCCTCCGCCTCCTGGCTGGCCGGTGTGTCACTGGTCCCATCTGTTTTTTTTACATCTTCGGTCCCCACAAGACGCCGCTGTTTCACCACCGGAGGTGGGCACTCGTCCTTGTCCTTGGGGCAGCTCATGGTTGAGAGACTTCAAAGAAATGTCAGCTTTTCAGAACAGCCCAGCATAGTCCACCACTCTGCAGAGGAACACAATGTAATACCCCAAAATGGTTAGAGCCCACACCTTAGCCTAAAACACGTGACCACACTACGTCATTACCACACAGGCTCACGTCACACGCCATGTAATACGTCATACCCTCCCCAGCCATATAACACATGCTAGAGCAACCACGAGCCACACACAATAATAAACTCACCATGCGAAGTGACCCCCCAAATAAAAACTTGTCCCCCCCCCCAAAGTGGTGTCACCACGCGACCTGTCACGACGTGACGTAAGGGTCCTGTCAGGGATGCACCAGTACGCGGGCGACACGTCACGTCAACATCGGGCCACGTGATCAAACGGACGTCACGTTCTGCTGGCTCGCGCCCGCTGTCCGCTCTCCCCTCTCCCGCCCAACGCAAGCCGCGGTCACGTGGCCGCCAGCGGAAAGCCTTCCTCCCCCACCCCAACAACAACAGAGCCGGCCACGCCTCCACAGCTGCCAGTCTTTCGCGTCGCGCCAATGGCAAGCCGCGGAGCAAGGCTCGCCGGCCACGCCCTGAGTTCCATCAGCCAATGGGTAAAACGAGCTTCGGCCTGCGTTGCTCTTGCCGCCTTTAGTCGAGAGCGAGGCTTGGCACGCAAGCTCTAGCGTGGGTGGTTTGGAGTAAATAGGCGAAGGGAGGGGGGAGTTCAGATGTCACCTGAGGGTATCCCAGCTGTACTGATAAACAGGACATCCTTATGTCCCAGGGGAACAGATGGCATTATTTATTTGTTTTTCTCACGTTATATATATATTAAGAAAATATATTTTTATATAGGGCAAAATAATTTAATATTTTTTTACATTCTGACTATTTTATATCCTTTATAAGTTCCTATGTCTGTTAGAATAACTAGGTTCCCACAGCTTTAATACCCACAAGTGACATGTATTGAGGTTAATCTAATTACTAAGGGGTCTTGAATAATTAAAAATGAAAATATTGGCACTGAATAGGGGGTCTGTTAATATAAAGTAGGTATAGATGCCTATAGTGTCAAACTATTTAGCTAGGAGAGAGACAATTTGTCTTTTGACTATATTTAATATTGTTTTCCTACTTAATGGTACTCATCTGACAGATATTACTGTTAATAATTTTCAGCATCTGTCGCTTAAATACTTCACCACTGAATTTAGTTGCAATAGTAGAGACAGCTACTATCGGTACAAAATGTAACTGAATTTAGCAGGGGTTTAAGAACAAGAACATCATTTTCGGGTCTATTCACTAAATGCCAGAGTGTAATGAAATGAATAATCGAATGCCTAAAATAACTGACTTGAAAACCGTTTCCAGCTTAGATAGACGTAGCTATTTTAAAGCGGATCAGGGGGGTGGGGGTAACAATATACAGTATATCAAAGCTTTCCAAACGTTTCATGTTGGTGAAACATTTTTCAGACTTGCATAATTTGCGACACAGCTGTGGTCCCCTCTGCTGTGCCCTCTCACCTCCCTCCATGTAGCGTGGCCAAGCAGGCTGACCAAGGTAGAGGAGCTTCTGTTTTTCCTACCCGTCTTAAAGGAAGCAGATCTGTGCTCTTAGTGAGCAATTCCTGTCAGACTAGGTAGGGAAAACAGAAATTTCTCTACCGCGGTTAGCCTCCCAGCAATGCTACGTGGATTGACCTGGTGTGAGAGTAGCTCTGTGCAATGTGCTCCCCTTCCAGCCGGACACCTCATTCGCGCAGCACACTAACGTGTCGCGCCACACAGTTTGGAAAGCTGTGCACTATATGGTATAAGTTAAACAGGATGATAAAAACACCTAATTTTATAATAGCATAATAGACAATAAATATAGTGCTTAGAGGGGAGGTGTGGCCTAACCATCATGATGGAGAGTCGTATTCTGCTCGAGTTTCTGCACAATCCTGACAATATAAGCTCACTACAGCCTTTTACAGTGAGAAAAGCAACAGTCTCAAATGCCCACTCCCTCCTCACAATCAAAGACAGGCAGTGGGTTGTCATGCAACCTGAGCAAGGCCCGCTGGTACTGCGACTGAATTTGTGGCCTGATGAACATCGTGAGTGAGAGGCGGCCACACCCCCGACCGCTGGTGCCCTGAAGCTGTCTATGGCACTGCACGCCCCGTTACCCCCACCTCGGACCGGCAGGGGTGATTCTGGTCCACCCTATGGAGGCTATCCCAATCATGATGGAAAATGGAGTAATACTATAAGGGAAGAGAAAGCAAGTGGTGGCTCACCATAGATGGAGGGCTCAGCGAGTGTCAATGAACCCACCTAACTCTACACTTGTTGAAGTCCTGGTAAAGTGGACAGACTCTTAAGGACATTCTGGAAGAAACTGGAGCACAAGCTGCATCAACCTGCTCCATTGCAGCCGATTAACAGCTTAGAGCAAAAACCACCTCTACACCTCCACCAAGCAACCCGGTGTCAGGATTGACGACTGGCAACTCCCATGACTTGAGCGAGGCAGCGGGCCCTGAAGATAAAAATGCGCAAACTGATGCCGCACCATCCTGGAACCATTGAAGGTCTGACGAAGCAGGACGGGATTAGACATGGACACCGACTGCTGACTCTGGGCCGATCGCCTGCACCTCTAATGCAAGGCCTGAAATACCTCGTAAAATTGGGGAAATGTGTCCTGGCCATGAAGGGCATAGGCTGAACGACACCTTGGAACTTGGCGACATCTCACCTTTTGTCTGAATTGCTACAGCTAATCTCTGAATTACTACAGCTAAAAAAAAATTATATATGATTGCTAAATCTGCATACCTTCTACTGTCTACATACTCTGTGCCTCTTATTACTAACCTCTTCCATTATGGAGGTTTCCTGGGGAAAGCATTCTGACAAGTCAAGCATGTGTTTTGTGCATTTTGTTTTCTCTCTGTACAAGCTTAAAGGAATACTATAAGTGCCAGGAATACAAAGCTGTATTCCTGGCATTATAGCTCCCTCTGCCCCCCTCCCCCCTAGTGCCCTCCCCCCATAGCAATGAATAAAGGGTTAAAAACCCTTTATTTACTTACCTGATCCCAGCGCCAATGTCCCTCAGAGCTGGGTTGCAGCACCGCTTCCTCCAACGTCCCTCGGCGAGCAGGCGCTAATGCGCAGTGAGTGCCAGGCACGCATTAGGTCTCCCTATTGAATCAATACTTCCATATGAGGAAATAGCTGACGCTGAAGGTTCATGTGCAGAGCGTGAATGTTTTACATTGCAGCACTAAGTGCAATTGGGACACTGTACCCAGACTACTTCAATGAGCTGAAGTGGTCTGGATGCCTATAGTGTCCGTTTAATCACTGAGAATAAGGTACAACTGAGTGAAAAATAGGTAGGCCACCAATGTGGTATACATGTCTTTCCAAGGAGCAGAAAGAATTATAGGACAGCTGAAAAAGTATAAAAAATGTTTTATAGCAAATAAATTAATCTTACAGGCTCCAGATTTATTCAGCCAATTCCCTTGCTTGGGTATCTTCTCCCAGTTGCACAAATGGTCCCAATAGTGCATCCTTTCATACAGAGCCTTGCAGCCCCAAAATTGATGCCTTGTGAGGATTTTGCAGTGAGTGAGCACTCAGTGGGGTCGATATAAGGTCCTGTGGGAGCGTGAGCTGTACTGAGGCTCTTGGCCAAAGTATGTGAGAACAGGCATGGTATATTTTGTGTAGTCAGCATGGAGACATTGGCTTGAACGTTGTATCTTAGGGCTTACGTAAGGCACAAGCCGCACATTTGTGGAGTTTAGCCCCAAAGCGAAGGCAGAGCTGATCAAATGCTTGGAGGAAATGATCCATGTGTGAGGGGTGCACCTTCATGGGAGGCTGTGAGGTGCATTATGGTGCCGGCAATGTTGGAAATGAGACCTTGTGTGGTTAGCAGATCTGGGAAGCAGTAATTTGTCCGAAGTGGCAAGGTAATGCAAGCACTCCAGTGAGGACCAGATGGGTCCATTGGGGGAGGGAACAGGGCCCGAATGAATGAATAGTGGGACAAAGCCAGAATGGAGAATCGGACAGCTTCCCCAAAATGAAAAAAAGAGGACTCACTTCACACATAAAGCATTTTGCAGGCTAAAGTACTGTATGGCTATGGAGTGTCCCTTTAAAATGGCCTTGTACAAATGCAGAGCACAGTGAGGTTTCTGTCGAAAAAGGAACATAAACAAAACATTTTGGACAATTTTATGTCTGCAACAAACCTAGCATTTTAGTGAAAAATCACATGAAATTAATCCTACATTCTGACTATCTGATTGGTGCGTTCAAACAGCTGAATTCTAGATGGAATTGATAAATGCTCAGTTTCTATTTCCTCAATCAAATAAATGCAAACACAATGTTTCTGAATGAAGTAATTTTCGTATGTACAGCTTTCAGTAGAACACTCACAAGTGAAATACAAAGCCTATAAAGTGCTGTTTCTTTCTTTAGGTATCATATTAATGATAATTTGGGGCGCACTCTTCCAGCGGTTCCCAAAGTGTGGGTCGCGACCCACTGGTGGGTCGCAGGGCGATTCCCAGTGGGTCGTGCTGACCCACACATCCAGGGCCGCAGGGTACTCGGGCAAGAAGACTGACACCAGGAGGGAGCCCGGCGGCTTGCCCTGTATGCCACCAGGCTCCCTCCAATCAGTCTGCCCAGCACCTGCGGTCTGCAGCTCCGCCGACCATGTGATAGAAATCTTGCGAGCACCCAGAACGTTACCATGGCAACACTCCGGGAGCTTGCAAGACTTTTATTACACTGTCTGTAGCTCTGCACCCTGCGGAGCTGCAGACCGGAGAGTTACCCCACCGGACTACCATGGAATTCAATGAAGGTAAGACACAGCCCCCAGACATCCCCCCATGTAACCCCTAAACGCCCTGCCCTCCCCTCCCCCATGTAACCCCTTCACTCCCTGCCCTCCCCAATGTAACCCTTTCACTCCCTGCCCTCCCCAATGTAACCCTTTCACTCCTCTACCCTCCCCAATGTAAGCCCTCCATTCCCTGCCCTCCCCCAATGTAACCCCTTCACTCCCTCCCTCCCCGTATTCTCCTCCTGCCCCTGCCCATGTCCCCCTTCACTCCCCTGCCTCCCCCATGTAAACCCCTTCTCCCTGCCCTCCCCCATGTCCCCTTCTCTCCCTGTTTTCCTCCCTACCCTCCCCAATGTAACCCTTCATTCCCTGCCCTCCCCCAATGTAACCCCTTCACTCCCTACCCTCCCCATGTAACCCCTTCACTCCCTGCCCTCCCACACGTAACTCTTCACTTCTGCCCCATGTCATACCTTCACTCCCTGCCCTCCCTCTGATGTAACTCTTCACTCCACCTCTCCCCAACCCCTTCTCCCCCCTGCCCCCCCCACTGTAGCCTTTTCTCCCCCTACCCCCACACTGTAACACTTCCCCCCCTACCTGCCCACCCCTTCACCCCCTGCCCGCCCACTGTAACCCTTGCTCACTTTGCCCTCACACTGCCCCCACACTGTTACCAGCACACACACTCCCTCCCACACTGTCACCCTCACCTCT